CTCGTTATTTCTCAATGAACTCGAATCGCAGCTATTGCTCGACAGGGAAACACTTTTGAGCCTAGCCGAAAAGCTTTCCCTTAAAGCTGGATGTCACAGAAGATTTCTAAGATGTTAGTAGCTAAAAATAGGACAAAGTCCCGGTGGCCGAGTGGTTAGCAAGTTGGACTACCAGTCGAAAGCTGGTGGGTTCGATCCCCCTTGTCGCCAAACTTTTTTCCTTTTCACAGAATCAAGTTTGTGCGCTAAAAGTAAAGGCTTTCTCTTTCAGGTTCTACTTGGGTTCGAACCCATGAGGTCCCGACTGGTAGTCCACCTCGCTAACCACTCGGCCACCGGGCTTTTACTGTATTTTTCTCCGATAACATTTTAGAAATGCTTTGTGACATCCAGCTTTGAGGGAAAGCTTTTCGGCTAGGCTCAAAAATGTTTCCTTGGCAAGCAAAAGCCACGATTCGAGATCACGCAAATATAAAGAGAAAGGAGAAAAATTAAGCGAAATTTAAAGACAATTCTTGCAATCTGGATGTCACACAATGTGTAGAAAGATTGAAATTCAAAATTCGGCCGAAGGAATCGAACCCACCAGCTTTCGACCGGTAGTCAAACTCGCTAACCACTCGGCCACCGGGAGGTCCGATTTTTAGTTACTAACAATTTAGAAATGCTCTGTGACATCCAGCTTTAAGGGAAAGCTTTTCGGCTAGGCTGAAAGTTGTTTTCCTGGCGAGGAAAAGCCGCGATTCGAGATCAAGCAAAAATAACGAGAAGTGTGGGGAATTGAGGAAAACTAGAGAACAAATCTTGCAATCTGGATGTCACGAAAGATCTAGAAACACTTTTAGCGGTTAGTGGCGCCTAGTGACGGCTGGTGGACTCGAACCCGGCACCCTCAGATTTGTAGCCAAACTGGCTAACGACTCGGCCACCGGGACTTTGTCCTATTTTTAGCTACTAACAATTTAGAAATGCTCTGTGACATCCAGCTTAGAGGGAAATCCTTTAGGCTAGGCTGAAAGTTGTTTCCCTGGCGAGCAAGAGCCACGATTCGAGATCAAGCAAAAATAAAGAGAAGTATGGGGAATTGAGGAAAACTAAAAGACAATTCTTTCAATCTGGATGTCACCGAATGTTTAGAAACATTTTCTGGGTAAATTTAGGCAGTTTATAAAGTTGGTCAACACAGACAGCCAAAAAAGGTCACAAGTTCACAGAATCATTCAAAAATAATGAGCTTTTTGCGCTCGGATATCTGGAAAGAAAAAAGCTGATAACTTGGGGAAATTTCCTAAAAAAATGACAAAAGATGGGGTAAAATTTGAAAATTTCAACTAATTTCATCAAAACGCGTCTCCAGGGAAGTCAAACTAGACTCGAACTAGACTCTAATGCATTATTTTCCTAATTAGATCAATTTTCGTGAGAATTAGACTCGATTTTACGTCAAAAATCTCTAGGGGGATCGAACCCGTGAGCTTGACAGCCAAGCTTTCGACTACCAGCCAAACTCACTAACCACTCGGCCACAAGTCCTTGTGCCTCAATCGCGCCAATAAATATCTGGATATCTCCTGTGCGTTCCAGGACCCAGGAATAGCTTTTTGTGCAGGCTCTAGCCTCACTAGTTCACGAGGATTTTCAGCGATCTCGAATCATGGACTTTTTTTAGTGTTGCACCAAGAAGAAAGGTTTAATTTCAAATTTTTTGCCCTATCTGGATGTCAGGCTAGCTTTCTGGTGAATTAGAATTGAGATTGAGAAGATTTGAGAAAATTTTTTCGTACTGATCGAAATACCGTACTTTAAAACCGCAGAAAAAATGTGAAATTCAGCTAAACAAACGTCTGATCGTGTAACCAAATCCAAACCAATTTAATTGTTACAAGAGATCGAGTTACAACAAAGAACGCGAAGATAAAACTAGATTATGAAAAATTTATGATTCTCGGGTTTTGTTGGGTTAAAAATTTTGATTATGGAAAATAGTGGAAGAGCTTTGAATGATGGCTGGCTGGCTTGGCTTGGCTTGACTTAGCTTGGCTTGGCTCTTTGGCTCTTTGGTTGGCTCTTTAGTTAGCTCAAGAAAGCCGCATCCAGGTAACAATCTAAAACTCAACTAAACTCTAAACAGCCTCATTCCGTAATCTCTGACACATTCGGTGACATCCAGATTGCAAGAATTGTCTTTTAGTTTTCCTCAATTCCCCACAATTCTCGTTATTTTTGAGTGATCTCGAATCGTGGCTTTTGCTCGGCAGGGAAACACTTTAGAGCCAAGCCGAAAAGCTTTCCCTCCAAGCTGGATGTCACAGGGCATTTCTAAAATGTTATCGGAGAAAAATACAATAAAGGCCCGGTGGCCGAGTGGGTAGCGAGTTGGACTACCAGTCCCCTCACGGGTTCGATCCCCCTTGCCGCCAATTTTTTTCCTTTTCACAAAAACAACGACATGTTTGTGTCCAGAAACGTAGAAACTTCCCCTTAGTCAAGGTTTGTGGACTATAGGCTCGCCAGATTGAATCAAAAGTCCCAGAATTGACTTCTGGCTGGCTCAAGCATTTGAAATCAACTTTTGCTATATTTTTGTCCGCTTTTTAGCTACTAACAGCTTAGAAAGTTTCTGTGACATCCAGCTTTGAGGGAAAGCTTTTCCGTTAGGCTGAAAGTTGTTTCCCTGTCGAGCAAGGACCGCGATTCGAGTTCATTCAAAAATAACGAGAAATGTGGGGAATTGAGGAAAACTAGAGAACTAATCTTGCAATCTGGATGTCACAAAATGTGTAGAAACATTGCAATTCAAAAAAACACCAAAATTCGGCTGACGGAATCGAACCCGTGAGGTTCTGACTGGTAGTCGAACTTGCTACCCACTCGACCACCGAGACTTTGTGATATTTTTAGCTACTAACATTTTAGAAATGCTCTGTGACATCCAGCTTTGAGGGAAAGCCTCTAGGCTAGGCTCAAAACTGTTTCCTTGGCGAGCAAGAGCCATGATTCGAGTTCATTCAAAAATAACGAGAAGTATGGGGAATGGAGGAAAACTAAAAGGCAATTCTTGGAAGCTGGATGTCACGGAATGTGTAGAAACATTTTTTGGGTAAATATTGAGAGTTTAAATATTCATTGGTCAACACTGACAGTTTAGAAAACAAATTCTGGAATCCCGAGCGACAGGAGCCAGATCTTGGCCAGGTCTTGGCCCTAGATCTCATCTATTTTGCAGAGAAAGCTTGCAAAGTGACAATGACGATCTCAACAACAAAAAAAAGCAAAAAATCTCAAAATCTATAAAAACCCGAAAATTACTCAAAATTCGCTGAAATTTCTTGAAAAGCTAGCGATTCGGAAAGCAAGAAAAGAAAGAAATAAAGGCGATAATTCGATTTGAAATGTCTACAGATGGGTCACCATAAAGATATTCAGCTAAGAGAGAAGCTAAGAAAGAAGCTAAGAAAGAAAAAAAAAGAGAAAAAGGGATTTTCTTTTGGTCGAGATGCGAGGGAGGAATCAAGATTTCTCTTTTTAGAAAAGCCAAATGAATGCATTAAGGAGGCAGCCAGGGTCACCCTGAGAAACCCCTATCATTAATCTAATACATATCAAAAGGATATTGCTTCTCATTAGAAAAAGGAGAAATCGAGAGGAAGTTTGGCAGCTAGGGGAATCGAACCCATCAGCTTTCGACTGATATTTGAACTCGCTAACCACTCGGCCATCGGGACTTTGTCCTATTTTGAGCTACTAACATCCTAGAAATCTTCTGTGACATCCAGCTTGAAGGGAAAGCTTTTCGGCTTGGCTCAAAACTGTTTCCCTTCCCAGTAAAGCCCGCGATTCGAGATCACTCAAAAATTGGGTAAACTAGAGGAAATTAAGCAAAAATAAAGGAGAATTCATACAATCTGGATGTCACGAAAGGCGTTGAAACACTTTTTGGACACGTCTTTAGCGGCTACATGATTAGGATTCATTAGCGACCGAGAGCCACCGAGACTTTGTCCTATTTTGAGCTACTAACATTTTAGAAATGCTCTGTGACATCCAGCTTGGCGGGAAAGCTTCTCGGCTTGGCTCTAAAGTGTTTCCCTGGCGAGCAAGAGCCACGATTCGAGATCATTCAAAAATAACGAGAAGTATGGGGAATTGAGAAAAACTAGATGAACAAATCTTGCAATCTGGATGTCACATAATGTGTAGAAAAATGAAATTCAAGAAAAACATCAAAATTCGGCTGAAGGAATCGAACCCGTGAGGTTCCGACTGGTAGTCGAACTCGCTAACCACTCGGCCATCGGGCGTTTACTGTATTTTTCTCCGGTAACATTTTAGAAATGCTCTGTGACATCCAGCTTGAAGGGAAAGCTTTTCGGCTTGGCTCTAAAGTGTTTCCCTGCCGAGCAAGAGCTGTGATTCGAGATCACTCAAAAATAACGAGAAGTATGGGGAATTGAGAAAAACTAAATGAAAATTCTTGCAATCTGGATGTCACACAATGTGTAGAAATGTTTTCACGTCTGATTTTGTCTTTCTGAAACGCGCGCCCCCTGGCCTAGTGCCTAAATGCTCGAAATTGCTCAAATCATCGGGATCATTCCCAAATTCTCCCAATCACGCCCGTGCGTTCCAGGATGCCGAAAAAAGTGTTTGGAAGAGGCAGAAAGATGTAGAAATTCCCCTCTAAATAGAAGCAATTCGTGTCGATCGTTTCTGTCGATGCATTGAGTCGAAAAAGGAGGGCCAATGGAGCGTGAAATAATCTGCGATCAAAAGAAAAAGACAGCTACCGTACTTTTCCAGACAGAAATCGAGCTCTTTGTGTTCGTTTTTTTTGCATATAATTTTCCGTTCACCATTCACGGGAAATCACAAATTTTCCCTAAATTCGCATTTTTGTCTAGCTTTGTGTCTAGCTTTTTTTACAGTAATCCTCTGGGATTACTGTAGATTTCCGACACTTTTCATTTCATTCTCTATTTCATTTTTCCACTTTTCCACCAATGGATACTCAAAACGCTCAGGTGAGGGCTTTTTTTTTTCTTTTTTGTTTCCCGATTGTTTTCACAGTTGCAGTCGATAGTGTGCATTCCAGATCTAAAGAAAATATAGAAAAGTGCTCGACTTTCTTTTAGTTTCAAGCCAAAATCATGCCAGAGTCGGACCGGGTTCTAAAACACTTTTTTCCTTTCTGTTTCCCAATCATTTTCACAATTGTAACTAATAGTGTGCATTCCAGATCTAAAGAAAATCTAGAAAAGTACTGGACTTTCTTTTAGTTTTATGCCAAAATCATGCCAGAGTCGGACCGGGTTCTAAAGCACTTTTTTCTTTTCTGTTTTCCAATCATTTTCACAGTTGCAGTCGATAGTGTGCGTTCCAGATCTAAGAAAAATTTAGAAAAGTACTCGGCTTTCCTTTAATCTCAGGCCAAAATCATGCCAAACCCGGACCGGCTTCTAATGCACTTTTTTCTCTTTGGTTTCCCGATTGTTTTCACAGTTGCAATCGATAGTGTGCGTTCCAGATCTAAGAAAAATATAGAAATCAGCTGGATTTTTACAAGTTTTAGGCCAAAATCATGCCAGACCCGGACTGGCTTCGAAGGCACTTTTTTCTTTTCTGTTTCCCAATCATTTTCACTATTGCAGTCGATAGGGTGCGTTCCAGATCTAAGAAAAATATAGAAAAGTAGTCGGCTTTCTTTTAGTTTCAGGCGAAAAACATGCCAAAATCATGCCAATGACGATCTGGCTTCTAGCCTGGCTTTGGCAAGCCTAGAGCCTGATAGCTGTGCTTTTATGGATAAAGCTTAGACAAGCTAAACCAGCCAGGGCCAGAAAAGCCTTTTAAAGCATCCGTTTTGACGTCAAATTTGTCAAAAGTGCAGTCAAAAGTTACCTTGTCTTTCTCTAGTGAGTCTAGAGATTCCAGACCAGGACAAGAGCTGGCTTATAGCCTTGGATGCCAGCTGTCAAAGCTGCCAAGAAGCTGCTAGCATGATTTTTTGCAAAACCGCCGTAAGATCTTGTAAAATCACCGGACTACCAGTAATAGACGCTTAACTATATGGAAATGGGTAACTAAACCTTTTCCAATCTTCAATCTGGAGCGCACAGGACCAGTTCCAGCCAAAAAAAACAACTCAAAACACTATTTAATTTTAGCAATATTTCGAGTGTGCTGTGTGCGGCGCCTCGGCGAAGGGCTTCCATTTTGGAGCGTTCACGTGCGAAGGGTGCAAGGTTTGTGCTAATTCATAACACAGGAATGTTCTAATTGGTTTTAGAAAAAAAAGAAAAAAAAATTGGCCGCTAGTGGACTCGAACCCGGCACCCTCAGATTTGTAGCCAAGCTCGCTAACCACTCGGCCACCGGGACTTTGCTATATTTTTATCCGCTAACATTGTAGAAATGCCCTGTGACATCCAGCTTTGAGGGAAAGCTTTCCGGTTAGGCTCTAAAGTGTTTCCCTGGCGAGCAATAGCCGCGATTCGAGATCACTCAAAAATAACGAGAAGTGTGGGGAATTGAGAAAAACTAGAGAACTAATCTTGCAATCTGGATGTCACGGAATGTGGAAAAACATTGAAATTCAAGAAAAGCAACAAAATTCGACTGAAGGACTCGAACCCACCAGCTTTCGACTGGTAGCCAAGCGCGCTAACCACTCGGCCACCGGGCTGTTGTCCTATTTTTAGCTGATAACATTTTAGAAATGCTCTGTGACATCCAGCTTGGAGGGAAAGCTTTTCGGCTTGGCTCTAAAGTGTTTCCCTGGCGAGCAATAGCCGCGATTCGAGTTCATTGAGAAATAAGACGAATGGGGGATAATTGAGAAAAATTAACAAGGATTTCTTGCAATCTGGATGTCACAGATTGCACAGGTGTGCGTTCAGGGGAAACAAAGTGGCTTTAACAGCCTCTGAGATCAAAGCCTAAAACTCGTCTTTTTCTACAGTAACCCGGAATCCAAAAATTTCTAATTTTATTTTGTTAGTCCTTCTTCGGGCGTGCCTCTCTTCGCAAAGAGCGTGCTCTTTTCTGTCGTCTTGGTGGCGCGTGCAATGTTCAGGTAAATTTCTCAAGTTTTTTCAAATGAATCCAAAGATTTTCTTTGAAATTCGTAAATCCTGGATGTCACAGAGTGGTTTTGAGATCGAATTTCAACTTTTTTTTGCCATTTTCATTCTCACATAATGGCCAAACATCCGGTTTTTCAAAAAAAGCTATCCTTTTTTAAAATGGCCATTTTCAAATGAAACAAGTCAATTTTCAGCTCAAAATTCGTAAACAAACCCTTTCTGGTGCCCTGGTGCACCATAAGGTGCACCAGAAGACCCGCGTTTCAGTGCATTGCACAAGGGTACACTCCAGAATTGGGTTCTACGTCAAAATTCGTAGATCCCTAAAGCAATGCATAAACCATTTGCATAGATTTCACCGATCTGGCATGCACACTTTGAAAATTTACAGGAAACGGGCTCTCTTTGCTGCATATTAAAATGAAAGAGTCAGTGCACCAGAAAGGGTGCGTTTTTAAACTCTTCTCATAGAGGAATCGGGTTTAATTCTTGCGATTTGATTGGATCTGGATATCACAGCATATTTTGAGAGGCTAATTGGGGCTGGAATTTGCATTTAAAATGGGCCCAGAATCAGTGCACCAGAAGGGATGCGTTTTCAAACGTTCTCATAAGGAAACCGGGTTTAATTCTTGCGATTTGATCGGATCTGGATATCACAGCATATTTTTAAAGCAAAATTAGAGCTGAAATTTGCATTTGAAACCAGCCAAGATTCAGTACACTAGAAGGGGTGGGTTTTCAAAAGTTCTCATAGGGAAACCGGGTCTAACTCTTGCGATTTGATTGGATCTGGATATCACAGCATATTTTGCGAGCAAAACTGAAGCTGAAATTTGCATTTAAATAGAGCCCAGAGTCAATGTACGAGAAGGGGTGGGTTTTCAAAAGTTCTCCTAGGGAAACCGGGTCTAACTCTTGCGATTTGTTTGGATCTGGATATCACAGCATCTTTTTAAAGCAAAATTAGAGCTGAAATTTGCATTTTAAAAAATCAAGGTTGATCGCGTGACAATACGATGTGTTTACAGTATACAAGTCTCACGGTAGTCAATCTAATTTTCACATTTTTCGCTCAACTGGATGTCACAGCATATTTTTAGAGCAAAATTAGACACAAAATTTGCATTTAAAAAATCAAAGTTGAGCACTGTTGTACTTGGGTTGGCTGACTAGGGCTAGACCAAGTCAAACCAAGATTTAGCTAGGTCAGTCAAGCAGTAAGATCTGCCCAGGCCATTCCAACCGTGAATGAGGCCAGCCGAGTATCTGGTCCTAATCACAACATTACTTGTGAGCAATTTCGACACCAACACTTGTCTGACGAGAAAAGGAAGTCCCCTTTCACCGGAAAAAATTTTCTTTTTGTTTTCCGCCAACAATGGAACGCACAACGAGAGTTGGGTGTGAAAGAAATGAAAAAAAAAATCAAACAAAAAGTCGCATCGGTGTGACAACGATAAGCCGGGGAGAAAGGAGTGTTTGCACAAGAAAAAGACCCCCGGAAATTGATTCACTGAGTTTTTGGAGGGCCCCGGGGACTTGGGCTTAGATTTAAGATCTACTGTAAGACTGTGGACTGTAGCACATCGTATTGTTACGCAGTCAACTTTGACTTTTTTAAAATGTAAATTACATCTCTAATTTTGGTCTTAGAATATGCTGTGATATCCAGCTCAGATAGAATCGCTAAAATGAAATTCGGTTTCCCTATGAGAAGGGTTTAAAAACGAACCCTTTCTGGTGCACTGACTCTTGGCTGGTTTCAAATACAAATATCAGCTTTAATTTTCCTCTCAAAATATACTGTGATATCCAGATGAGATAAAAATATGAAAATTAGCCCCGGTTTTCCTAAGAGAACGTTTAAAAACGCATCCCTTCTAGTGCACTGAATCTTGGCTGATTTCAAATACAAATTTCAACTCTAACTTTGCTTTAAAAATATGCTGTGACATCCAGATCCGATAAAATTGCAAAAATTAGACCCGGTTTCCTTATGAGAACGTTTATAAACGCACCCCTTCTAGTGCACTGAATCTTGGCTGATTTCAAATACAAATATCAGCTTTAATTTTCCTCTCAAAATATACTGTGACATCCAGATCCGATCAAATGACAAAAATTAGCCCCCTTTTTCTTATGAGAACGTTTGAAAACACATCCCTTTTGGTGCATTGACTCTTTCATTTTAGTCCTTGAAGCTTTTGCAGGGGAAACTGGTCGGCTTTTTCTCACAAAAACCATTTGCATTTCTTTCTCTTTCTTTTTGGTTTTTGATTGATGAGATTTGTGAGTGAAGAGATTTGGAAGAGAAAGGATTGGGTAAGTGAACCAAAAACTTTGAGGGGTACTTTGTGCTCTCAAAACTTTGCCCAATCCTTTCCGAAACTCTCAGCTCTTTCCTGGGATAGTCTAGAGGTGAAAGAGCTTGTAAAAGATGGATCAGAGATCCAAAGAAGATCCATAAACATCGATAAAACAGCCATAGACATCGATAAGCATCTATAGACATCTATAGACATCCAAAGAACATCCATCAACATCCATAAGCATCTATAAACCTTTCCAGGGCGAGAACCGTACCGCTTGCAAGGCTTGTCGCTACGAGAAATGTCTACGCGTCGGCATGTCTCCAATGAGTACGGTAATTTCAGCTTGAGCCAGTCTAAGCCAGCCTGAGCCAGCCTAGGCCAACCTAAGCCAGCCTAAGCCTAGCCAGCCTAAGCCAGCTAAGCTAGCCAGCCAGCCTAAGCCAGCCAGCCAGCTAAGCCAGCTAAGCTAGCCAGCCAGCCTAAGCCAGCCTTAGCCAGCCAGCCAGCTAAGCTAGCCAGACAGCCTAAGCCAGCCAGCTAAGCCAGCCTAAGCCAGCCTAAGCCAGCTAAGCTAGCCAGCCAGCCTAAGCCTTGAATCTAGCTTCTCTCCTAAGTTCCAGAACCACTAGAAATCGATTCAAATTCGCTAAAATGTCCATTGAAAACCGTTTAGACTCGCGTTTCGGTCGTCGCTCGAAATACTTCAAAGTCTCAGCGGCTTTGTCCTTTCCGCGAGCAGGGATCACCAAGCTGGAGCACACGGTAGAGAATGCGACAAAAATTGAGTCGAAATCTCGAAAAGCTTCGCATGCAAATGTCGACGATCGCTCTCTGACTACTATTGGGCCGAATTTGAGCTCGAATCTGGAGCTAGGCCTCGGATTTGTTTATCCTGGAAGTCACACTAGCTGCTCATCGATTTTCCCACCACTTTTCACATACCAGCATCAGTTGCAACTCTATTTCGCTCGATTGCTCTTATCTTCAATTTCGATTTCATCGATTTCATCGATTTCACCGTTTTCACAATTTGAAACCCTTTCGTGACGTCCAGAAAGAATAAATTTACATTTAAAAAAATTTGCAAACAAATAAATGACAAAGATATTCAGTCAAACCCATTGCTCAGTCAAAACCCGAATCCTCTTGATTAAGTCCGATTTTCAAATTTTCTGCTCCATTGCTCTCTGTGATATCCAGATCGGCCGAATAACGGAAATAATTTACCCTCGAGTGTGATTTGAAGCGATTTATCGCGATGATTGTTTATGGAGCGGCTTAGCGAGGGTCGACTGGCCATTTCAAAGGGTTTACAAGGGGAAAAGGCCGTCCTGGGACACACCCAATATAGACATCCGGTTGCCAGGTCACCAACGAGCTTGAGACCCCGGGGGCCCTTTGTAGGATGCCGAAGCTCAAGGCTACCTGAAGAACAGATCTAGAAATGTTTAAAGCTTAGATTTTAATAATCTAAAGTCGAAAATGGCTAGCGTGAGTCCCAGATTGAAAGCTGAAAGCGCTTGATCGCCTCCAGCTCATAAAGTGCCAGTTTTAAAGAGCTCATCTGAGTTGACGCCGATTAAATGCAAATTCTTGCAAGGTTTTTGGCTTTTAAAGAAAGAAATGGTCAAGCTGGAACGCACACGATCGATTAGAGAAATAAAATCTAGGTTTTGTTGAGTTTTAGATTTCTATGGTCTAGGGTTACGGTAGTACTACCACCCTTTAGTCTAGGCTTACAGTAGACTTTTTCCAAAATACAACAAATTGCATTGATTTTTTTGCAAATCAATCCCGTGCCTTCCAGGAAAGGCTTTCTCTTCTTTCTTTTTGCCAAAAAATGGGTGTGGCTTGATCTCTAGGGGCAGCTATGCTCCACCCCTCCACCTTCACCTCCAAAGTGATCCCTTTTCGCCCGCCCGCCTCCTTCTTGTCGCGTGTGCGTTCCACGAAACGTGTCGAGTGTATTGTTTAACGTCTGATTTGAGTGGGTGACGACAAAATTGCCCAGTCCTGTAACACTCGAGTCGCAAATCAACGACTCTCGTCTCTATGTCGATCACCTAAACAGAAATGAGGCCACGAATTTTTCTGCTTCTATTCTGGGCGGCACACTTGCGAGCGATCGACATTTTTTGTGGAAAGCTCACCGTTTACGAGTGAGTAGGAAAATTTGCATAATTGACCAATTTGCATTTATAATCAAATTTGCATTAATAATCAAATTTACATTTATAATTAAATTTCCATTAATAATCAAATTTCCATTAATAATCAAATTTACATTAATAATCAAATTTACATTAATAATTAAATTTACATTAATAATCAAATTTACATTTATAATTAAATTTACATTAATAACTAAATTTGCATTGATAATCAAATTTGAATTGATAATTTACAAATTTGCATTGATAATCGACCTTTTTAGACAACAACGTTTCGACGGAAACTCTTTTATTCTTTCTTCGCAAGCAACTGATGATTTAAAAGGATGTTTGGAGATTTGTTGCAATATACCAAGTGGGTTACGTTTAAGTGAAAGCACAAAGTACACTGCTAGTACAAGTGCACTGCCGAATTGGGTTCTACGTCAAAATTCGCAGATCCGTAAAGCAATGCATAAACATTTGCATAGATTTCACCGATCTGGGATGCACACTTTGAAAATTTACAGGAAACGGGCTCTCTTTGCTGCATATTAAAATGAAAGAGTCAGTGCACCAGAAAGGGTGCGTTTTTAAACACTTCTCATAGAGGAACCGGGTTTAATTTTAGCGATTCTATCTGATCTGGATATCACAGCATATTTTTAAAGCAAAATTAGAGCTGAAATTTGTATTTGAAACCAGCCAAGATTCAGTGCACTAGAAGGGATGCGTTTTTAAACGTTCTCTTAGGAAAACCGGGTCTAATTCTTGCGATTTGATTGGATCTGGATATCACAGCATATTTTTAGCCCAAAATTAGAGTTGAAATTTGTATTTGAAACCAGCCAAGAGTCAGTGCACCAGAAGGGAAGTGTTTTCAAACGTTCTCATAAGGAAGCCGGGGCTAATTTTTACGATTCGATCGGATCTGGATGTCACAGTATATTTTGGGAGGAAAATTAAAGCTGATATTTGCATTTTAAAAAGTCAAAGTTGACTGCGTAACAATACTATGTGCTACAGTCTACAAATATTACCGTAGCCAACCTAATTTCTACATTTTGGTCTCATCTGGATGTCACAGCATATTTTAAGACCAATATTTAAAGGTAAATATCTGGATATACGATATTTGACTCATTTCAGGGCCAGGTGGACACCCTGAGACCCAGGCAATAAGCAGCCAGCCTTAGCCTCTCTCATAACCAGCCGTTATGAGAGACTCACGGTTATCGTTTCCCAGTTCCCAGGTCAGAGTACCAATTATCCTCGGGCTAATTGATCGGTTCAAATCGTGGCGGGGAAGAGATTTTGAACTGCAGCTGGAACTGGAGAAAGATTTGTGCTAGTTTTAAAGATATGGTAAATCCGCTTGATTGAAAATCTCTTGTGCATTCCAGATTGGAGAAAAAAGGCAAAAATTTCATGTCTGCTTTGAAAAATTTCCTTAAAAACGACCCAGCTATGAAATGTCAAAAAAAAATTTAATTTGTTTATAAAATAACTCGCTCCAAAATCTCATGTGCATTCCAGCTTGGAGAAATAACGCAAAAAAACCATCAAAATCCAATGTTTTCTTTGAGAAATTTCCTTAAACCACCCAGCTACAAAATGTAAAAAAAATTTTAGTTTGGTGTTGTAAAGTAAAATAGCTCGTTCAAAAATCTCGTGTGACTTCCAGATCGGCGAAAAAACGCAAAAATTTCATGTCTTCTTTGGAAAATTTCCTTAAAAACGGCCCAGCTATGAAATCTGGCTAAGGATTTTTGTTTAATTCGTTTATAAAGTAAAATAACTCGCTCCAAAATCTCATGTGACTTCCAGATCGAAGAAAAAACTCAAAAAAATCCAATGTTTTCTTTGTGAAATTTCCTTAAACAACTCAGCTATGAAACTGGCTAAAAAAATTTAGCTTAACTTGTTCATAAACTGAAAGAACTCGCTCAAAAATCTCTTGTGACTTCCAGATCGGCGAAAAACAGCAGAGAATCCACACTTTTCTCCCAAAAACCCAATCTTTTTGTGACTCAAGATATTGTGTCCTTTTCTTTGCCGTTTTCTTAGTCGTTTTCTTTTTGGGCGATCTTTTCCCGGCCCCACCCCGCAGCCGCATTAGCTCAGTTGGTAGAGCGTCAGACTTTTAATCTGAATGTCAGGGGTTCGAGCCCCCTATGCGGCTAATCATTTTTTTCTTTTTCTGCTTTTTTTTTGCTTGATTCGTTTAAATCAAAATTTTAAGTTTCTAGCTTTTTTCGAGACTCTCTTTAATTCGATGATAAAATTTGGGGTCAATTTGGGGGGAATCGTTGAAAAAACCTGTTTTTCAACGATTTCCCCGATTTTTTTCAACTAATTAGCGCCTGAATTTTCGTGATTTGGGATTTTGAGTGAATTTGTGTTCGGGAAAATCGCTTGAAACCATTTTTATCTATTTTTTCTGGTGATCTGGAAGTCACATGACCCTTTTGATGAGCTAGATTTTTCATTTCTCTGAATTTTCGTGATTTGAAGATTTTGAGTGAATTTGTGTTCGAGAAAATCGCTTAAAACCATTTTCATCGATTTTTTTGGTCTGGAAGTCCATGCCCTTTGTGGCTAGATTTTCATTTCTCTGAATTTTTTTAATTTGGGATTTTGAGTGAATTCGTGTTCGGGAAAATCGCTTGAAACCATTTTCATCGATTTTTTCTGGTGATCTGGAAGTCACATGACCCTTTTGATGAAGTGGATTTTTAAGTTATCTGCAAAAAAAGTTATTCAAAAAAAAGTTAATCAAATTTTATCGTTATTAAACGAAATTTGCATATATGGAAGCAATTTGCATTTAAAAATGATTTGCATTTAAAAATCAGACATTCCGCCTGGCCTTGAATGCAAATTTTGACCGTTTTTTTCGGTTTTGTCGGCTTTTTTCGTTTTCGGCTTTTTTTCTTCAGCGTTTTCCTTTTTTCGACAAATCGTATTGAGAAAAGTCTCTATTGTCCCCGTTTTTTCGCTTTGCTTTTCGATAGGAGCGAAATTAGAAAGTGAAATCGATTCTTATTGCTTTCTCCTCTCCCATAAATGCAAATTTCTCTCCAAAAATTTCTCGAAATGTCCGAAATCTCCGAAATTAGCGCGTCGAAATGAGAATGCTTCATTTCCATCGCAGGGAAAGCAAATTTTGCAATTTCTCTTCAATTCTCAGTCATTATGGAAGGCAAAAGAGGTGCTGAAGTGAAAATAGGAGGCTTTAAACATAGGAGGCTTTAAATTAAGCTCGATGAACAGCTCGATAATTAAGCTTAAACAAAGATTTCATTGATATCGAATAAATTTATGCAAACTTGTGCCTAAATATCAATGTGACTTCCAGAAAAGACAATAGTAACTTTGAGAATCAAATTGCATAACGTTTTCCCTGAAAAATTCGCCCAGTCCTGTACTTTTTGGTGTACTTTGTGCTTCAAGGTAAACGCTTGTTCCTGGCGCACCACCTTGAAGCAAAATCAATGGACTCCAGAAAGCACAAGAACTGGGAGAGAGCTGGATAAGATTTTCCATGAAAAATTCGCCCAGTCCTGTACTTTTTGGTGTACTTTGTGCTTCCAGATAAACGCTTGCTCCTGGTGCACCACCTTGAAGCTTAAATATCACTGTGACTTCCAGAAAAGACAAAAGTAACCTTGAGAATGAAATTGCATAACGTTTTCCTTGAAAAATTCGCCCAGTCCTGTACTTTTTAGTGTACTTTGTGCTTCCAGATAAACGCGCGCTCTCTAGCGCACCACATTAAAGCCTAAACATCAATGTGACTTCCAGAAAGCACAATGGTAACATGGAAAATTGAGTTTAATAAGAGTTTCCATGAAAAATTCGCCCAGTCCTGTTCTTTTGGGTGTACTTTGTACTTTTTTGGTGTACTTTGTACTTTTTTGGTGTACTTGGTGTACTTTGTGTTTCCACGTAAACGCCCAGCTTCCACCAGACATTGTAAACATCAATTTAGATTATAAATTAGAAAGTGAAATCGATTCTTTTTTGTTTTCCCATAAATGCAAATTTCTCTCCGAAAATGTCCGAAATTTCTCGAAATTAGAGGCGTCGAAATGAGAATGGTTCAATTCCACCGCAGGGAAAGCAAATTTTGCAATTTCTCTTCAATTCTCAGTCATTATGGAAGGCAAAAGAGTTGCTGAAATGAAAATTTCAGTAAAATTTTTAGAATTTTCTCTTCATTACTGAAAGAAATTGAGAATGGATGGATTTAAGGCCAGGGGAAAAAGCTTTTCAAATTCTCGCTCGATTTTCAGCGATCCTGGATGTCATGTAAATTGTTGCGCAATTGAGAAAATTGAAATTCGGCAATTGAAAAAATTTTTGATCTTTCCGTCGTAAAGCATCGTACACTCGTACAGCGTCGTACTCTCGCCCACTACACTCATCCCCGGTCGCGCAAAACACCGCTTTGATCGCATATTTGCGTGTTCTGGATCTCACCATCTAGCCCCAATCCACTTGAATGGTCCACTTGTGTGCAAGTGGTTTGAGGCGAGGCGCCGCTTTCTTCACAAAGCCAAAACAGCACTTGGAAGATGAGATTATTGGGAGATGAGGTTTTTAATCGACGATCTGGAACGCACACGAGTCTCTAAATATCAGAAAAAGTACTCAAACAGCTAAAAAAAAAAAAAAAAATTTTTGGTTTAATTACCCAACTCTGACTCGGTCGATTTTTTAGTTAATTTTTCAAATTTCAAAATTTCTTTTCTTTTTTTGGTAACTATGGAAGTCTTTTTTTGTTTTTTGGGCTTTCTTTTCTTTCTTTTCTTTGTTTTTTGAATGAAAATCGATCATTTATCGGTCTCTTGGGGACAGGATTAGACAAACGATCCACAATACTCCTCGAGGCATTTTCCTAGAGGGAAAGCGTTGATCTGTACAAATAAACAGGTAGAGATTGATCGATGGGATGCACAGGGAAGCTGGGGAAATTTTTGAATGGGTTTTCTTGTAGAATTTGGATCTGAGAAATCTCGGTTCAATTACCCAATTTTTGACAAAATTTCAAAATCATAAGATTGCTGTTAAAATGATAAATTTGGATAGCGTGCGTTCCAGATCTCACAGAAAATCTGTTTTTATCGGAATACAAGTCATTTGCCCCATTTAAAACCCCCAAACTCTGAACCATCAACCATACTAGAGGGAAAGCGTTGATCTGTACAAATAAATAGGTAGACATTGATCGATGGGATGCACAGGGAAGCTGGGGAAATTTTTGAATGGGTTTTCTGGTAGAATTTGGATCTGGAAAATTTCGGTTCAATTACGCAAGTTTTGGCAAAATTTCAAAATAACAAGATTGCTATCAAAATGATAGCTTTGGATAGTGTGCGTTCCAGATCTCCCAGAAAATCTATTTTTATCCGAATACAAGTCATTTACCCGATTTTAAACCCCCAAACTCTGAACCATCAAGTCGTCATCAACCACCGAGTCATCAACCCACCCAGAATTCTGCCTCGATCAACTCTGCCAGTCATGTGCGCGCCAGATCTCCCAGAAAACCCATTAGAATTCTAATTTCTCAAATTCGAAGCCATTTTTCATCGCAAACTCATCGAGCCCATGGGAAACCCTTGACTAACAAGGGCATTTGTTGTCTCACCAAGATTAGTACCAAGCTAAGTGGCCAGCCCGAGCCAGAAAAGAAAACTATACGATTTATTTTGGCCGCTTTGGCCGCTTTAGCCGCTTTGGCCGCTTTAGCGTTTTTGGCGGTACTTGAAATTAGTATCAAAAGAGATATTTGTCTGAATATGCATTACCAAATTCGCCCTCAGCACTCACACACCATTTATCTCGAAGGGAAAAGGGTTGAATGGACGTTCATTAATTTTTCATACACCTCAATAGGGTTGGGAAGGGCTGGGGGCTGGGGAAGGCTGGGAGAGAGCTGGGGAAGGCTGGGGAGAGAGCTGGGAGAGAGCTGGGGAAGGCTGGGGAAGAGCTGGGAGAGGGGAGCCCAGGAGTACCCTAGAGGCTCTAGGGCCTGAACCTAACATTTCAATATTTCACCAATTTAACAAATCCAATAGCTCACGTGCGTTCCAGCTTGACAAAATCTAACATCAGAAGATAAGGTTTCCAACAAAATTTGGGAATTTTAGGCGTGAACCTGTTCCTCGATCTTGGGGTTAGCCCAAAAGTCCCGATTTCGTCTATTTAACAAATCCAGTGGCTCTTGTGCTATCCAGCTTGACAAAATTTAACATCAGAAGAGAAGCTTTCCAACAAAATCTTGGAATTTTGGGCGTGAACCTGTTCCTCGATCTTGGGGTTAGCCCAAAAGACCGATTTCGTTCATTTAACAAAACTAATAGCTCATGTGCTATCCAGCTAGACAGTTTTCGAAATCAGAATAAAAGATTTCCAACAAAATTTGAAGATTTTAGGCGTGAACCTGTTCCGGTCGACTCTGGGGTTAGCCCAAAAGGCCGATTTCGTTCATTTAACAAATCCAGTGGCTCATGTGCTATCCAGCTTGGCAAAATTTAACATCAGAGCAAAAGATTTCCAACAAAATCCGGAAGTATTTCGGGTGAACCCTATAAACTGTGAATAGTGGTGTGTTTTCTTTCTTTTCACACGAGAATCGCCACCCGAATGAACGCGATGCACATAAAATATCTCTATTGGCTATGAAAGAATCACCTAAACACAATAAAATACTGTTTTTATGCATTCTCAGGCGGTTTTATGTGCGTTTTTAGAAGCACTTTGTAGCGCTGTCGTGTGCCTTTAGAATTTCTCACTCTTTTGCCGGTTTTTTTAAGGTTTATAGGAATCGTGCGTTCCAGAATTGAGCTAGAAGGAGAAGTTTTTGGAATTTAAAATCGGTTAAACGAGTTTTGGCGGTGAAAAGCGTTCACTCGAAAATTCCCCAAATTTTGTTGGAAATCTTTGTTTTGATTTCGAAAACTGTCCAGCTGGATAGCACATGAGCTAATGGTTTTGTTAAATAAACGAAATCGGCATTTTGGGCTAAGCTCAGGATCGATCGGAACAGGTTCACGCCTAAAATTCCAGGATTTTGTTGGGAATCTTTTATTCTGATTTCGAAAACTGTCCAGCTGGATAGCACATGAGTCACTAATTTTGTTAAATAGACGAAATCGGGACTTTTGTGCTAACCCCAGGATCGAAGAACAGGTACAGCCCTAAAATCTCCAAATTTTGTTGGAAAGCTTCTCTTCTGATGTTAAATTTTGCCAAGCTGGAACGCACGTGAGCCACTGGATTTGTTAAATAGATGAAATCGGCACTTTTGGGCTAACCCCAGAGTCGACCAAAACAGGTTTACCCCTAAAATTCGAAGATTTTATTGGAAATCGTTTATTCTGATTTCGAAAACTTTCCAGCTGGATAGCACATGAGCTATTAGTTTTGTTAAATAGATGAAATCGGCCTTTTGGGCTAACCCCAGAGTCGACCGGAGCAGGTTCACGCCTAAAATTCCAAGATTTTGTTGAAAAGCTTTTCTTCTGATGTTAGTTTTTGTCAAGCTGGAACGCACATAAGCTAATGGATTTGTTAAATTGGTGAAAATTTTATTTTAAAGGGCTCTCAAATTCTCTCCTCTTTCTCCTCTCTCAAATTTTTCACTATTTCCCGCTTTTTGAGAAATTTCGCTGGAAGAAATAGTCGAAATCGCTATTTTGCATAAAACTTTGAGAACCCATTCATCAAATGGACAAAAAGAAAAAAGAAAAGAAAAAAAAAGCACTTGGACAACGAATAAAACGGTCAAACGGTCAAAAAAAAAGCGAAAGACGCGAAAAACAAAATCGATTTGACATTGAGATTTAAGACTGAATATCTTTTTGGATGGATAAAAAGAAAAACGGACAAAAAAGAAAAAAACGATAAAAAGGCTTAATTTAGTGCACGAGAAGGGATGCGTTTACAGAAATGCTTTCAATGCTTTCAATCCTTTCAAACCTTTCAATCCTTTCAATGATTTAAATTTCCAATTTTTCAGATTGTCAAGGCGTCACCCTGCTCGGCATCATCACCCCGAGGCCCGGTGAGCCGAATTGCTTATTGGTGAGTTGAAAAGTTGTAAAATGGAAAAACAGAATCTTCCGTGCTTCTATTTTCTAAGTTGACATCCAGAATGGGCAAATCATCAAAAAAAATTCGACGTCTCTTGCAAATTTCCAAAGAAATTCATTAGAGAAAATTTTATGATAGATGCTTTCTGTAAAATGGAAAAACAGAATCCTCCTTGCTTCCATTTTCTAAGTTGACATCCAGGATGAACAGATCTTTATGAAAAATTCGACGTCTCTTGTAAATTTCCAAAGAATTTTATTAGAGAAAATTTTCTGATAGACGACTTTTGTAAAATGGAAAAGCAAAAACTTCCGTGCTTCTATTTTCTAAGTTGACATCCAGGATGATCAAATCTTTCTTCAAAATTAGAAGTCTCTTGTAAATTTCCAAAGAAATTCATTAGAGAAAATTTGATGATAGATGCCTTCTGTAAAACGGAAAAGCAGAAACTCCCGTGCTTCTATTTTCTAAGTTGACATCCAGGATGATCAAATCTTTCTTCAAAATTGCAAGTCTCTTGTAAATTCCCAAAGAATCTCATCAGTGAAAATTTGCTAATAAATGCCTTTGAAAAAATTCTAAAAACCTCGAATTTTAAGAGTTATTTGCCTTCCGTGCCTTCCAGCTTGCACAAAAAATTAGTTAAAATCAAAATCTCTCAAATGCTGACAGAAAATCTCGAATGAACTCAAAGCGTTTCCAGTTTGGTTGCCGCGGCGGTGATTGCTCGCTATCGGCAAAGGGAAACTTCAACGACGGGCTCATTTCTGTCGTTTTGGCAAGAGATTTGGTATACAGGAAAGCAAAAAAAAAATGCAAATTTCCGCTATTCAGGCAAATGAGTCGACGACAGCGACGGCGGGGATGGACTCCAGGGGACACTTGATATCGGGTTGGTTTCGGGGACGGTAACTTAGTCTAGAAGACTGTGTGAGTTCCAGTTTGACCAAAAATAGTTTCATTTTTGACGCTGGCCAATCCAGAAGCTTTATTTTGGCTTAAACTCGTAACTACAGCTTACATCTGGCATTGAATTGATTTGGGGTACTGTAACTTAGTCTAGAAGACTGTGTGAGTTCCAGTTTGACTAAAAATAGCTTCATTTTTGACGCTGATCAATCCAGAAGCTTTATTTTAGCCTAAACTCGTAACCACACTTTGCACTTGACATTGAATCGATTTGGGGTACTGTAACTTAGCCTAGAGTACGGTGTGACATCCAGTTTAACCAAAAATAGCTTCATTTTTGACGTTGGCCAATCCAGAAGCTTTATTTTGGCCTAAACTGGTAACTACAGTACATCTGGCATTGAATTGATTTGGGGTACTGTAACTTAGTCCAGAATATAGTGTGAGCTCCAGTTTGACCAAAAATAGTTTAACTTTTGAGGTTGGCCAATCCAGAAGCTTTATTTTGGCTTAAACTCATAGCCACACTTTGCACTTGACATTGAATTGATTTGGGGTACTGTAACTTAGTCTAGAGTACGGTGTGAGCTCCAGTTTTGCCAAAAATAGCTTAGTTTCTAATCTTTATAGGCTCTTCACCGCTCAACCCCCGTCCACTCACATACACAACGGCCGCAACGATACTAATCCCGGAAACGTTCGAGAAAGCGCCGTCAATGGTCCCGAATGGGCTTTGTGCGTTTCAGAAAGAGCAATTCTCAAGAGAAATTCTATTTTTCATTTCAGATCCCTCGCCAACGCCATCACTCCCAATTTCTGCATACCCGCCACTCCATCAAACGCCCGACGGAGCGGTGATTGTCGGTGATCACGATAACAACGCGAAAATGACGAAAGCCCTGCAACCAGTTTGGGCAGTCGGATTGGCGATTGTCATCGCCGTGGTGAGTTTCCAAAAGTCGCAATATATATCGCAAAATCGGGCAGACGATAAGGAAAAAGATTTTTTCTGAAAATCAAAAATCTGAATCACAGAAATTCTAGTGTGACATCCAGGTCGAAGAAAAAACGCAATAAAAATCAAATTCCTCTTACCAATTTTTCGGAAAAATCGCAAACTCTTGACATTTCGTGAGTTCGTGCTTATCCCAAAAAATTGGTAAGAGGAATTTGATTTTTATTGCTTTTTCTTCGATCTGGATATCACACTAGAATTTCGATGATTCAGATTTTTGATTTTCAGCAAAACATTTGCATTCGAGCCGCGGAATAGCCGCAAACTCTTCGCAGTGCACATCGAGTGCCAATGTTTTGTCGAAAATCAAAAATCTGAATCATAGAAATTCTAGTGTGACATCCAGATCGAAGAAAAATCGGAATTAAAATCAAATTCCTCTTCCCAGTTTTTCAGAAAAGTCTCAAACTCTTGCGAGTGCACATCGAGTACAAATTTTTTGCTGAAAATCAAAAAACTGAATCATAGAAATTCTAGTGTGACATCCAGATCGAAGAAAAAACGCAATTAAAACAAAATTCCTCTTACCAATTTTTCGGAATAATCGCAAACTCTTGACAGTCCATTCTCTGCAGTCCAACGACAATCTCTGAAGAGCTCAACTCTGACTAGCACATGTATTAGCATTTTTGGTCAATAAAGATCAAGTAAAGTCCTGAAAATTCGATATTAGCAATGGATGTTATCCAAAAAAGTTCTCGATTATTGCGAAAAATTGGTAAGAGGGATTTTGTTTTAATTGCGTTTTTTCTTCGATCTGGATATCACATTAGAATTTCTAGCATCCGAATTTTTGATTTTCACCAAAACATCCGATGTGCCGGGCTGGAGTTTCCTGTCCAAAGACTGAGCCATAGCCATTCTATCCCTTTTCCGGTGCCCCCATTTACATTACTATCCTTTTCGCAGGTCTAAAAGTACAGTATGTACAGTATTCTTTAAGGTCTAGAAGTACAGCAGTCTGTAGGGTAAATTCTAGGCATATCCTAGAACAGTTTATTATTCTCTCGTAATCCCATTCGATTTCCAGTGTTGTGTCGGTCTTTCACTCGGTCTTCTCTCGGCTTACATCTGCTATCGGAGGCAGAAAAATCGAAAGCAACGAGCCGAGATCACCCAACCAAAAATGCCTACTCTGCACGCTTTCAACACTGCATACTAATGATGATTCTTGGATAATTATCCAATTTTAAGTCTTACCTAGTCATTAATCTTGAAAATTCACTCACCTTCAACTTTGTATTCAAACATTTTCCTCCACTACGGGTACTAGATTCTCTATTTTGTTTTCCTGAAAACGAATAAATTTCTTCAAAACCCTTATTATCATCTAGAGATTGATTGACAAATCGAATGAAGAAAATTACAAAAGAAAAGCCAAAAAAAAAGAAAGAAAAGGGTGACAATCACACATGAAAATGATAGTAATCGATGGGTTTTTTACGTGAAAATTTCACTTTCAAAACTTCTCTAAACACAAAAAGAGAAAGAAAGAGAGAGAGAGAAACAAACAAACAAACAAGCAAACGATCACAACTCAAGTAACACAAAAAAAGAAATCGAAGCGCATACCGTACTCTTTTATCTTAATTTACATTGAAGATCATTGCATTTCAAAATTTGCATTAAAGTTACAGTAAAATCCACTCCACAAATATTGTAATTTGTGCATTGTAAAGCTACAATATCACTATCTAACTGCAGTATCCTAAAAGCATTCGATTTTGCTCTACGGTTCGCAAATTTGCATTTAAAGCTGTACTGTAAAGCTATCCTCCAGTATCTCAAAAACTGACGTCAAGCTGTCATTTTAAAGTACTTTAAAGCCACAGTAATCCGCTCCTCATTAGCCTAGCTAATTCGGTGAAGATTAGTGCCAAATAGAAAACACAATCATTTTTTAAAAGCTTTCAAAGGTGCGCAAAATTTGCACATGAAATGGCCTCCAATTAGCACTTTTACACGATACGGTATGCTTTTACAACAAAAATGCGAAATAAAGAAAGGAAGAAATCTCGATTTCACCTTAAACATACAATGAGGATACAAATGAACAATCTTTAAAGGAAACGCGGAGGAATTTTCAGGAAATTCCCCACCAAACTCACTGAACATCGTATCGGGAATTGGTGCGAAAGGAATTTACATGCAAAGTGGAACCTTTTTGCCTAAACTTCTGCGGGCTTTTCTCGTCGATCGGGATATTTACATTCATTGCATTGCTCGGTCCCTCTTCATCTTCTTCATTGATGCTCGTCGTGTCCCAAGCGACGCACGTAGTCTGATCCTGGCACGGGAAACAGTCTAAAGGAAACGATTACGGGTACTTTTAAGCATTAGTGAATTGTGGTACTTGGCTACTCATCTATCAATCACCCAGAATGTTAATTTTTGAAAATTTGCACTATAAACGCACTGTAAAGCCGCAGTAATCCTTCTGGAAACAGTATTCCGAAACTAGCGCGAAATAGGAAATTTAAAATACTGTTAAGTTACCGTACCCTGTCTCACTAAAGTATCGCGAAAATACAAAAGTTTTAAATTGCTGCAAAACTCAAGTACTTTTATTCTGCACATTTTATCCTGGCTAATCAAATCGCTAAACAATCCACTCACCAAGAGAAACCGTTGGTGAATCGAAATTTCCACAAATGCTGTTCGTTCGCGAGCATGCCGCCGAAGCAGATTGACTGAGGTGACGACTAAATAACGAAATTTTTACGTGCAATATATCCGGCCTCAAAATGGCCAAAGTTAGTTTGATGATCGAACTTTTTGACCAAACAAAAGCTCACCGAAAAGGCCTCGTCAACGCCAGTGAGATGTTCGAAAGAGTGCGTCGAATTCGTCCGGGTTGCTTCTTCTGCCGAGAACTCTCGAGTAAACTTGATGGATAGAAACTGAAGCACAAACAAATTGACTAAAGAATTCCCAAACCCACTCGGCATTCTGCTCCTGAAGACTCATTCGTCGCACACCCAAGTCATGACTACTGCCGAACGCATCATCATGGAGTTGTTGACGGGAACTAAAAGAGAAACTTTTGAATATTACAGAAGTACAAGAAAACGCAAATCAACCATAAACTCACCCAAAGAGGCTGACTCGATCGCATTGACTCGTCACACTATTGCTGGCCAGAGAAGTCCTCGAAGTCGACAAGAGTTGAGAACTAAAAATGAGCGAGCTTTATAGATACAGGTAGCTTTATCCAATGATGTAGTGCTGACTTTATCATTAGTATGAAAAACTCACTGTTTCAAAGTGTTCAGCACAGCGGGCACCGGATATTTCCCCAATCCAGTCGTTTCCTCATACTCCTCATAAACGTCTCGCTCGTGCAGGGAAATGATCTGAAGGAAAATATTGGGTTGGGAAGAATGAAATGACGCCAAACTTTAAAGACACATTTTGCACGTAAAAAGCCTTCTTTAAATACACTTTAAATACATGTTGTTTCATCAAAAGATTCCACTATTTCTCTACAAAATGACTTTTGAGAGATTCCACAAAGCTTTTCTTTCGTGGAGTTTATGGACTCTCAAGTCACAGCTAGTCAAAATGGCAAAGAATCCAACTCATCGTTTGAACAGTTTCTTCCACATAAACCTTCTTTGGTATCTACATAAAAAAGATAGAGCACACTCAATTACATAAGTTGCCAAATTTTCAGGAAGAGCTCTCCAACCGTTTTCTTTAGATGACAGCTTATAAATTTTGTGAAAAAAAATGGCTTTTGTTGAGCTGAGGCGCTGTTTGAGTTCTTTTTTAAATGTCATTTTGTAGAGAATTAGTTAACCTTTCTACTGATATCAAACGGATATCATTTGACAAAGTCTGCTAGAAGTTTTAGAAACTTCTTTGATTTTCGGCGCCATTTCATCCTCCTCAACCCCATAAATGATTAGCGATCAAATTCTCTCCACAAAAAACCTTTTTCCTCATCGTCTCCATCAATGCTTTCACATTCTCAGCCGAATCCTGCGTGTTCTCAACGACAAATGTCAACTCCATATCGCTGCTCATCGGCTCACGAATGATCAACACATAGACGGGAGCTAAACGAGATTTATTGTATTATTCTTGCATCACCTACCTTGCATCAATCCAATCGAATGAATCCCACGAATCTTGTCCAATGAATAGTGTTGTTGATAGCGCAGCTTTTGTGGTGGTTCTTGCTGCATATCACTAAAAGAGAATAGGCTAAAGTTTCACAAAAGAAGTTACCTGCTGAAAACGGCGCTTCTCATTCGTCGCAACGTGCCGGAGGTCTCATTTCGACGGACCTTGCAAATCTGAAAGGTGGCAAATCATTTTTCGAAACTATTCAGCATTAGTATGTTTAAAATCTAAAGCGAACACAAAAATGTACCCACAATGAGACAATCATCGAGCAAGAAAAGCCTCATCGGTCGCCTTTCATTCGCCCACGACTCAGAGCCGGCCAAAAGACGCATACTCGCCGAAATGATCAACTCGCGGTGGAAACTGATGAGTGACGGCTAAATAAGTTGAATTTGATTAGAAATAAATGTTCTAAACTTACCGGCAAATCCCGAATATCCTTGAGTGCTCTTAAATGTTTCTCACTGTTCTCAATGCGCGTCTTGCTGCTGTTTGTGCCTCTAAACATCAAAAATGAATCAACACCAAGCTTTTCTGTAACCTGTTGATTTGCTCAATGCATTTTGCTGCGTCGGACAACTTTCGGATGTCTCTTTTTGCGATCACCGCTTTCTTGATGCCCTCTAAACGCCAAAAATTATAAGTTGAGTCAATAATTTGACGAGCAAAAGCCTAAGAAAGTAGTGCTCATTTAAGTATACGGCACAAAAGAAACCATTGAAAATGAGTTGCGTTTGCATGAGATGTTGCACGGGCATAATTAGAAGATCTTTCACTCGAAGTCGCTCCCAATCGGGTCGGCGTTCCGCTTCCTGAAAGCAAAGTGTATGGTAAATCCTTGCAAAAACAATTCAAACATTTGAAAATCTAAACTTTACCTTAACAATATCATGAAAAGCCACATTCGTGGCCATCAAATTGTCGTAACAGGCATTGAAACTGACGGCATCGTAGAAATTGACGTACGGTGGATAGTAACGGGCAAGTTCCGCCTTGAAATGCACCCAGATCTAAAATGATAACGATATAATCGACATCTCAAGCACAAAATTCACATCAACCATGCCGAAATTTGCGTCCGGTTTCTCCAAACAGCGGCGACAATGGCGTAGAATCAGCTCGTGCACGGCCAAAATTGAATGGATCTGATAAAAGATAAACGCGAGGTAATAAATCTAAACAAAACTACCTTGCCAAACATTTGTTGAATTTCACGATTGTAGCCATTCGGAAGTCGCTCAATGAGGGTCTCGTTTAACTAAATAATAACAGTAAATGCTTCAGGTGGCCGCTAAGATCCTTAAAAGTAAAGAATAACCAAAAAAAATACCATGCTAAGCCTCTGCAAAGCTTTCACATAACTATCCTCAAGTGCGACAAGCTCGGCGTAGATCTAAAATGCACAAAATGAGTCAACATACCTATATCAAAAGCTGCACCTGTATCGTGACTTTATCCATTTTCGGCATTGGGATTGAGGTGAGCGAGACGTTTTCTTCCGGGATTCCATCTTCATAGGGAACTAAAGCAAAGTGTGATGCTTGAACTTGAAAACAAACCATAAACTCCTGTGGAATGTTGCGATGAGTAACGTGAGCGGCCAGAAGAAAACGTTGTGGCACTAGAACGAGAAACTTGTGAATAATGAACAAATTTGTCGACAATGAAGCACTAGAGTCTCAAATCAAGGTCACTTACCGACTAGCCGAGCCCTCCAAGCAATGATCAATCTTTTCGTAGCGCTCGTAGCGAGGGAAAAGCTGAAAAGATTCCGCATTCCGAGCACCACCATAGCGAATCGACTCGTCGAACCACTAAAGATTGAGTATATTTATTGTAGCTGATAGGATTTACCTCAAGTGTGACCACAAATTGTTTTCCGATCTCGAAAGGGAGACCTTGATTGAGATCGACGTCATTTCCGACAACAATATGAGTGGCACGTGATGGATAATCGCACACATTGGCACCTAGAAGTCAATGAGGTGGCTTGTTGTTAGGCTTGTTGTTAGTCAAGTGTTGCCAGAACATAAAAATGAAGCTACGTTCGTTGGAAGCTATTAAAAACTGTTGAATTGTCTGGTTTGTTGTGAGTCACGTAAACATTTTCTCACCATAATCCCTAGTCAACAACTCGTAATTCTCAAGCACCATCTCGTTTTTGATCCCCACAAAGTAGATCGTCATTCCGGTGAAACAGGGCAGGGTGTGCTTTTTAAGCTAAACAAATAGTGAATTATTGAAAGAAAATTAAAGATACCAAAATAGAGTCTTTGTCCAGGGAATCGATTCGATTTCGGTGATTCTCCCAAATGTCATTGATCCATTCCTGGTCGACCACCGTTTTTCCAAGAGAAGTTGCAACCTAGAACAAAAAATATCAAAACTACGAGAAACTTTAAAAGCTTGTTCGGCTTTTATCAAAGTTCTCGGTGCTTTGGTGGTTGGGTGGGGCCACTTCTGGCTTGGTTTCGTCAAATCTAGTGTTTTCAGCGGTTCGTGGCGATACTTTTCTTCTATTCTGAAGAAAGAGACATACGCTGAAGCGATTGGTGCTAATTTTAGAGTATTTCCAATATGTTTCAAGTTAGTTCCAAACAGCTTTCAAAGTGTAATCAGCTTTGAGATAACGTACGGTGGTTAAAGTACAGCAGCCTTGGATACAGAACAAATCATCGAATCGTACTATCAAAAAACGTGCTTAAATTAGCATCAATAGCTTCAGAATAGAAAAAAGTATCGATACGAATCGCTCAAAACACTAGATTCAACAAAGCAAGCCAAAAGTACCTCCCAAACACCAAAACCAAATTCTTCCCCAAAACTTACATCGTAATCCTTGCCAAACGTCCGATCCGTTAATAAATGTGTTATCTTGGCGCTCATCTAAAAGAAAATGGTCCAAAGCTTTGCAAGTGAGTGAACCTCTCTAACAACCGTGGCTCCCAAGTATTTTGCTCTCCAGTAGTTTTGATTCACGCTCATGTGGCTATCCTCCGAACGAGCAGTATGCATCCTTAAACCGAAAATTTAAAGAATATTGGCTTGTTAATTCGTAGCTTTTAAATCTATTGATTCTAATGTTTTAACTAAACGATCGGTTCGATAGCCCAGATCAGGTACAATCCAGCCATTAGTACCGAATATACATGATACGGCATATATACTGTTGCGCTCTACAAAAGGATGATTTTCTCAAAAACCAAGAGTTGCTTCGTTTCGATATTTAAAATCTAGAGACATTTTTCCACTAGCTTTTCACATTTTTTCACTGAGCATGTGTAAAAATTTAAAACTTGATTCGTTTCATATAAGACTTTAAAACTTGATTTCTGCTCTCGAAAAAATAAAATTTGTCAAAAAATGTACCCATTGTTAGTCAAGATAACCTCGCATTTGCAATAATAGAGCTCAAAAAGGGTTATCGGACATTTGATATTGCCCCTGTCCCTTCGCCATTGGCGATCCAACTTTGACTTCAAATATCTTGGTGTTGGACTGTTCTATTTAAATATTCTCGGTATCATTGGATGCGTCAAGCCTTTCTCTATCAATTGGTATAAAAACTATTTAAATTGGACAGCCCAACACCAAGATATTTGAGCTCGAAGTTGGATTGTCAATGGCAAAGGAGGTCGGGCGCGTACCAAATGTTCCACAATCCTCAAAAAGCACTTTATAGTAATTAACTCTAAAAAGCGTCTTAATGCAGAAAAAGACGGAAAAGGACGATTTTTTTAGAAACCCCAAACTTGAATTTAACTGTTTTTCAGCATGCTGTATAGCATTGTTTGTACTGCTTGACTAGAGTTGTCAAAGTCATTAAAAAATGTTACAATTCTTCTATTCTATGTAAAATTACGCGTAGAACTATTTAAAATTCAATGTAGATTTTTGGATTAATTCTTATTTTTCAGCTTAGGTTAATGTATTGTCTTAGAAAGCCAAAAATATGCAGAAGCGCAACACTATATATGCTGCACACTGTAGATTATTGAACCAAAGGCTCTTATAGATCTGGTACTTTAGCACTAGCATTAGAAATAAGACTTGATATTTACTTGATGACCAGTGTGCAATTGGCAAGCTGATTCCCGTACAAAGACCTCGGTGGATAGGGGATTGTCTAAAAAACTTCATGCTTAACAGAAGATTAGCTCAAATTTACCACATGAGTCGTTTGAGCCAATAATGCTCGCAAATACGGTGCCCCAACATAATAAGGCGGTGATTTGTGACGAAGACTCATCTTGTGCTCCTCGAAATCTGAAGAAATCGTTAAGCAATTACAAAAATTTTGCATTAAACCTTGCAAAAGGATAGCTGTGTGACTACAATCGATGGCTGGTAGACAAGAGCCGGGTGCGACGAGAAGAATCGCAATTCCGCGTTCCTAAAAGAAACAAATTGAGATTGTTATCATGTCTTTGTTTATTTAAATATTTAAAATCTTCTTTATAGCTAAATTTTTGTGCTTAAATTTATGAAACAATGAGAAATTAGCTGCTAAACGATTCTCAACTGAGCCAACTGAAAAACGCGAGTGTGAAAGCAGCTTGAGTAACACTACAAAGCTTTGAAAGTTGCAGCGATTATTGGACATTACGTCCCCGTTTTGATTACCGAATAATAACAGATATTTTTTATCAACCATTTGTTTTTATTTTTATCTACAGTTTTTTTAAAAGTCTATTACAGGTGAGTGAAAATGAATGCTTTTGAAGATGTTCAACTTAACAAAGAAAATTTGAATGATGAAGAAGGAGCTAACGACGAATCTAATGAAGAGACGCCAATCGTCGGAGATTTTCGTCCAGTTATTTTAAAGAGCAAGTACGATTTATGCCTTAATTTTTAACAATCTTTTTTTAGATACAATAAACATCCACTTTTGATATGGCTGACTACTTGGGATGACGAAAAGTGCTACATATTTGAGCATAAAGGCAGCCTTTCAAAAGATTCAGTAGCAACGTTCCGCTGCCAACGTTGCTCACACGAGCAAGGAAAGAACAAAATCCTACAAAAAGTGTCACTAGTTAAAGTTCAATACTTTAGTTTTGTACTTTTCAATATTTGGTGTAAGATTTTAAGACTAGTATGTCACTAGTTAAGGTTCAATACTTTAGTTTGCGTTTGGTTTGTTTTATACGTTTCTTTCGGTTATTTTTGTTTGTTATCTTGTTGCTTGATTTTACTAGTCTTGACTTTTACATTTAAATGTTGTCTAAATAATGTAAATAAAAATGCATGCTACATTCTTGTTTTAAATCAGTTTAATCTTAATCTTTGAAACATTATCGATGGGTATTCTTTATTCTATTTATTAGTTTTGTCGGATCTTTACGTTTAACGGCGGGGGTAGTGATTATCGGCCGGGGCCAAGTTTTTGGTCAACTTGCAGCCCGATTTTATCATAAGTTTATGTTAATAACTTTTGATAAAACAAATAGTTTCTGAAAGCTGACGTTTTAAGCTATCTAAATCTTATTAAAACTTCCTGATCTGATAACTTTGAGGTGCTTAAAAATGAGTTGCAAGTTGGCAAAAAAAAATTGACCTTCACCGATAATCGCTACCGTTAAAGACCGTTAAAGATCCTGCATTTTGTTTGTTATCTTGTTGCTTGATTTTACTAGGCTTGACTTTTACATTTGAATGTTGTCTGCTTGAAAATGCATGCTACATTGTTGTTTTAAATCAGTTTAATCTTAATCTTTGGAACGTTATCGATAGGTATTCTTTATTCTATTAGGTGTGTGAAAAAGTAATCCACGTTTTTTATTTTTATTTTGTTTAAATAAATATATCTAAACAATCTTTAATTTTTTCTTAACGATATATATGTCGTAGCCGATTATGAATGAAATTTTTTGGCAAATCTTTCTAGTAGAGCAACCCTTTAATGTATGAGGACAATATTATATCATCTTGTAGCGAATTCAATTCTGCGTCGATTGGTACCAAATTTGTGAGTTTAGGTTAAAAATTGCCGGCGCTACAACGTTTCATTCAAAATCGGCGGGACCCCCGTAGCCGATTATGAATTTCAGCCGATTATGAATGAGTGGGGAGCGTCCAACCATCAAGTATTTAGTATCATTCAACGCAGAATCATTAATAATTATGTTAAACGTTTCATTCAAAATCGGCGGGACCCCCGTAGCCGATTATGAATTTCAGCCGTTTGAATGAGTGGGTCTAGGGGGGCCAACCATCAAGTATTTAGTACGCGAATCATTGATAATTATGTTAAATTTTTAAAATTAGAAAGATTGGATAAAAATAAAAAAAATTAGAGCAAAAAAACTGTTTGTTCAAGAGGAAACTTTGAGGCCCCATAATTTTTTTTATTTTTATCCAATCTTTCTAATTTTAAAAATTTAACATAATTATCAATGATTCTGCGTTGAATGATACTAAATACTTGATGGTTGGACACTCCTAGACCCACTCATTCATAATCGGCTACGACATATATATCGTTTAAAAGCTTATTTTTTCCTCTTTCGAATGATATATTCATTTTGTTAAAAGCACGACAATAAACTACCTTCATTTTAGTTTGAAAATGGTATACACAAGTATCGTTATAAATAGGCCTTACATTAAATTGTGATGGGTCAACCGTAAGGAAACGCTTGAATGCCACGAATTTTATCAAAAAGTTGGACAAATGGATACCGTATAAATGTTAAAAACGTGGATTACTTTTTCACACACCTAATATTTATTAGTTTTGTCAAATGTATCAAAAAACGGGGGCGTAATGAATCCGAGATGTCCGAGAAAACTTATAAAATCAGTTGCAACAGCATAGCTTTTTATCAAACTAGGGTTTGGACCAAGACAGTATCCAAAAAACGCTTACCTTCAACTTTCCGATGAGATTGAGATCAGCGATCGGCTCCATCACGATGACGCGTCGCAGCGGTTGGTGATCGTGATGCCATCTCGTTCGTTCCATTCGCCAGAATCCTGAAAAATCTAGAAATTAGACAATGTAAATACAGAAAAAAGGAATGCGAACAAAACGGGGAGAGAAAGTTTGGAAAATGAGAAACATCATTTTGAGTTATATAAAAATTTTCTTGCTGAAAAGATATTGAGCCAATCAATTAAATAGTCTTCAAAACTTGTATATATAGTTTTTTACTTTTTGTTTATTTTTTTACTTTGTTTGTTTAAAACTTTGTTTGAAAGAACTTTTACCCAAACAAATTTCATTTTCCTATGAATTCCATCGTCTTGTTGCTTGCTCGCTAGTTCAGGTTGGTTTAATTGCCCAATTTTGTATTCATTCACAGCTTTTCTTTAGATTTAACGATGTCAAACGTTCCAAGTTGTCGAACTTTTACCCAAGAAATTTCATTTTCCTATGAATTCCATCGTCTTGTTGGTTGCGCCCTAGTTCAGGTTGGTTTAATTACCCAATTTTGTATCCATTCACAGCTTTTCTTTAGATTTAACGATGTCAAACGTTCCAATTTGTCGAACTTTTACCCAAACAAATTTCATTTTCCTATGAATTTCGTCGTCTTGTTGCTTTTTCCTATGAATTCCATCGTCTTGTTGCTTGCTCGCTAGTTCAGGTTGGTTTAATTACCCAATTTTGTATTCATTCACAGCTTTTCTTTAGATTTAACGATGTCAAACGTTCCAAGTTGTCGAACTTTTACCCAAACAAATTTCATTCTCCTATGAATTTCGTCGTCTTGTTGGTTGCGCCCTGTCGTGTTGGTGGCGCCCGCCATTTTACAATTATTTCCCTTTAGGGGGCCAAACTTAGCCGTCACCGGAATCTAGACGATGATCGATCTATTTTGGTAAATAATCACGGGGCGATCGAGCTTCAGTGGTGTTCTCATTAAAGTGGTAAGTTTTTATCGAAAATTCTACAATCTGCTTGAAAACTTTAGATTTTCACGATCGTCACCGGTGGCTTGTGGCTCATTTTGGCGGTTTTGTTAGACGAGGAGCGCAAGTTGTTGCAAAGAGGTTTACTTTTTGACAGATTTCCTATTTTTTTCTAGGTTCTGCTGATAGATCATCAGGTTTGGCATTTCGGCCCTTCGCCCGAGCCACCGAAGCACCATCAAGTTCGGATTTGAATGAAATGCAAGGAGGAACACGCGGAAAAATGGTTAGTTTGAAATTGATTTGGAACTAGGGCTGATATTTTGGAAGAAATTAAGTTCAAACTACACGCCTTTGCTTTTAATTCGAAAATTTTTGTTCCTGGAAAAGTTAAGCCGTGTGTGTCAAATATGTTTTTTCAAAAATCTATTTCCAGAAACCATTCCGTCTTGGCGCTGGTCATACACCACCAAATCTAGCAACGGCAAGGCGACCGAGTAGCGGAAAAAGCGGCCGAAGGAGTGGAAAAGTACGCATTTCTTGATGATTCGAATAATTTTCTTTTTAGAATAACAGGCAAAATTTTCTGCAGAGCAAGGTTTAGAGAATGTTGTGGTGGCTATGATAATTTGAAACACACTTTAGACAACTTTATTTCATAAACGTCTAAAACAACGTACACCCAAATGAGCCCTAGAAAAAAATTATATGTAAGACATGAGAAAAATTAGAATTTGAAATCACATTTTCGTTTAGAGGTAATGGGGGAATTTCAAGTATAACAAGGGAAAGCACCAAAAATCACAGTTTTTGGGGAAATCGAGAAAAGCACCTTAGAGATTGGATTGCACAAAGAAATTGACAATGATAATGGCTTAAAAAGTGCGCCAGAAGGGGTGTTTTTACGTGTGAGCCCGTAGTTTGCGTTTCAGATAAGAAAAATTATGCGAAAATAATTTTAACCCTTTTAGGGATATGCAAATTTTAGTGTTAATCTCAATTTTCGTTATCTCCATTCAGCCTTTTCTCCAGCTCGTAGTCGAGTGTTTCCCTCAGCTTTCGGCATTGTTCATCGGTGTAGCCGTGTTTTCGGGAGAGTTCTTTGGCGAGACGAGCTGGGTTGTCATTCTGAAAGTTGACTTAAATGCAGTAATCATTTAACTAGATTTGGATTACGGTGACTTTATGGAAGGAGAATTTTAGGAGTGGTTTTTTTTGAGCACTTACACTCATCACGGCCACATCGACATTCTCGCTTGTTTCACTGCGCAGAGTCAATAAAAAGAGCGGTTTTGATGGGCCAGGCGAAGAGGAGATCTGGAAGTAAGTTGATATTAGCTGTTAATTCGAGTCTGTGAACATCTAAGCCAAGGCAGGGGAGACCTGATCAAGAAATAGCTAGTGCTTGATCGCAGCCTATGAACTTGTAAGCTGCTCAAACTATTCTAAGCCAAAATTAGGTCGACAAATCGATCAGATCAGATTCAGACGGGTCGGTAAGGCCCAGTTCAGGCTTCGTCCAGTCAAAGTGGCAAGTAAAGACCAAGATGATTCAGGCCCGGTTAAGTTTAGGGTTTATACGTTTATAGTTTTATAAGTAATGCACTTGTGAAGTTGACGGAGCGAAATTCATCGACGGTTGCTCAGCGAAACGTTCCTTGAACCGGGCTCTGGCCTGGAACAGGATTTTGGATGGCAATTTCTGATCAGAACCCACCTTTTCCCTCAATTTCTCCTCTTCCATGTTGTCGACGATGTTCGTGGAGAAAGTGGTCTGAAAACATTACTGTGCTGAGTACTGTAGCACTACTGGAAGTCGCAGGTTTAGTTACCCAACTTACCCTCTTCGGCGAGTTGCACATTTTAGACGTAGACGATCCATCCGTGTTCCCTTGTCGCCGAAGATGTGGTGGAATGTAGAGTTGAGTGGCCGGTTGTGGCTGGGAACGCCGTTTCTTTTGTGTGCCCGATGGACCAGCTGCTAGAATGACTATTCGGCCATCAAACGGACCAAAACTGGATACCACAGACTGTGCCAGAAAGGGTGCGTTTACATGAAGCAAAAAGGACGCTCAATGCTGTGAAAACGTACACCTGGCGCTTTGGACTCAAAGATTGGCGCCCGGTTTAGTTATGCAAACTATTTCTTGAATATTTTCCAACTCACCCTCATTGTTCACTTGTTGGGCCGCTTCGGTCAATGTTTTCTCCGTTTTCTGGCGCTTCTCTTCCATGAATTTGTGATATTCATCGCTAAATTGGGCAAATTAGTCGAATTTTGGTCACTTAGAAATCCTAATATCCATCAGGGTTGGTCCAAGCAACCTCAGAGCTTGTGAAACAGGTTCAGACCATGGCTTCTGTTAGATCCAGGAACTTTCGTGGGTTAGACCTGGTACCAAGGCCGGTATCAAAGTCAGTCTGGGGTCAGGCCTGAGCCAGAAACAAGTCTAACCCAGAAAAAGTGCGCTTTAGAACAACCCTGGTTAGGTTAATTACCGGATTCTACAGGGTGGCCACGAATCATAGCGACAACTTTTTGGAAAAGTAGCTGGGAAATGGCTAATTTATTTTAAAAGAAAGTGCCAAGTGTTATATAAAATATTGTAGCCCTTAATCTTGGCTACATTTATCTATTAAAAGTTTCCCGATTCAATTAATACAACTCATTTAACAAGTGCTTGAATGAGCGCTAGTCGACATCTCTCCAGCGAATCTGTCATTTGGTTGCTTTTCTTTATTAAAAACCCGCCTAACGGTTTTTCTGACTCCGTGCAGACGGATCTTATTTTCTTCACTTCTAAAGGAATTGAACCCGTGACCTTCCTTACTCAAAAAGTCTAAAAACAAAGAAAGCAAAAAAGATTCCATCGGGCCGGGATCGAACCCGAGACTAAACGAACCCAACGTTGCTCAACTTGGCAGATCGGGCGCCGGGACGCACTACGACTCGGCCACGAGGTAGCATGTATTTTTTTAGCTGTATTTCGCTTTTTAGGAAAAACGGTCAAATTATGTGTCAAATATTATTAGATTTTTGGAAATTACGTGAAAAATTAGATTTGTAATATCAAATTTTCAGTTTCGATTCGTTCAGCCGTTTTTTCTAAAACAGCGGAACCATACAGACACATACTCTCTCGCTTATAATAAGTAGGATTGTTAAGAAAAGCTTTTCAATATTTCAAAAATAACGTTTAAAATCGCTTGGTAGCATTAAGAATCACACTTAACTGTTTTAGCTGAACTGGCATAGCCAAAATTTAAGTTAATGCCAAGCTTCTTTTAGAGGAGCAGGGAAAAAAAGGGGAAAATTGAGTGTTTTCGATGCGTTCATATGCGTATCTTGTTATATCAGCTGTTTTGGCACTATAAATTTGTTGAAAACAATTTTTTTGGAGAAAATTACCACAAATTAGACTAAAAAAAAGCTTTTCCAAATGAAATTTGAATGAAAAATCGCAGATTCGCTAGAGAGATGTCGACTAGTGCTTATTCAAGCACTTGTTAAATGAGTTGTATTAATTGAATCGGGAAACTTTTAATAGATAAATGTAGCCAAGATTAAGGGCTACAATATTTTATATAACACTTGACACTTTTAAAATAAATTAGCCATTTCCCAGCTACTTTTCCAAAAAGTTGTCACTATGATTCGTGGCCACCCTGTAGTTGTTAGTCAAATCTATGCATAAAGGGACCTTTATTAATAGTACCTTATACATTCAAATGCGCTATTTGTTCAGCTAATCATAAGTAAACAAGCATTCCCACCGATTAATCTGATTCTTGATGATCGACTTGATGAAGCCGTGACTGGTGTCGAGTCTGGGAGCACCATCGGATTCCATTTTCGAAAGAGTACTATAGTTGTGGAATTTCTGGTAGCTGTGAGTTTCAATTTGGACAATTACAAAGAAATTGCCTAAATTGCCAATTGGTGACTAAAAATTGGCCTAGTTGTTGTTTTTTTTTTCTTGCTTTTCCTATCCGTTCTCTTCTTGACGACGCGACGCGTCTATGCACACTTAGCGGGGGAAAGGGTCGTTCGGGAAAAGGCAGAGTAAAGATATTGGAGGTGGTTTATTCGAAATGTTATCTTGCCTTTTAAACTCGTTTCCTAAAACGTGCCCCTTTCCCCCAAAACTATCGTAATTTTATCAATATTTTTGTCGAATCTATTCACTTTTTGTATCACTTCGATATTCTTTGTGAACCCGCACAGAATTAGACAAAAAGTAGATGGATTTGATAAAAATAGAGACAAGATTACGATGATTTTGGGGCAGATGGGCATGATTGAGGAAACGGCCTTCATTTGCCTTTTAGCTGTTTTCTAAAAGACGACTAAGCTACCATATCCACAGTGAAACCTCATTTTCACTGTGGAGTTTAGACTTGCTTATCGATATTATCGACACAAACATGTTTGATGTTTGATCGTTCAGATCTCGGCTTCTAGAACAGCTATCAATCTGCAAATTGTTTCATTGGAAAGTCAAGAATGTCAGCTTTTGATTGATGGCTTACGCATAGCAAATTATCATAGGTGAGTGCTTTAAAAAGCTTATTAATACTTATCGACACTCAAATATTGATAAGCTTATTGATAATCGATACTGTTGATATCGATAATTATCGATAAGGTTTTTTTAGGTGCTTACTCATTAAAAGTCGCTATGTATAAAATAGCAATTAAAAGCTGACATTCTTGACTTTCCAATGAAACAATTTTCAGATTAATAGCTGTTCTAGAAACTGAGATCTGAACGGTCAAACATGAGCATGTCGTTTGTACAGTACCGAACAAAAGTCTTGCAACATCACTTTTTCAAACAAATGTATGAAATTTTTTATAGAAAATGCCTCCCGTTCGTAGGGGTTTTTTTCGTTTTTGATTAGAATAATATATGTACATTTTATTTAGAGAAACAAATTTGAAATTCAGCGTAAAACAAAAAAAGTAAATGGCAAAACCACTAAAAAATACCTAAAAACTTGGTGCAAAAGTCTTGCAACATGATACAGAAACATTAAAAAATTAATATTCATTAGGTCCACCTTTTGCCAAAATCACGTCATGACGATGACGATCGACCAATCGACTTAATGACGCATCATTAAGTCGTTTAGGCATTATTGAGTCGACTAATTCGTGAAGAATTGCTGGTCGAATTGAGCTCCAAACTTTTCGTACGTAGAACCATAAGTCAACTTTTGTGTGAAAGTCTTTTCCTCGTAACTTTTTCTTCACGTAAGCCCATAAATTCTCGATAACGTTTAAATCACGCGACATGGGGGCACATTGATCAACAAAACATTATGAAGAGCAAGCCATCCATGGAGATGAGCTTTTCCTCCATTCGAGAGATCCCATCAGGAGTTTGCTCTTGTGAACCGGCGAATTGTCCTGGTAGAGAAACCAACTAGGAGCCATGTGATCCTGAGCAAATAGAAGTAGACGCTCCTCGTATTCTCATATACTGGCGAGCATCCATGATTGGCTGGACGAGGACGAGCGGGCCTGCCACATTTCGGTCCACAAAAGGTGGACCGATTGAATATTAATTTTTAATGTTTCTGTATCATGTTGCAAGACTTTTGCACCCAGTTTTTGGGTATTTTTTAGTGGTTTTGCCATTTAGTTTTTTTTGTTTTACGCTGAGCTTCAAATTTGTTTTTGTAAATAAAGTGTACATATATTATTCTAATTAAAAACAAAAAAGCCCTACGATCGGAAGGCATTTTCTATAAAAAATTTAATACATTTTTTTGAAAAAGTGATGTTGCAAGACTTTTGTTCGATACTCGATTCGATAATATTGCTAGCGAGTCTATTGGAGTTAACATTTTGCTTTGTTTTTCTCAAAACTGAATCATTTGTAACGTAAAAGGCGTGTAGTTGGTTAAAATACTGATTTTACCCGTTTTGAAATGCTAACTTGATGAAAAATCACCCATTTTCTATGCATTTTACCATTTTTTTAATGTTTGATAGACGTTTTCTTTACTTTTCTTTACGTTTCTTTGTCAAGCTTTTATTTTCTTTGAAAAACCTCTCATTTTAGTGCTTCTGCGGCTCAAAACGAGAAGAAACGACGGAAAATGGACAGCGATTTTGACAGATTTTACACTGATGTGAGTTTATTGTCGAAATTTTGGTAAAATATACTTGTTTTAGCACTCATCAGAGCTGTGAAATAACACTTTAAGCTTGAAATTGTTGAAAATATTGGCTTTAACCCTCTTTCGAAGCAGTCCTGCAGCTCTAAAACAAGCTATATTTTGCTAAAATCGACTCTGTCGTCAGTTTAGGATGTTATTTTTAACTTTAGCATTCCAAAATTCTTGAAAACTTATCGTGTATCTTCTTTTAGCTCAAAGAAACCGAGAAAAACGACTCGTCGTTGACGTCCAGCCAACAAATCGAGCGACTTTTGCGCCCAGGAAGCACCTATTTGAATCTGAATCCTTTTGAGGTAAATTATCATTCGCTTTCTTGAAAATTTCATGTCTAGGTTCTGCAAATCGAATCGGATTCGGATGAGGAGGCGGCTAGAAAGAAATTCAAGAAGTTGTCATTGCTTATCCATCCTGACAAGAATCCCGACGATCGGGAACGCGCCGATAAAGCTTTCGACAGTGAGTGGTGTTTGGTTAAAGCTTTTGTCAGTTTTGAAGCAAACTTTATCAAGTTTAAGTTAATAAATTTCGTAGCTAGTTTGCTTATAAACTTGATGCCAAATAGATGTAGATGTGTGGACTTAAACATGTCTAAAAATTTTCCAAATCATAAACGGATAGTCTGTTAGTGACAAAATTGAGCTAACCATGTTAAAATCGCTCTAAACTTTTCAACATTTCAATTTAGTCATCAAGAAGGCTCTGGCTCAGATCGAGGATCAGTTCGAGTTGGCAAAATGTCGAGAGTTGTACACGGAAGGGCGTGCAAGACTTGCGATTTTGGTTTGTTTATTGAAGTCGCTTGTAATTTGCTCTTTTTAGATGAGTGAGAAGCGAAGAAAAGCTAAGAAAGACGGAAAAGATGGACCGATTGACGAGGATGATTCGGCTGCTTATCGGTATACAATTTTTATTTGATCTGTAATTTTTCTGAAATAGACCTGGGCTTAGATTTATGCCGTTAAATGAATAACAGTACAATGAAGCCTTTACCACAATGTACAATCGTTCTTTTTTTTCAGAAAAGCGCTATGGGTTGTGGTGACAAAATGTTTTGCTGACCGTGAGAAGAAACGTCGAATGCTGGAAGAACGAGCAAATGAAGAAAAGTAGAGGGACATTTATTGGTTAACCTTTTCATTTGTACTTTAGGAAACGAATGTCCGAAGCAGCACAAGACGCAGTTGAGAAGAGGAAATTGGCCGAAGAGTTTGCCAAGAATTATGAGGTTTATACTTGTTTTTAAAGTTTTATTGCAAACTAGCAACATATTAAGGTGGTACGAATGAAACCAGCGCTCTCATATCTTTCGAAAAATAAAAGGATTGCAAGCCTCAGCCAATAAGTGTTGCATACTACTAGAAAGCCCTGAATCTCCTCTACAAAATAGTGCAAAAAAGATTTTGAATTGGATTGATTATTGAGAAATTGGGTGTTAAAGCAACGGCAACCGCAGGCCGAGTCTCAACCTGGGTACATGCGCCTGCTGGCAACTATCGCTTCCACGGATCTTTTCGCTTGAAATTTTTCCAGTGTATTAAGAATATAAATTACTCAATATTTATACCAAAACTCAAACGACCAGCTGAGATTCTATCGAAATATAAGAATCCAAAGTTGAAAGTAACTGTTTTTATCCTAAAATGGGGTCATTTCAAACAACAAAGATTTAGCTCTAGAAGACGAACAAACAAAAGGAGTTCTTTTCTTTTATGTTATTTTGAAATAACTTGAATTGGCGGTATTTTTAACGAAAAACCCGATCATGGCTATTACCAAAAACACATTTTCCAGAAAATGGCTTTTTTTTACCTTTCAACTTAAAAGTCACCCAAGCCCCCAATAATCAATCCAATTCGAAATCTTTTTCCACTATTTTGTAGAGGAGATTCAGGGCTTTCTAGTAGTATACAAAACTTATTGGCTGAGGCTTGCAATCTATATATTTTTGGAAAGATATGTGAGCGCTGTTTTCATTCGTATCACCCTAATAGTTTTTAGAATAAAGAGTTTTTTTTAAAATGAGATAAGTAAAGAATTGCTCTAACTAATTATTGTCACAAAATATATCTTTATCGTTCTTTTCAGGAATCTCGAGACGATCGCCGGGGAAGCTGGAGGGATTTCATGGTGAAAAAGGCGAAAAAAGAAGACAAGGGAAAGACGATTCGCGGAGAAGCTTTTAAACCACCACGACAAAAAATTACCAAGTAAATTGTCATCATTTTCATATAACTATTTATATTTATGGAACTTGAAGCCGTATTCGGTTTTTCTGGAATAAATTTGTACATGTTTTATCGAAGCAAATGCGTACTTTTTAAAGGTTCACTCGAGTTTTCCTTTTGGTATTTCTTGGATTTGAATGCATTGAACCATTTTTGGATGTACCCCTTGACGATATTAGACAAACCCTTGTTCTTAAAGTCTTAAAGTAGATCCGGTTTTAAAATAGTACGGATTTGTTACGGTGGGGGATAATCTAGACTTTACTTTAAATACTTTAGAAAATTTTACAGGCTACTTTAGATAATTTTATTTTAAAAAGTTCCCAAAGTTGGTTCCAGAGTGCCTCGATACTGACCCTGTTCTTAAAATTGCACAATTTGATTTTGTTTTTGAAAAGATGATGGTTCTTTGCAGTAAAATAGAATTGATCCGTAACGGTTGCTTTAGATCATTTTCAGTGCATCGCTAAAGATAAATTTGGAGGATCATTAGACAAGTCGTTGTTTCATTCCTCTCTTTGCTCACCTCTCCCGCAAAATTTTGCCCTTTCCACCGTATCCCAGGCATTGCCTACTCTGCGCTCTCTCCGAGATTTTTCTTTGGTCCCCGCACGTATATTGGAAAGTTTTTATGTAAGTCTTCGCGGTGAAAGCTTTTGATTCATGTCTACTTCGAGATTTAACTTCACTTTTATTATATTCGGCTTCAAAGTTGCAATGGCTTTTTTTCTAGATGTTGGGGAAACTGGTGGAGTGCTTCGTTCAATTGTACGACTTTATCGAAAATGCTCGTTGATTCGTGGTTTTAAATGATTTTTGGTGGATTGGGTAAGGTTTTTCGGGTGATAAATGTACTATTGTTGATTGATAAGCTTTAGAATATCGAATTTGAATAAGTGACACGATTTTCAGAGCTTTTAGAGTTGTTAAATTTGATGAGTTGAGTCTAGGATGGCTTTGTAAAATTTTTGCTAAACTGAGATGGCTTTGCGTAAGGTTTTTCGGTGATAACTATGCTGTTATTGGATAATAAGCTTTGGAATAGTTGATTTTATAAAATAGGACGATTTCTAGGGTTTAAGAGCTTGTGGAAATGGTTAATTTAAGGCTGCGGTGACTTTATGGTGTTTCTTGATGGGGTTGCTTGGGTTTCTGCGCTGATCGCTGTGCTATTCTTGGTTAATTTCGGCTTTACTCTGATTAAGAAGCTTTAAACGAAAGCTGGGTCATTGAAGAAAGAAAAAAAAAATGAATCGATTGACACATTTTTTGGCGTCTGTTTCAAGTGTTTTTTGTCGTTTTATTCGTTTCCTTTGCATCGAATCAATCAATATTATTCTTTTTCGATTGGCTTGGGGCAATTTTTGGGTGTTTTGTCCGTTTGAATACAGCTCATTAAGAGGGGGAAATCTTGGAGTTTGTGGCACAATGAAATTGTCTTTCAAAATACCTAGATTGAGGTGATTTTTAGTTGTTTGTCTCTCCAAAAATGCAAATTTCAAACGGTCTTTCGTGATTTTGTTTGATTTGTTTATTTGCTTATTTGTTTACTCCTTTTCCGGGTTCACTTGCTTAGCCTACTCGTGATGCACTTTTGAAGATTTCATTAATCGATCAACAAAAGTGATTTGGGTTTATTTTGAGATACATAAGCGTTTCGTCATAGCTTGTGTCGTTGGAACGATTCCCGAAATCGATCAGAAACGATCAATCGTTGGAACGATTATAGAAAAAATCATGACCAATCATCCACTTTCCATTCCGTTTCCTACAACGTGCCCCTTTCTCCCAAAAATATCGTAATCTTTTCTCTATTTTTGTCGAAACTCTCTGCTTTTTGTATCATTTCGATATTCTTTCTGAACCCGCACAGAAGTAGACAAAAAGTAGATGGATTCGATAAAAGTGGAGACAAGAGTACGATAGTTTTGCGGAAAGAACACGCTTTAGGAAACCGGTAACGGATCTGCTCGATTTGAAAGGAGTACTGTATTCGAGATATAAATAGAATAGGTGCTACTACATTAGGGTGGGGCCACTAGGAAATTTGAGGGCTATACGGGTTCGGAGCGGCCACAAAAATGCCTCTGGCAAGTGCCAAAAATAGTTTTTCTAGGGTTTTCGGCGACGGTAAATCGATTGATATTTTCAGAGCTTCTTCTTGCTACACTAAGCTTAGACTAGGCTATGGCTCAGAGTACTGTCTGAGCATAGGCTTATTTCCAATTGTTGTTTGCGTGTTATTTATCTAGGCTAAGGCTCCACACGTATAGCGTACTGCCCGAGCACAGTATAGTATGCTTAATCACGTTCGAGTATTGGCCAGATATAGGTTAAGACTGGCTACCTGCTAACGGATATAAGCTAGATCTGCCTCGACCACAAAGAAATAAGTCAAAAACATGTTCTAAAAATATTACCAATCGATTCAGCGTGGTTGAAAACCCTAGAAAAATTGTTTTTGGCACTTGCTAGAGGCATTTTTGAGGTCCCCAACTCGTATGGCCTCGAAATTTGCATTTAATATTCAACTTCTGTTGGTGGCGACTTCTTTCTTTACTTCGTTAACTATTTCCGATTTTCTAAATTAAAAAAAATTAAACAAAGATAAGATAACAAGAACGCAACAAATTGGTAACACTTAATTTACTGAGCTTAACTTAACAAAATTACTGACACGGATAAGTTTTAATAGACGAAAAGTGAGCGAAAGACGGGTCAAAGCTATTTGTTGAGATTTTTCCAAAAAAAAATTTACAGCTTTTCTCATTTTGGCTTTATTAAATGCAAATTACCTAATGTATGCAAATTTTCTAGTGGCAAGTTCTAGTGTAGCACCAAATAGCAGTTATAATATCGCAATGTTGACTAATTTGAATTTGCATTTCTACTGAGGAGTATTATAACTCAGATGGCAAGCTTACGGTAGTTTTGGAAAATTCTAGAAAACTCTTTAGTTCAAAGCCTTAGTTCAGCACAAATCCATACTTTTTTCAATGCTTGTGTGACTGACTTCTCGCGTGTGTCTCCCTTCGTCTGTGCATGCATGCTTGCACGTGCCATGAAAAAGGCAGGGAAAAAAGCAGGAAAGGTGGGGGGGGGGGTTTGTCTCGTGCCTTTTCTGCCATTTCCCTCTCTCGATCTCTCTTTGTAGATTTCACCTATATCAGAGAAGGAGCCATGAAGCACCTCATGACTGTTTCTTTCTTTCTTTCTCTTTTCTACCTTTTTCTCCGATTCGTTTGTTCGTGCGTTCGTTTCGATTCCTCTTTCTCTCTCTCTTTTTCTCTTTTTCTCGAAATCTCTTAAAGTTAGAGAGATTTTTTTTGGGGGTTTCAATGTTGCGAAGGCGCGCGAACCTTTTGATCGGATTTTAATTACAATAATCTTCTAATAGAACAGGTTTCTTTGATTTAAGTACATCAGCTTAGTGACTGGACAGGTTAAAGATTAGGTATTAGGTCAAGTTCAAGATCAGTATTAGGTCAAGTTCAAGATTAGGTATTAGGTCAAGTCTGCGCGAGTTTCAGACTTAAATCTAGTTTAATCTAGTTTAATCTAGTTTAATCTAGTTTAATCTAGTTTAATCTAGTTTAATCTAGTTTAATCTAGTTTAATCTAGTTTAATCTAGTTTAATCTAGTCTAATCGAGTTTCAGGTCCAGATCAGTATTAGACCCGAGTCCAGGAGTTTGAACAGGCTAGGAACAGGCTAAGGTCAGTACTAATCCTTTTCCAGGTCTAGTTTAGGTCAAATCAAAGTCAAACCTGTTTAGCCTAGCTTTCAGAAAAAAACGAAATTTAATAAATTAACGAAACGAATTTCATTAATTTATTAGGTTGTCGGGTTTTGAATGCGAATTTTTATTTTGCGAATTTTTAAAAAATATTTTCTCTAAGAAAATGAAGCTATTAAAAAATTAGTCCGGTTTTTCCCCATTAGAAAGGTGAATCGGTGTTCGACATTGGGGTTTTCGGCGATTTTGAAAAGCTTCTGTTTTGGAGGATTTTTCGAGGAGCGTAAAGACACGTAGTCAAAGAAAAAAAATTTACCTTGCTAATGAGGACAAATTGGACGAATTTTAATAGCTTCGTACTCTTGGAAAAAAATATTTTTTGTGAAAAATTCACATAACCGAATAGATTAGATATTAAAAGTATTCAGTCTTTTATTTCATTTTTTTCTTTTTAACCCTTTATTTCATTATCTTATTCATTATTCTAAATGAATAAGTCTCAAACGAAATACTAAAATGATTTCGTTCATTAAAAATTATTTATTGTTTTACGTTTTGTCATTTTAAAACAATTTTTAGTATTTTAGAATAATGTGCGAAATCGAAAAGTGGTATTTTTAGTCTAGCTTTGAACGAGTTTTTCTCGACACTGGTTTATGTTACAATGCGCGCTTAGGTATCAAAAAATAGCGGAAATTCAGGGCTATTTTTTGATACCTAAACGAGCATTATAGCATAAACCAGTGTCGAGAAAAACCTTGTTCAAAGCTAGACTACACAACACTCCGCAGTGTCATTATGGGGGTGGGGTACTATTACAGTATTTACGGTAATATTTTGTGACTCTGATCCTTTTTCTTATCTTTTAGCCGATGTAACTGATCAATTTGATATGTAAATTTGCTGAAAACTATGATAATTTATTGAAAACTATGATAATTTACTTATCAACTACACCTTAACCAATTATCTTTGTTCTTTAACTGAGATAATTGGTTCTTTCTTTAACTACAATTATTATATTTCTTAAGGAAATTGTCATTATCATCATTTTCAATCATTTTTAATCATTTTCAATCATTTTCAATCATTTTTAATCATTTTTAATCGTTTTTAATCATTTTTAATCATTTTTAATCATTTTTAATCATTTTTAATCATTTTTAATCATTTTTAATAATTTTTCAGTCATTTTCAACCATTTTTAATCATTTTTCAATCGATTACCTCCCCATTTTTCTATGTAAAATCGAATAGTGATCTTTCTTGTTTCTTTCTTATTTCTTTCATATTTCTTTCATATTTCTTTCATATTTCTTTCATATTTCTTTCATATTTCTTTCTTGTTTGTCTCATTTTCTTTCGAAACTTTTTCCACAATTTTTCCCTTTTACAGATTTATCCCGTTTGGAAGGGTCGACTTCATCAAAAGGCCAACGTAAAACTGAGCGGACAACACAAAAGTAAGGGGTTTTTTTTTGTTTTCGGAAATTTTGGAAATTTTCCCCAAGAAAAACTTCTGCTAAACTTGAACTTGTTAGTGGTTTATATTTGTTTCTATTTGCTATTCGTTTTTCGATTTGATTTGATTTGATTTGGATTCGTTAAATTCTAGAGAAATTAAGAATATCAAATTTTAGAATATCGAATTTTTGAATATCAAAGCTTAGAATATCAAAGCTTAGAATATCGAATTCCTTTTTAATCTTTTCAATCTTTTTAATCGTTTCAATCTTTTCATTTTTTCAGGAGTTTGCCGACAATGGCGGCTAACTCTGGCGAGCGTGAGGCGGCCAACAAGTCCGATCAACGCAAGGATCGAGACAGTGACAGTGACGATGATGCGGCTGAAGAGGTGAGTGGATCAAAGCAAATTTGGTGATTTTGATACTGCTTTGTTTTGAAGCAGATAAAGCAGATAAAGCTTTGTTTTGAAGCAGATAAAGCTTTGTTATAAAGTAGATAAAGCTTTGTTATAAAGTAGAGAAAGCTTTGTGATAAAGCAGATAAAGCTTTGTTATAAAGCAGATAAAGCTTTGTTATAAAGTAGATAAAGCTTTGTTATAAAGCAGAGAAAGCAGATAAAGCTTTGTTTTGAAGCAGATAAAGCTTTGTTATAAAGTAGATCAAGCTTTGAGGTGTGCGATCAACGTAGAAAAACAAATAAAAACTAGAAAAATGAAACCTAAAACCATTAAAATAGCTCAACTTTTTGCCGTTTTCTTCAACTTTTTTTTTCTTTTTCTAATTTGAACGCTCATCACGTTTTTAAAAAAATTTGACCGGCTTATCAGTATGGGAAAAAATGGGGTCGAATTGAGTTATAAACGGGGAATTTTTTTTCGAAACATTCTTCACGTTCTTCCATTCTTCACGATCAAAAGAAATGAGTTGCTTTTGAGAGGTTTTGAATTGCAAAACGTTTCTAAACTTTTATTTCTAAAAACTGGAAACTTTTGTAAACTAATGTAGTAAGCCTAAGTAAAGCCTAATTCCGCAAAATTTTTAATAACTTTTTCAACTTTTAGGTGCTCGAAGAATCGCCGGATAAACGCTGGTCGAAACGTCGGGAACAGGTCGGCGAATTTTGACGCGGGAAATTTTAAACTGACAAGCGAAGGTCCAACTGGCTGAGCCGGTCAAATGCTTGACGATCTATACCATTCGACAAATGCTATACGATCTATGCCATGCTAGCAAAAGCGCTGCGTTTTTTTTTTGCGCCAGTTTCATTTGCGCCAATTCAGGTCTATAATGTAGCTAATTTTGACGACTTACTCGTCGACTTGATGCTGATTCCGAATATGTATTCTGTAGCTCGTCGCTGGATAAACGGATAAACGGATAAATGTAATCGCATTAAAGTCAAGACTAGGCTACGCAAATCCGCACAAAATCCGTCTAAATTAAACTAAATGAAGCCAGTGCTAGCCCAATTCGCTAAAACTTAGATTTATAAGGAAAAGACAAGGGAAAATCCTATACGATCTATACCATTTGACACAGAATTTGATGCTGATTCCGAATATGTATTCTGTTTTTGCTGCACTGGATTAGGTTCACAAGGAGGCCGCTAAGACCATTTGGGTCTTTGGACCATGGTCATTTGGACCACGGTCATTTGGACCACAGTTTCAGAATCCGAATAAAACTTTAGACACTTGGTAGACGCTTTAGACGCAAAACTCCTGGTAGATTGTCTACAACCAATGAGAATCCAAGGAAAAGAAACACAAATAAACTTAATCGCAAATGCATTATTTTGATCGGCGCTTTTTGTAGAGGGCGCGGTTTGTATAGGGCGCTGTTTCTAGAGGGCGCTGTTTTCACCAGTTCCCCATTTGAGCGGCTCAACCAGTTGACCTTTCCCTTGTGAATATGCTTTTGATAATAAATTTTAGTATTTTGATGTTAAAATCAGGATAAGATATAGTAAAAAAAAAACAAATGGAAATAGTATTTTGTGGAAAAATCTCGAAAAGTTGACGAAAAAATTCAAAAGTACTCATGTTTTTGCTTTTATAACCCTTAATTAAACACTTGCCAACTAAGAGAATTAGTAGTAAGACAATTAAGAGAACTATGCAAATCGAAGGTCTCTTTTTTTGGTTTATTGTCACAGTTGCTTTAAGTTTACGTAATGCTACTAGTTTTTTAGACTTTGTTTACCTTTGTTTACCTTTGTTTACCCTTGTTTAATAACCATTTTTTAGGTAAAACAGCGAGATGTCCCCGGAATTGATTGTGCCTACTTGGCGATGGACAATGAGACGGGAAATGAGGTGCGAGTTTGATTGTTTTTAATCGAGAATACTCCAGAAATACTGAAATGCTGAAATGCTCCCTAGAATGGACTCGCTATTCGTAAAAGACAAAGAAACAAGGCTTCTCATGCTAATTTCTTTTTCTAATTTAAAGAAAAATAGCCCTAAAACTCGTTATTCTTAAAAAAAAAACAAACAAATTTCTCTTTTTCAGGTTGTTTGGAACGAGGTGCAATTCTCTGAGCGCAAAAATTTTCGAGCACAAGAGGTTTTGAAAATGAAATTTTCTTATTTTTTTCTTTGTTTTAGGAAAAAATCAATGCCGTTTTCGACAATTTGACGCAATTGGTGCACCCGAATCTCGTGAAATTTCACAAGTATTGGACTGATGCGAAAAGTGAAAAGCCGAGGGTGAGTTTGAATAGATTTCTTTTCTTTTTTTTGTAGAGTTAAAGTTAAACCAACAATACAAGAAAATCGATCTAACAGTAGGCTGAAGTAGAGCGAAAACTGGTTTTTAGACTCAAGAATGTTTGTACTAAATTTTGAGTTTACTAATGTAAAAGTATATAAAAAGACATGTCGTATGTCTAATTCTTGAACTCTAAGGACTTCTTGTTAGAAATGTTATGATAGAATTTCGAAAATACTTTATTCTTTCCTTTTTCAGATCATTTTCATCACCGAGTACATGTCGTCCGGCTCGATGGCGCTTTTCTTGCAGCGAACGCGGAAATCCGGCTCACCATTGAGTATAAAGGTTTGTTTGACTTTTTTTGAGTATCAAGAGTAGCATAAGAATAGTATTTTTGAGTATAGCATAAGAACCCATGTCTTGTCGACATTAGGATACGTGTGTCGGTGTGGCAAAATTATGAATCGGATGCTTATTGATGAATTAAAAGAAGAAAATGAAGAGATGAATTAAAAGAAGAGAGAAATAAAGTACTCCGAATTTTATATATCATTTGAAAGCTCTTAATGTTAATACTACAAAATAGAAGAGCTTTGATTTAATTTGATTTAATTGACTTTTGATTTAAAAGTTTGTGCCAATTTTTTGGAAAAATTTAAACACCTAAACGTGACACTCCTGAAAGACGATAGAAAGAAAGAAAAAGAAAGAAAAAGAAACGTGACACTCTTGAAAGAAAAAGATGATATTCTGTGTTTTAAACGTCAACTAGACCAGTAAATATCGAAAACTAGTGTTTTGAGAGAACCATGTTGTTCAAAAAATGTTCAAAAATAGATTTCAAAACAAAAGAAGCAACAAAACAAGCTTACTAGATCTTAACACATTTCATCTTTAGGCGTGGAAGAAGTGGACAACGCAGATTTTGTCAGCGCTCAACTATCTCCACTCATCCGGTCCGCCAATCATTCACGGGAATCTGACGTGTCACACGATTTTCATTCAACAAAACGGGCTCATCAAGATCGGCTGTGGTGGGTTTTTTTTGTGGGATTTGCCTTACAAGGGATTGACCAGAAGTGGGGGTGACCGTTTGAGATGAGCCATGCCTCATTCGATAGATCTCATAATGAATATTGATGACCAAAAAAATTAGCTGCCCAAAGTATTTCTACAACGAGAAATGGGGCCGACAAGTAAAAATGACGTTTTTTGACTCTTCTTGACTCTTCGTGACGGGGCTGGAACTTTTTACTGAATCAATATTTTTTGAATAATCTTTTTTTTTTGCATGTAATAGAACTTGAACGAAATTAAAAAATAGTAAAATTTGATTCTCAAAGTATTTAATTCCCAAATTTTACATTTCAAAACTGATTTTAGTGATATTTGTGATTCAAAACTGATACAAAACTGATTTTAGCCAAAGTTTACTGAACTTTTTTAAAGGAACATATTAAGTTTCTATAATTAATGAAAGTTTATTTTTTTTTAGTTTCATTCAAGTTATATTACATGCAAAAAAGGTTATTCAAAAATATTAATTCACTAAAAAGTACCAGCCTCGTCAAGGATTTTTGAAAAAGGGAATTTTTGCTCCTTTGTTGACCCCATTTCTCGTTGTAGAGTTGGGCAGCAAATTTTTTTTTGGTCATCAATATTCATTGATCTATCGAATCATCAATATTCATTGATCTATCGACCCAAACGGTCACCTCCACTTCTAACCATTCCCTTGTTAGTTAGTTTGACCCATTTGAAATTTCAAGGACAAAATTGAGTTCCCGAGAATGAGAGTTCAGCATTTTGATCTTTCAAGCATAAAGCAAAAAGCAGAAACATAATGAAATTAGCATATGACGTGTTAGCCATGAGAATAAGAACTTTAAAAAAAATCCTTCCATTTAAAGCATCCGAAGGAGAATTTCAATTGAAAATTCCGTTTTTTCATTGTTTCGATTTCAGGCGGTTCGCTGCCTTCCATGTTGAATGGGAGCCGAGCCACTCTGGGTAGGCAAAAATTGAGAAAAATCTCGTAAAACAGCAAACAGCAAACAGCAAACAGACAACTCTTTCTCTAAAGCTAAATCAATCCTTGTGCACAAAGCTTGGTGTTCATTTTTGATTTTTTTTCCACTTGGCTTTATCTCTTGGCTAAAGGAATAATGCCAAAGAATGTCCATTTTTACACAAAATTTCCTTGGTTTGCTTGGTTTTTCGCCTTTTACGTTCAAGCATTTACACGGGGTTTTTTTGGGGGGCTCTAGCTCTAGCTCTAGCTCTAGCTCTAGCTCTAGCTCTAGCTCACTATTTTGCCTATAAAATTCGTTAAGATCAACGAGGATCTGCTTAGACAGTTAGACAACTTTAGAGCATTTTAACGCTACAAAAACTTCTTTTGGGATTAAAATTGCATAAGAATGTCAATCAATATTCAGCTGAGAGTTTTCATAAAAAAAGTGTTTTTGTGTACTTTGAGCTTTCAAAAGTTGTAAACGTAAGCTTTTCTGGTGCACTGAATTCTTGATTTTATGAGAAATTATCCTGTTTCCATGGAGAAAATGCAGAATTCAGTGCACTAGAAGCGGTGCGTTTACAGAGAGCAAATCTAGCGATCGGATTACTGTATTGAATGTTGTAAGCTGATATTTAATAATTTAATAATTTAATAAATTTGAAAATGTTGATCCAATCCAATGTTGATATTTGATAATTTTACTGCCCCCAAATCCAAGCTCTGCTTTCATTAAAACTCACCATTTCAAAAACTGGCAAGCTTTTTTTAACCTCATGTCATTTCAATCAATGCTTCGGGTACCCAATGTGCTAAATATTTTCAATTTTCAATTTTCAATTCTTTTTTTCAGCCAGCATCGTTAGTCATACTGGTTAGTTGAGAAAAAAGCGTTGTTTTGTCGAAAGTATTGTCAGTGTTGTACTGTGTCCAAATAGAGTTATTTTAGTAGCTTTGTGTTTGTTGGGTGCACGGAATTTCGATTTCCACTCCATTTACTGTAAATTTTATCATTTTTAGTGGCTCCCGAGGCGATCAATCATCATGTGAAGACGTGTCGGGCGGACAATTTGCGAAATATGCATTATATGGCGCCGGAGTTGGAGTGTAAGTTGTGCTTTTTTGGTAGTCACGTTCGAAAATCCTAACGCTAAATGGTAAATCGGAAGTTAACGGTTAACGAAACGGTTAAAGTAGAAAAAAAAATCGTATCGTAAATCGTAATTTGTAAATCGTAAATCGTAAAACTTTGAATTATTCTAGCGTCGGCCGCAATTTTTCCGCCTCAAAATTGTTTTGAGAATCAAAATATGCCTTTTTTTATTCTAGATAGAACTTTTCGACAAACAAATTTATAGCTAGTGTATTATAGCTAACTTTATAGCTAATTTATAGCTTCTTTCTAACATTTAGACCAATTTGAAAGTAAATTTTCACTTTTAGTCTGCAAAACGGTCACTCCGGCAGCCGACATCTACTCGTTTGGCATCTGTGCTCTCGAAGTGAGTTTTCTCAGTTTTGAAGATGATGAAAGAATTGTCAATAAGTTGGATTAAATAGGTTACAATAGCCAAAATTACGCGAAGATCTTTATCATGTTATTTTTCAGATCTATTTTCAGATCGCTGCTGCTGGTGGGCTCATCTCGGCGAATGGAACTGTTGAGGGGACGATTTCGGAAGAATGCATTCGAAAAGCCCTCAACTCCCTCGAAGACCCTTTACAAAGGGTGAGTTTAAGTCAAAACAAATAGGTTTTGCCTACTCTTTAACTTGCTAGAGCCGCCGGCTAATATGGTGGTGTAGCCGAGAGCCGGCTATATGGTGTAATTTCAAGCTCGTTTCCTCTTTTAGGACTTGATCGACCGCTGTCTTGCGCCGGATCCAAACGATCGCCCGGCCGCTCGACAACTCCTCTTTCACCCTGTACTTTTTGAGGTAAAGTTTTTGATTTTTCTGTAGAGTTGAGGGAGGTTTATTGTGATTAAATCGTGAGCTAGAGCTAGAGCAATTTGACTGATTTGAATGATTTGAATCGAGCATTGTTGTACCGATTGATTGAGTCATTCGTTTTTGCAGGTGCATTCACTGAAGCTGTTGGCCGCGCACGCGATCATCGCCAATCGAATGTACGAGGACTCGAGCGTTGAGATTTTTCGGGTGCCCGATCCGCAAACGGTTCGTTTTGTCGAGAATTATCGAGTGGACTTGCTTGACCAAGTCAATCCTTAGTTAGCAATATGTTAATGTAACGCGTGTACACCTGCTTGTATTAGTTACTACAATACTCGCACCGGTACTGGTGCCAATGCTGTCACTACTTCTAAAACTACAACGTTAAGATTGACCATTGAAATTGTAGCTGTTTACTAGCTGTTTACAAGACTTTTAAAGGAAAACTGTGTATTCGAATCAATTTTCCCTTTTTTTCAGGTTGCTGTCACTTGTGCCGGCCGAGAGATGGCCTATGTGCAATTGCCGAATTTTCAATTCGATCTCGATAAATATTTGGAGGATGTGAGGAATGGAATTTATCCGTTGACGGCTTTTGTTCCGTTGGAACAGCCACAACAACGACAGGGATCCACTCGGCATAATGTAAGTTAAACGGCTTCGCAATGGCTTGCTATTGGGGATTTTCAGGAATCCTCTCCCGAAGTGGCTCAACACGACCCGGACGATCGCTTGAGACATCAAAAGCAGGGACCGGTACGTTTTTTTTTTGAGAAATATTGATCTGATATGATCTGATATGATATGAGCTGATAGAAGTATGAGAGCTAATTGATTTTCTTTAGTCAAAATCTTCTGATTACCACAATGGCCCTGGACTCTCATCGTCGTCGACGAGTGGCACGCAGGCGAAAGAAAGGGAAACTTCAGAGAAAGCCGGTGATCATCATCATCACCATCATCATCCGGAACGGGAAAATCAAGATGAGAAACCCGAAGGACACGACGAAATACCAACTGAGCCACGGGGAATCCTTCATATGAAGGTTGGTCGGGTGCAGTGCAGAGATAGATTTATCCCTGCTCCAGAACTGAATGTGTAACTAACCGATGGTAGTTGCGATTTACCTTCAAATTCTCTTCAATTGCTCAACTCAATTGCGCTCAGTCACCATAGTGAAACTTGAATCAAAATCCCACCAATGAGACACTTGGAGGGGGGGGGTTTATTATGATTTTCTCCCATTTTCCCTAAGCCTAAGCCATCTTCCCGATGGCTTTTCCCAACTATCCCGAATCACCCAACTATCAACTCATTCCCAACGATCCCGAATACCTTTAAGCTAGCTTGATTTTTGAAATTACAAAAAGGAAATCCACGGGAATATCTTGGTTTGGCCGCCGGAAAGGCTTGTCCGTTTTTTTTGAAATTTTCGTTTATAAATGAATAATGAAGCTTGGTGAAATGTTATGAAAATTTGTCGATCTGTATCTTCTGTGTAGATCTGTAATTTGTCGATCTGTCTGTCTGTCTAACTTTTCATTCTCTATCTTTTGTCTTTTGACATTAAAATGAGTTTCTGTGACAAAAGGCACTCAAATAGGAACTTTGAGTTTCATCGCTTTTGACTCCTCGACTTCACAACTTTAAAAAAATGAACTAACGCGAGCTTTTCAGAATTTCTTAAAGGGGAATTTGTAAATAAAATAATAGGACTTTTTGATAAAACAAAAAATCATAGTTCGATTCCTTTCATTATTCATTTCAAAAAGTAACCTTAAAAAAAGCGTATAAGACTTTCCAACGGCCAACTTAATAGCAGTCTTGTGCCGCTCATTTCGTCCCTCACTCGCATTTAGCTCATCGAAATGCGTCGAAAACTTAACCCCATACTTAGTCGAGTGATTCGATGGATTGGCGATGATTGGGGAGTGATGGGGATTTGAGGGGGTAAGGGTTGCTCTTCCTTGCACGAATCTCCCCCCTTTTCTTTTCTTCATTCGATGGGGACTGTACACACAATCGGTGCCGGGTTCCCTTCCCTTGATCGCCCAGTTCGGTCCCCCCCTTTCTTCCCCCCAAGGGTCTCTATCACCTCTTGATTTCTCGATTTCTCCGTTTTCTTCACCATTTCCCCCATCATTGAGCTCTATTTGTGTGCTCTTTGTATTTGGGAGTGTCTTTGCGGGAAAAAGAAAAGAACGAACGACTCCGTTCGATTCGGCGATTTGATTGAGTTTTGTGAAAAGATTTGGTCTCGATGAATGTCTTGATGTTTGCCCGCGGTCCTATTTGGACTTGACAATGAGCCTAGAGTGAAATTTTGGGGTTTCCTACGTGACAAGTGGACAATGTGACTTGAGATTTTTAGCCGGTAAAGGTTAAAATTTGAAAGTGAAGAAGAAAAATTGATGATTTGCAGCTTAGACTGGGTGAAATTTGATGCCAAGCACAGCAGATCTGTGTTTAGTGAAGATGGAAAAGATAAAGTTCAATGTTTTTCTTTTTTCAGGCCACCCTGGACGGCTCGGAGTTGACGATTTTACTGAAACTAGAGGATGGGATGAATCGGCATTTGTCAACGGAAATCGAAGATGATGATAGTGCTGAGTGGCTGTCCACGCAACTCGTCCGAGGCGGTTTCGTTTGTGAGGTGAGTTTTTTTTTAGAGTTATTTACAGAGTGCGTGAAGAGTTATTAAAGAGTTACTAAAAACTTTTCCAAAAAACCAAAAAATCTAATTTATGCTTTTGCTACGAAGCTAATGAAAGCTATTTTGGAAAGCTGCGATCTCAAATGTTTTCATGAAAAGTTCTGCCAAATTTATGCTGAAGGAACGAAATAGGAACTATAAAGTAACTAAATTTGCTATTTGAGTAAAATAGAGAATTATGAAACATGAATTTTCTAGCGTAAAAATACTTGAAAAATCGTTTTTTGTAGGGTTTGAGCTTGAAAGGCTTGAAAGGCTTGAAAGGCAAAGAGCTAGTCTTGAAAACTTTAGAAAATATTGTAAAAGTGGTCTTTTAGGAGAGGACAGTAGAAATTTTCATGCGCACAGAACAATAATTAGCTGGAATTTTTTTGAATTCATCAATATGGTAAATTTGCTAAAAATGATTTATTTAATGTAAAAAGTTTAAAAGAATAGTGACCAATGAAACTGGATACGCTAGGTTTAAGTGTTTTTTTTTTTTTTTTTTAAAAACCCTTTGACGTATTTCAATATCTAGACGTTAAAGTAGGATAAATTTCAGGTCGAAAAATACGACAATAGACATTTGTGACTCTTTTCACGGATATTTGCATGGCTCTTATACCTGTTTTGCGTTTCAAAACTTGCCAAAGAAAGAGTCGCAGTAACGGGAACACATTTATGACCTATCGGGAACCTATCGGGAACCGATCGCCAATCTTACAGTAATATGAACAATATGAATCTTTTGCATTTTCAGCAAGATGAGGCTCGTGTCCGCCACCTTCTCGACTCGGTTCTTCACCCGCCGCCACCCGATTCACAAGCCGGTTCTCAATTGACGACAACTCCCGTCTCGGCTTCAATGTCGTCTTAACCTCCCCTCCAAAAGTGATCACACTATTGTGTGCTTGCTTGTGTGTAAAAGAATCTCTTCACACTTCTTTCTCTTTTTTGACTTGTGATAAAATTTGGGCATTCTTTGAGATTTGTACTCAAGCTAAATGGGTCGAAGTGAAACTGTCCCTGGGAAATTTTGACACTTTAAAGGTTAATATTGCAAAGGTTAATATTGCATTTCATTTAAGCATTTTTAACGTTTGAAAACTCTGTGACTAGCTTTTTGAAGCGTTTAAACGCGTTTAAAGCATCACTTTTACGCTGGGATACTGTAATTTGTGGCCATGGGAGATCAAGTGTACTATAGACCATGGGAGACCTATAGAATACTGGTTTTGATAGATTTCAAAGGACAACTGTTAGACTTGTTCCTGGAATCTTTATCTAGCTCTTTATCTAGCTTTTTATCTAGCTCTTTATCTAGATCTTTATCTAGATCTTTATCTAGATATCTTTTTAACCCCTTAACTTATCGAGGTGATCGGAGGGGGACAAGGAAGAAGAATGAGAATGAGAGAATGAGTTGCGTGCTTGTTTGTACGTGTGCACTGGGTGTTTAGACTTGCCTAAAGGGTCAAAGAGGGTCTTTAGGGGGCCTCATAGACCTGGGCGGAGAGCCTGTGCAGACCCGGGCGCAACCCTGAGACTCTGTGAAGACGGAGAGACCCAGACAGTCCAAGGAGAGCCGGCCCAGCTCGAACCCTCAGGGTCTGACCACACCACACCCCCCTTTCTTGCGCCGGAAAAGAGGCTAAAGAGTGCCTCTTAGCCTCGTAGAGAGCTTTTCGACCCCCTCAGGCCACCCCCCAGCTTTCCCAAGCTACCCTCAGGTCCTCCTTTTTGGCCAGGCTTACCCCCTTCGAGTGTCTGATTGCACAAGCATTTCGCTATCACCGCGATTCTCGGCTGGCTAAAGCTAGATTTTAAAATATTGGCCTACACGAGACCTCTACAGTACTCCGTTTATCGAAATGCGGCCGCTACTCATTGTGGCGATTCTGCCGCTAGTATTTGGTGTGCTGAAAGCGCAGCATGGAACAGTTGGACGGCCTTGCGAGGTGTCGACTGATTGTGGCACTGGAAATTATTGTGCTGGCAACAAGCGATGTGCCTGTTTGACAACCTATGTCGAGATTGACTCGTACTGTTGGAGAAGTAAGTGCGATTCGTGAGAGATCGGAGAGGTTGATGGGTTAGGGTTTAGTTTCTAGATGAGGTAGAGCTAGAGCTAGATGATCTAGAGCTAGCTGAGGTAGAGCTAGATGATCTAGAGCTTCTAGCTGAGCGAGAGCTAGATGGTCTAGAGCTTCTAGATGAGCTAGAGCTTCTAGTCGATCTAGAGCTACCTGATCTAGAGCTTCTAGATGAGCTAGAGCTAGATGATCTAGAGCTTCTAGCTCATCTAGAGCTAGATGATCTAGAGCTAGCTGATCTAGAGTTTCTAGCTTTACCCCCAGTTGGCTCTAGAAGTACCCAGGACCCTACTAGAGTGTTAACGGTCTCTATAAATGGACTAGCCAGCTAGCCAGCCAGCCAGCCTTGCTGACTGATGCCTTTAGAAAATAGGTCTTTGAAAGCATCGATTACCCCGCCAGCCTTCAGGCTGATCAATGACTGATCAATGACTTTTTAAGCTGTAAACTTTTCCCTTCCTAAACTCATCGCTGCCCTTCCTAAACCCATTTAAGTGCAAATTTCAATGAAGCCCATTTTTTTCACACCTCAAAAACCTCGAATACCCATTCGAAGTTTCGATTGGTGAATTTGAAAGTGAATGTTTTCCTTCGCGATTTTCTTGATTTCCCCCAATTGGCCCCCAATTTGCCCCCAATTTGCCCCCAATTTGTCCCCAATTCCCCCAGTTCCCCCAATTTTCTCATATCAATGAATCCGGTGTGTGCCCATAAAGAAAAAAAAAATTTCAATGTTTTTGAATATTTCAATGTTTTTCGCCCGAAAATTTTCATTTTTTTTCTTTCGTCTTTTTCTTTGAAAATGCTGTAGATTTTTGGCGAAAATCTCTTGAAAATCGTAGTGCGCTCCAGCTTGCACTTTACGCGTACTTTGAGCTCGTTTGGTGCAAACGCGCGCTCTCTAGGGCACTGAACAAATTCAGTGCACTAGAAAATGTCCGTTTTCAAGAAAAGCACAAAGTACATGTCAATTATTGTGTAGTGCGCTCCAGCTTGCACTTTACGCGTACTTTGAGCTCGTTTTGTGCAAACGCGGGCTCTCTGGCGTGCTGAACAAATTCAGTGGACCAGAAAAGGTCCGTTTCCGAAAAAAGCACAAAGCACATGTCAATTATTGTGTAGTGCGCTCCAGCTTGTACTTTACGCGTATTTTGAGCTCGTTTGGTGCAAACGCGGGCTCTCTGGCGTGCTGAACAGATTCAGTGCACTAGAAAATGTCCGTTTTCAAGAAAAGCATAAAGTACATGTCAATTATTGCGTAGTGCGCTCCAGCTTGCACTTTACGCGTACTTTGAGCTCCTTTGGTGCAAACGCGGGCTCTCTGGCGCACCGAAAAGATTCCGTCCGCTAGAAAGTGTGCGTTTCCGAAAAAAGCATAAAATACGGAAAAAATTGAGCGTACTGACTTCCAGATCGACGAAAAATACCGAAATCTACAGCTTTTTCGCTTTCAAAAGTAGATTTATCTAAGCTCAAAAATAAAAGAGAAAAAAAAAATTGACTCATTTCCCTAGTCGACGGTCATTTTTTTTTTTTTTTGAGAAAATTGAGAAAATTTTCATTTGCTTTATTTTCTTCTTGCGTACTTTACGCGTTTACTTTAGGTGTTTCTAGGGTTATTTTTTTGATAGGATTACGGTAGTTTTTATTAGTTAGCATTTTTGCGATACGCTACGTTCCAGAAATTGAGAAAAAATGAATTTTTTTTTTGATTTTTTGAGAAATGATTTTTTTTGATTTTTTGAGAAATGAGAAAAATGGAAAAATGAGAAAAATTGATTTTTCTTTTAAATTCCCGGCGGTGGGAGAAACGCGACGTTTTTTTTTGCGCACCTGGGCATTTGCGCACCCGGACATTTGCGCACTATTTCTAAAGTGGTAAATGTTATATAGTACGGAAGTACGAAAGTACGGAAGTACGGAATCTTGGCTACATTTATCTACTAAAAGCTATCTACTAATTTATCTACTAAAAGACTGCGGAAAAGCGTCTGATCTAGAAGTCCGTCTGATAATCCGTCCCATCTAGAAATCTGCCCGACCTAGAGGTCTGACCTAGAAGTTCGTTTGGTCTAGAATCAAGCCGATCACTCTAAATCAGACGTCCTAGCCAGCTTTAGAGTAATCGGCTTGATTCTAGATCGGACGTTCGATCGGACGTTCGATCGGACGCATTTGTCCCAAGGCTCTAAATCAAACTAGGAGCTTGAACCATCTTGAGTCAGAGTCCTAATCCGAGCTAGGATTCTAAGCCTAAGCCTAAGCCTGAGCCTGAGCCTGGGCCTGAGCCTGGGCCTGGGCCTGAGCCTGAGCCTGAGCCTGGGCCTGAGCCTGAGCCTGAGCCTGGGCCTGAGCCTGAGCCTGAGCCTGGGCCTGAGCCTAAGTCTAAGCCTGGGCCTGGGCCTGAGCCTGAGCCTAAGCTGGAGCCTAAGCCTCAGCCTTAGCCTAAGCCTAAGCCTGAGCCTGAGCCTAAGCCTAAGCCTAAGCTGGAGCCTGAGCCTAAGCAGGAGCCTAAGCCTAAGCCTCAGCCTAAGCCTCAGCCTTAGCCTTAGCCTCAGCCTTAGCCTAAGCCTAAACCTAAGCGCAAAAAAAAGTCGCATTTGTCCCACCCCCAAATTCCCCTTTTTTTCTCTTTTTCTCTTTGTCTCTCTTCTTCCTTTTTTTGCCAACGATAAACCCCTTTTTTCTTTATGAATTATTAAATATTTAAAACTTAAACTTTACAACTTTTCTCTACGTTCTTTCTTTTTTTTTTTTGTGTTTTTTTTTTTTTTTTTTTTTTGGGTGAAATGTGCTCTTTTTTTCTTTCCCTTTTTTCAGTTTGTTTTCATTCAAATCATTTTTTTTCAAACAAAACTCCAAAAAAGCGAATGAAAACGGGCTTGTTTTAAAGGATTTTCGCGATTTTCGCAATTTTCCCAATTTCTGAAGAAAATTTCATAAGAAAACCGGAGATTTCGTTTACAAGCCGTTTTGACGAATGAGAATCGAAGCTATTGAGATTTTAAACGAATTTTCGCCCATCCTGGAACTCACATCAGCATCTGTGCTCGGAAAAAAGGACTTTAGTCGCGAAATTTCTAGGCCCGGAATCGAACCATGACCCTCTGATTGGTAGCCGACCACGCTAACCACTTGGCTATCAAGAGTTTTCTTTTCTTAGCGAAATTTCTTAGCTTTTAACAATGTAGAAATTATCTGTGATATCCAGCTTTAAGGAAAACTTTTGGAGTTTTGCTTAAAGTGGGCTCCTGCCCCACCCAGCGTCGCCGTTCGAGATCAACGAGAAACAGGGCGAATGGGGGAAAATTGAGTAAAAGTAAAAAGCGATTCGTGAAAGCTGGATATCACCGAATGCTCTACTGGAGAAATTTCGAGTTTTTGAAGAGTTTAAAAGTTCTGACTTTGAGCACCCAGAAACTAGGCTGGTAAATGAAGATTTTAAATATCTAATCGAATTTTTAGCAATCCTGGAGCTCACATAAGGATCTGACCACAGAAAAATAGCTTTATTCCCAAAATTTTTAAGCCGGGGGATCGAACCATGACCCTCTGATTGGTAGCCAAGCACGCTAACCACTCGGCCACCGGGACTTTTGCTTATTTTTGAAAGCTAAGAATTTCTATAGTTTCTGTGATATCCAGATCGGACGAATAACAGTTTAATTTGGCAAAAATTCCCGTTTTTCTCCGTTTTAACAGCTTGATTCGAGATCTTCAATGTTTAAAGGGAAATTTCAAGAATTTTAATCGAATGAAACAGTTTTCTCATCGATCTGGAACTCACAGAACATTTTGCGAATTGTTTTAGTGACGGCTTGAAGACGGAAATTTTCTCGAAAATTTTAACCCCATAAAAAGTTTCGAAATTTCAATTTTGAGAAAAATTTATTTTTTACGATTTCCTTTTTATTTTGTGACATCCAGATTGCCATTTGCAAACGATTCTTTGAAATTTTTTTTGAAAATTCCCTTAAATTTCCTTTTTTCCAATTTTCCCCGTTTGTCAATTAGGAATTTCCTGTCGCCTACGGTTAGCACTGAGTTCAAAAGGTCCCGTGCGTGCCAGGATCTCGATTTCTGCCGGTTTGAAGGCTGGAAGTCTTTCTAGCGCTCGTGAAAGTCGCTGAACTCTGATCTGATCGCTGATCACCGGGATTTCTCGGTGACTGGTGAAGGGTTTCAAAATCCGAGCGAATTTTTGCCCATCCTGGAACGCACAAGGCCTTTTGAGTTGAAAAAAAGCTCCCCATTTTCGTAAAAAAAAATTTCTACCATATGGCTTTCGATTTTTTTTTTTCAAATTTGTCAGATTCCTTTCCCGAAAATTCCTTAAAAAATATTTGATTTTTGTTGTTTTTTTGTGTTTTTTTTGAGTAAATTACATGTAATTTTATGGAAAGAATTAAAAAAAAAACAAAAAAACGAAAAAAACGAAAAATTGAAAAAAGTGAATTTTAAAGAAAATTAAGCAAAAAAACAAAAATCGAAAAATTTTAAAATTCAAATTTTTTAAATTCAAATTTTTTAAATTCAAAATTTTTTAAATTCAAATTTTTTAGATTCAAATTTTTTAAATGCAAATTTTTTAAATGCAAATTTTTAAATTCTAATTTTTTAAATTCAAAAATTTTTAAATTCTAATTTTTAAATGCTAATTTTTTAAATTCTAATTTTTACATTCGAAAATTTTTTAAATTCAAAAAACTTAAATCCAATTTTTTCTATAGCTTTTGTGACCTCCAGATTGAACAAAAATGGAAAAAAATTCGAATTTTCATCAACTGAAACGAGAGTTTTTCGAGGCTTCTCGAAATCTCGAATTCACTTTTTTGTTTTGCGTTTTTGGAAAATCCGATTACGCAAAAATTCATTGTGACTTCCAACTAAGCAAATCAAAAAAGATTTATCGAATGATCTTCAAGGGAACATCAAATTCTTCCAGAGATCAACCCCGGCGAGTCAGGCTGTACTCAGAATCGTCAATGCGAGGCCGTTTGGCCCGGCGCCTATTGCCGCTCTGGTGAATGCCGATGTGCGAACAATCAGCCACCGTTCAGGTAAATGGAATTTGAGGCTAGTTGGGGGAATTTTGGATTTTGGATTTTGACTATTTTTGGCTATTTTTGGCTAATATCACCAATTTACCGGTTCGGTCGAATCAAATTTTTTCTGTAATCTGTAACCTAGCAATGCTAGTGTGACATCCAAAACGAAGAAAAAACGTAATCAAAATAGAATCGCATTTGCCAATTTTTCGAAAAAACCCCAAACTCTTTAGCAAGCAGATCGAGTACAAAGATTTTGATGAAAATCGAAAAGCTGAATCTTCGGAATTCTAGTGTGATATCCAGATTGAAGGAAAAACGCGATTAAAATAAAATAGCTCTTCTCAATTTTACAGAATAACCACGAACTCGGTCAGTGCACATCGAACATAGTGTTTTGCTAGAAATCAAAAATCCGAATTCTAACAAATGTAGTGTGACATCCAGATAGAAGAAAATAGCTTGCCTGGGGTCAATAGCTTGCCCATATCTCAGTTAATAACAGAGATGCTTGTTCAATTGAGAACAGGCTTTGTGATGCGGTTAATTTATCCAGGCCTTGTTCCTGTTCTTGTTCCTATTCTTGTCCTTCTTCTTGTCCTTGTCCTTGTCCTTGTCCTTCTTCTTGTCCTTCTTCTTGTCCTTCTTCTTGTCCTTCTTCTTGTCCTTGTTCCTGTTCCTGTTCTTGTTCCTGTCCTTGTTCTCGTTCTCGTTCTTGTTCTTGTCCTTCTTCTTGATATCATTACAGGGTCCGAGAAAAGTATTGTCGCGTCTCTTTGAACTAACTTTAAAAGTATCCTTTTACGTTGTGTAAAACATGAATTTTGTCCAGTTTTTTTTTTTCCTCTTTCGAATGGCGCATAGCATTCAATGTGTATTTTTCGAAATGCAAGCTTGCCCTCATCGAGAAGCGATCGCCATGCTTTTGAAAGCCGGAGAGTCGAAGGCGGCCATCTCGCGAAAGCTCAAAACCAACATCAGAACTGTTCAACGGCTTGCCAAACAATTGCAAGAGAAAGGACACGTCAAAGAGAAGCCGAAAAAAGGAAGACCTCGATCGGTGAACACGCCAAACATCCGGAAGCTCATCAAACAGCGAATTGATCGAAACGACGAGCGTAGCTTAGGAAAAATTGCCAAGGAGCTGAAAATCTCGGATTGGTCGGTTCGGAACATTATGAAAAAGGAGCTGGGATTTCATAGTTATCGTCTGCGACAAGGTCAGTTTCTTACCGATGATGCGAAATTCAATCGAGTTCAAAAAGCCAAGCGACTCCTTTGTTTTTTTAAGACGGCACGCATCGAGGACGTCTTGTGGTCAGATGAGAAAATTTTTACCATCAAAGTAGCCCACAATTCTCAAAACCATCGTCAACTGATGTCATCGGCCCAGAAGAACACTTTGAAGCGGAAAATCCGGACACGGGGTCTTTTTCCGAAAGGATTGATGGTTTGGGGAGGAGTGGCTGCGGATTCGAAGACTCAGCTTGTTTTCATCGACAAGAGTGTCAAAATCAATGCCCAGGTTTACCAAGATCAGATTCTCAAGAATGCTGTGATCCCCTGGAGTCGAAAAAACCCTAACATGACCTTCCAGCAGGACTGGGCCCCGGCCCATGGAAGCGAAAACCACAATGGACCTGATTCGGCGCGAATTTCCCTCTCATTTCACGAAAGAAGACTGGCCCAGCAACTCGCCGGACCTCAACCCTTTGGATTTTTCAGTATCGGGCTTCTTAGAGGAACGTTTGAGACATAAGAAAATCGCAAATCTTGGTGAGCTCGAGAGGGAATTGATCGCTGTCTGGAACGATATTGATACCAACTACCTCCGTGCCACCGTCGGCTCAGTGATCCTCTGAAAGCCTGTATCAAAGCCAAGGGGTCCAATTTCGAACACTTGTTATAAATTTGAATTTTTGGTTATTTATCTGTTATTTTTTTCAATAAATATGTTAAAAGCTCAATTTTGAAAAAAGATTGAAAAAAGATGGAAAAACGACAATACTTTTCTCGGACCCTGTAGATTCTCTTTCAGCTGTAAGCCTAGTCAATTCTTTTGATCACTACAGACTCGTCCTTGTCCTTGTCCTTCTCCTTCTCCTTGTCCTCATCCTTGTCCTCTTCCTTGTCCTCATCCTTGTCCTCTTCCTTGTCCTCTTCCTTGTCCTTCTCCTTCTCCTTCTCCATCTCCTTCTCTTTGTCAGAGAGTTGATCTAAATAAATTCGGATTCTTTCTCTCATCTCGATATTCTCTCATCTCAATCAGAAAATTTCAGAACTCGAGACGGTCTTGTCTGTCTGAACTACGGCTTCTGTCCACTCAATGGAAACAATCCAAAGTTCAGAATCGAGAATCAGGCAAGAATCTTTCTTTCAAAAGTCTAGATTCAAAGCTTTAGGTGCAACAATGTTACGGTGGCGCTGATGCGACTTGCGAGGCGATTGGAGCTTTGGCATACGATTGTATTTGTGATTCCGACGATTGCACCGTCAACAATCCCATCTCTTTCTGTTGTCCGTCAAGGGGTTTGCCTGAGTTCTTTATAGCAAACAAAAGCTTTCAGCTTTCGCCTGCATTCAGCCACCAAACGAGGGCTACACTCCACCAGGCGGTGGCACAACTCTCAACCATTGGTATCACGATCCGATCACTGGTAAACGACATTTTATTGTAATCAAGGGCTGGGTGGAGGTTTGAGAATTGAGAATAGAAAGGTTCTGGCACTTCTGGCACTTCTAGAAAGCTGCTGGAAAGCTTCTAGCACTACTGGAAAGCTTCTAGAGCTTCTAGAAAGCTTCAAAGCGTCCTTAGGGGTTTCAAGGTCGCTGATTCGATTCTAGAAAGCTTCTAGCACTTCTAGAAAGCCTCTCGCACTTCTAGAAAGCCTCTCGCACTTCTAGAAAGCCTCTAGCACTTCTGGAACTTCTAGAAAGCTTCTAGCACTTCTAGAAAGCTTCTAGCATTTCTAGAATGCTTCAAAGCGTCCTTAGGGTTTTCAAGGACGCTGATTCGATTGATCGTTTCGTTTTGATCTCCTTGAATAACAAGGAACCGGCTTTTGCTATCTAGGCGTTTACAAAGGCCTGCTTCTGGTGGTTCGGTCGTCTAGTGGTTCGCGCAATGCAATGCCAAGCAATTCAATGCCAAGCAAAGTTCAGAAGTTCAATCCCTTTTCGAGTTTCTCATTTTCCTTCTTCCAATAGAGTCTTTGCAAGAAATAATCGGAAAATGTAGCTGACAATCTAGTGGGGGATTAGATTGCTGGGCTTCTACAGCTTCTACAGCCTCTACAGCTTCTGCAGCTCCTCCAGCTTCTACAGCTCCTACAGCTTCTGCAGCTTCTACAGCTTCTGCAGCTCCTCCAGCTTCTACAGCTTCTACAGCTCCTCCAGCTTCTACAGCTTCAGCTTCTACAGCTTGAAACTATAAAATAGTGATCAACTCAGCTCATCGGAGTGCACTAGTATTAGAGAAAATAACGGTAATGCGGTGATAAGGGTGGGGTTGTCGGGAGTGAGAGTGAGAAACTTCATCTAAGGCTAAATCTGGTTACGAGACCGATAGCAAACAAGTACAAGAGGGAAAGTTGTAAAGAACTTTGAAGAGAGAGTTCAAGAGAGAGTTCAAGAGTGCGTGAAAGGATTGGAGTCGATCTGGTAAATCTAGCAGATCTGGCAGATCTAGCAGCTCTAGAGAAAGATCTGGCAGATCTGGCAGATCTGGTAGATCTGGTAGATCTAGTAGATCTAGTAGATCTAGCAGATCTAGTAGATCTAGTAGATCTAGCAGATCTAGCAGATCTAGCAGATCTAGCAGATCTAGAGAAAGATCTAGCAGAGTTTGCAAGAGTTAAAAGTGATTGGAGGTGCGTCAAGATGAATTCAAATTTCCAGGCGAATGTCGTGAGTTGAAATACCAAGGATACGGTGGAAATGCGAATAATTTCCAGACAAAAGATCATTGTGAATCCTACTGTAAACAAAGTGAGTTTCTTTTCTAGATGAATAGCTAGATCTCTAGCTAGATCTCTAGCTAGATCAATAGCCAGATCTCTAGCTAGATCTCTAGCTAGATCTCTAGCCAGATCTCTAGCTAGATCAACATCAGACTTTAGCCTGCAATCGTGGTCTCCCTCTTTACCGTGATCGAACGACTGGCGTTAAACAAGAGCCGGTAAATTTAGATTTATGATTCTGAACGATCTTGCTTTCAGGTGTATTGCCAAGGAAACGATAATGGCTGTAACAACCCGAACTACGTTTGCACCACGATGGGCACCCTGCAACAGTGTTGCCCGACTTTCAGTGAGTTTTAAAGAGTCACTCGGCCACCCGTCAGCTTCCAATCAAAGCAATTACACTAGCTATAAAGCCTGGAACCTCTTCACCCATATAACTTTTTTCTGAGTAGACAGATTTTCATGAAACTTTAGATTCTTCTTTGTTGGATATCATGTAAAAATTGGGATTGATCAGATTTTTCGACAATCGTTTTTAAAGTTACTCGTCGATCGTCGGTTACAGGACTGGCTCTTTTTCTCATTGCTGGTTAGGGGAAACTTTTTGATCTTTTGGCTGTATCTTAGTTGGATGTCAGCATAGAAATTGCTGTGACCAACTTTTTGATAAGGCTAATTTTCGAGAAGGCATTTTTAGTCGGTTACAGGACTGGCTCTTTTTCTCATTTCTGGATAGAGGAAACTTTTTGATCTTTTGGCTCTATCTTAGTTGGATGTCAGCTTAAAATTTAGGAAGATCAAATTTTTGATAAGGCTAATTTTCGAGAAGGCATTTTTAGTCAGCTACAGGACTGCCTACTTTTCTCGTTCCTTGATGGAGCAAAGCTTTTGATCTTTTGGCTGTATCTTAGTTGGATATCATGTAAACATTGGAATTGATCAGATTTTGAATTCTTTTGTTTTTGGTTTTTGAAAAATAGCCTGGAACCTGTTCTCTTTATTAACTTTTTTCTGAGTAAACAGATTTTCATGAAATTTTAGATTTTTCTTAGTTGGATATCATGTAAAATTTTGCATTGATCAGATTTGTCGACAATCGATTTTAAAGTTACCCGTGGATCGTCACAGTTACCGCTAATGTAGTCAAGTCCCAATGGGATAAGATTTAAGCCAGTATAACGACTAGATACTGTAGATGGATACTGTAGACGACAATAGCTGGGTTACGATAGCTAGAACACACAGACAAAGCCCCGTAACCGACTTCAATCCACATTTCCAGCGTTCATCTGCTCCCGAAATGGTGCCATTCCCACTGAGGTTTACAACACGGCTGGTGGCTTGCCGACTGAATATTTTGATGTTGGAATCCCTGACGGATCTGGAAACACGTATCCAAGGTGAGAGAAGGATTCAGGAACAGAGCAAGGCAGGTTGTCAAGGATTTGTCAAGCTCAGGTCAGCTCTAAGCCAGCTATAAGCCAGCTCTAAGCCTAGAACCAGTCTAGTCCAAGGCCAGGGCCAGCCAGGACCAGCCAGGGTCAGCCAGGACCACCAGAACAGATCAGGGCTAGCCAGGGCTAGCCAGGATCAACCAGAACAGATCAGGGCCAGCCAGGACCAGCCAGGGCTAACCAGGACCAGCCAGAGCTAGCCAGGGCCATCCAGGGCCACCCAGGACCAGCCAGGGCTAGCCAGGGTCAGCCAGAACAGATCAGGTCCAGCATCAAGTCCGGTCCAAGCTCCACAAAGCCCAGTCTGCAGGACTTGGACAACCTTCATCTCCAGCCTCAAAGAGCCATTCGATAAGCTCTATAAGATCTAAAGCCTAGCCTAATCCCTTAGAAAAAACAAGGTGACGCTTCCCTTATAAGGTCCCTTATAGGGTCGCTTCCTAGGTCCGTGATAGGGCCGCTTCCTAGGTCCCTTATAGGGCCGCTTCCTAGGTCCGTTATAGGGTCGCTTCCTAGGTCCCTTATAGGGTCGCTTCCTAGGTCCATTATAAAATCGATGCTACACATACAAATCGATGCTAATTTGAAGCTGCCGGATTCGAACCAGCACCCTCTGATTGACAGCCGAGCGCACTAACCACTTGGCCAGAAAATTTTTTGCATATTTCAGATAACTAAGAGTTTAGATAGATTCTGTGACATCCAGCTCTAAAGGATGACGTTTTAGTTTCTCTCAATTTCCTTTCCTTTCTCTTAAAATTGCGCGAACTGAGATCACCGAAAAATAAGCCGAAAGAGAGAAAATTAAAGCAAAAGAAAATGCTATTCATAAATCCTGGAAGGCACAGAATATTTTGCAATTATTAGTTTCTGAAAATAGATAAGATTTTCGATGGCGCGGTGGGAAAAGCGTTGATTTTCGAGGCGGACGGTCGCTGGTTCGACTCCGGTCACCACCAAAAGTTTTAGCTTTCGGTAAAAAAACGGTTTAGATAGATTCTGTGATATCCAACTTGAACGAAAAACGTTTTAATTTTATCGAATTTCCTTTCCTTTCTCTTAAAATCACGCGAATTGAGATCATCGAAAAATAAGCCGAAAGAGAGAAAATTAAGGCTAGAGAAAATGCTATTCATCAGTTCTGGATGTCACTGAACAGTTAGCAATTATTAGTATTTGAAAATAGATAACTTTTTCTATGGCGCAGTGGGAAAAGCGTTGATTTTCGAGGCGGACGGTCGCTGGTTCGACTCCGGTCACCGCCAAAAAAAAATTTTTTTTTGAAAAAATGGTAAAATTTGATTTCAATGGTAAAATTTGGCTTGAATTCTGATTCTCTATGCGTCCAGAGACAGGCCTGGCTCAGCTTCAGATCAAAATTCATCAACCTCAACTTTCAGATTCTACTACGATTCACGCGAGGGCCGATGCATTCAATTCTCGGTTTCTTTTAGCTTTCTTTTAGCTAAACTATCGAGTTTCTTTTAGTATCTTGGCCAAGGCGGTAACTTCAACAATTTCCTGTCTCAGGATCATTGCGAAAAGTTCTGTTCGAGAAGTAAGCATTTTCTCGAAAGCTATTCACTTAATCGAAAATTTAAAACCTTTACAGCAAGTTCTGGATGTCACAGGACTTATCCGCAAAGCTTTCAAAGCAAACTAGAAAAAATTTCGAAGGCACTTTTTTGAATGGATCAGGTTCATGCGAAAATCTTGCGATAGAAGAAGTTTGAGAAAAAACTGGCGATTTTAGACACTGATCTGGCACGCACAGCACTCAAATCTCGCGAAACTTTCTTAGGTTATCAAAAAAAATTTCAGTCCTGTGCTCGGCCGGTGAGCCGCTGAAGGACTCGTCCGGCGAGCGCAACATGGAGTGCTCGCCAACGGGCAGCGGCGCGAACACGTGCCCGTCCACACATTCCTGTGAATCCACATCCGGTAGAGGTTATCATTTTTTCTTTTTCCGACTAACAAATAACGAAAAATCGACTAAAACAAAGCGAAATCCAGGAACAAGAGAGTTCGGATTGAAATAAGCTTTTCTATAAAAGAAAAGCGTTAAAATCTTTTAAATTTAGCCCATCTGGAAATCACATAACATTTCTAGACAAGCAGATTTTGGAGAATTCGGTTTTAAAAAAAAAATTTTTGTTGAAAAGAGTTTGGATTGAAATAAGATTTTCTAAAACAGAAAAGCTTTAAACTCTTTCAGATTCAGCCGATCTGGAAATCACATAACATTTCTAGAGAAACAGATTGACTGATTTGTTTCAATGAAACCAGTCAGCCAGAGCTAGGCTCAGGCTTAGGCTGGGCTTAGACTGGGCTTAGGCTTAGGCTGGGCTTAGGCTTAGGCTAGGCTTAGGCTTAGGCTTAGGCTTAGGCTCAACTGTCCTAGGTTGAAGCCATTGTTTGAACTAGATCGTAGAAAGTGGCTAGATTGTAGAAAGCGTTTAGAGCCAAAATCAAGCTTCGGTCTAGACTTAGTAGCCAAGAGGGAATCTATTTCATTTCTAGGGCAGCTTAAGGCAAGGAAATCTGGTTGTTTAGAGATTCTAGAAAAACAGATTTTGGAGATTTCGGTTTTAAAAAAAATTTTTTTGATGAAAAGAGTTTGGATTGAAATAAGATTTTCTAGAAATGAAAAGCTTTAAAATCTTTTAAATTCAGCCGATCTGGAAGTCACATAACAATTCTAGAAAGACAGATTCAAAAAAAATTGCTTGCCAACTGTCCCCATTCTTTAGTCAAATTTTCCCCACCTTCCAACTCCACCACTTTCCAGGCTCGACAACTTTCGGCGGTGTTTGCTGCCCGCGTCCGCAGTACGTGTGCAAGTTGCCGAGAGAGCAGGTAAAGGGGAATTGCTTTTAATCAAATTTTTGACCGATTCACGATGAAATGACTGAGAGAAAAGAGTTCTCATCGAAATAAACTTTTCTGGAAATGAAAAGCTTGAAACTCTTTTCAATTTAGCCCATCTGGAAGTCACATAACAATTCTAGAGAAGCAGATTTCAGTGATTTCCGTTTTAAAAAAAAAATTTTGTCGAAAAGAGTTCTGATCGAAATCGAATTTTCTAAAACAGAAAAGAGTGAAAAGCACTTAAATCTAGCCGATCTGGAAGTCACATAACAATTCTAGAAAAGCAGATTTTGGAGATTTCCGTTTTAAAAAAAAATTTTTACTGAAAAGAGTTCGGATTGAAATAAGATTTTCTAAAACAAAAAAAGCTTAAAAAAGACTTAAATCTAGCCGATCTGGAAGTCACATAACAATTCTAGAAAAGCAGATTTTGGAGATTTCCGTTTAAAAAAAAATTTTGGCCAAAAGGAGTTCGGATTGAAATAAGATTTTCTAAAACAGAAAAGCTTGAAACTCTTTTAAATCTAGCCCATCTGGAAGTCACGTAACATTTCTAGAAAAGCAGATTTCAGTGATTTCCGTTTTAAATAAAAAAATTTTTGTCGGAAAGGGTTCGGATCGAAATCAAGTTTTCTAAAACAAAAAAAGCTTGAGAAACACTTAAATCTAGCCGATCTGGAAGTCACATAACAATTCTAGAAAAGCAGATTTCAGTTCTCTAAAGAATTTGTTTGCCAATCTCCTTCAAAAGAGTTCTAATAGAAAGCAAATTTTTTAAAACAGAAAAGAGTGAAAAGCACTTAAATCTAGTCGATCTGGAAGTCACAAAAGGAGATTTCGCAACTTTGTACCATTTTGTATCGTTCAGGGTAACTGTGGGACTTACTCAAACCGTTGGTGGTTCAACGCGAAAACCGGGAACTGCGAAGAGTTCATCTATTCGGGATGCCAAGGAAACGCGAACAATTTCGAGACGTACAAAGAGTGCCAGGATTACTGTAGAGACGCTAGAAGTGAGTTGGGGAAGAGTGAAGAAGTCATTGGGGAATGTTAGAGATCAGAGAAAGTTGGCTTTGATGTCAGACTGGCCGGAGGAGAGTTGGAGCTGGCTGGAGCTAGCTGGGAGGATGGCTGGGAAGATAAACAAACAAACAAACAGACAAACAGACAGACAAACAACCCAACAAACAACTCTCTCTCTCTTTTTATCATTCAATCATTTAGGTGAACCGCAATGCATTCAAGGCACTGCATTAACCGATTCAAATGGAAATTTCATCATTTGTGGAGGTCAGTACAGCTTGTGGAAGTTCTGGAAACTCTTTGTATTGTAAGAAAGTATAAAGAAGGTACAAAGAAGCCTTTTGTACGATTTTGCGGCATTCTAACAAGCCCCGCCCCTTTGCCATTCGACTCAACTTTAAACCCAATTATCTCCGTGTTCAGCTGTCCAATTGGAATACTTTTTTTACCAATTGATAGAGAAAGTCTTTGCGCATCTAATGATACCAAGAACATTAGAATTGGATATTCCAAAGCCAAGATATTTGAGCTCAAAGTTGGATCGAAAGGCATGGGTCGCCTCTTACGGAGCGCCCTCTGCCATTGGCAATCTTTGAGCTCAATTATCTCGGTGTTCAGTTGTCCAATTGGAATAGTTTTTGTACCAATTGATAGAGAAATTCTTGCTGAATCTAGTGATACCAAGAACATTGAAATTGGACAGTCCAAAGCCAAGATATTTGAGGTCAAAGATTGTCAATGGATTCCAATGGATTGCCAATGGATCATGCTAGTCCTAGTGGATCAGTTTGTCCGTTAGGCTGGCTGGATAGCTGGCTGGGTAGCTGGCTGGGTAGCTGGCTGGATAGCTGGCTAGGTAGCTGGCTGGGTAGCTTAGGCTGGCTTAGGCTGGCCCTGAGACTCTCCTGTCCACTATCAAATCATTTTAAACCAATCATTTCAGCCGCCGGCTCATCAGCTGCCTCAACAACCTGTCCAGCGAATCACTATTGTTATTATGACGGAACAACGTATGGGTGTTGTCCAACGCAAGGTTTGTCCAACGCAAGGTCCAACGCAGCTAGAATTGTTCCATCACTTGATCCCATCTCTTCATCTCTTGCTTCCAGCGTACACCTGTTCCCTCTCGTACAAAGCCGGAGCCACCTGCGGCCCAGCGGTCACCCGATGGTACTATGATTCAACTACGAGAACTTGCCAGGTTTAGAATTAGGCTATTCTTTTCTGGGCTTAGGCTTAGGCTTAAGGCTTAGGCTTAAGCCTAAGCCTAAGCCTAAGCGCTGGCTTCTTAAGCTTAAAAGCTTTTTCATAACCAGCCTCTAAAAAAACGTTGATTTTACAAAAATTTCCATTTCAGACCTACTCATTCAATGGATGCGACGGAAATAGCAACAATTTCGCCACTCAACAGGATTGCAAGGACTATTGCCGGGTGGAGAGTTGCCCAGATGGAGGAGAGGTCAGTTGGGCTGGGGAAATTTGGCCCAAAGTTGTACTTATGGTTGACAGTTTTATGTGCAAAGAGTTTGGATTAAAATAAGAGTTTCTAGGAATGGAAAGGTTTAAAATCTTTTCAATTCAGCCGATCTGGAAGTCACATAACAATTCTAGAAAAGCAGATTTTGGGGATTTCGGTTTTAAAAAAAAATTTTTGCCGGAAAGAGCTCGGATTGAAATAAGGGTTTCTGAAACAGAGAAGCATTAAAATCTCTTAAATCTAGCCGATCTGGAAGTCACATAACATTTCTAGAAAAGCAGATTTTGAAGATTTCCGTTTTAAAAAAAAATTTTTTACCGAAAAGAGTTTGGATTGAAATAAGGATTTCTAAAACAGAAAAGCTAAAAAATCACTTAAATCTAGCCGATCTGGAAGTCACCTAACATTTCTAGAAAAACAGATTTCAGTGATTTCCGTTTTAAAAAAAAAATTTTTGCCGAAAAGAGTTCGGATTGAAATAAGGGTTTCTAGAAATGAAAAGCGTTAAAATCTCTTAAATCTAGCCAATCTGGAAGTCACATAACATTTCTAGAAAAACAGATTTTGGTGATTCGGTTTTAAAAGAAAAATTTTTGCCGAAAAGCGTTCAGATTGAAATAAAATTTTCTAAAACAGAAAAGCTTTAAAATCTTTTAAATTCAGCTGATCTGGAAGTCACATAACATTTCTAGAAAAGTAGATTTTGAAGATTTCGATTTAAAAAAAATTTTTTACCGAAAAGAGTTCTCATCAAAATCAAATTTTCTAGAAAAGAAAATCTCGAAATTCTTTTAAATCTAGCCAATCTGGAAGTCACATAAAATTTCTAGAAACTCAGATTTCTCCATTTTTCCTTTCTTGTTGTTGTGCTTGGGGGTATAACGGTGATTTGCCGGTCACTAGAGGCTTGGCCACTTGGCACTGGCCTCGCCTGGCCTTTTTCATCTATTTACTCTAAGCCATACCACCAGAAAAGCCAAGCCAGGCCAGCTATTGATTCCAGAAGAAATTCGTTTATTTTTTGAGTTCACGAGGCTCTTCGAGAGCCAAAAAAAAAGTAGTTGAATCATCTATTTGATGTCCTTTTTCTTCTTTACCCTCTAAATTGTTTGCTTTGTGCATTTCTCGCCCCTCGGGGGAATAAACGCCGCGCATTTCTCAAGAAAAGCACTCGAAGAAGAGCGCAGAATGGTCACGAGCCGAAAATCCACGAATTCTTGGGGGAAATTCTTGACCAAATTTGGGGAATCGACGAATTGGAACGCACGGGGCGGATGGGGAATTGGGGAGGTTGGAAAGAGTTGGAGAAAGAATAGGGTTAGGAGAAGGCTGGATTAGGCTGGCTTAGGCTGGCTCTGGCTGGTTCTGGCTGGCTTAGGCTGGTCTAGGCTGGCTCTGGCTGGCTTAGGCTGGCTCTGGCTGGTTCTGGCTGGCTTAGGCTGGTCTAGGCTGGCTCTGGCTGGCTTAGGCTGGCTCTGGCTGGTTCTGGCTGGCTTAGGCTGGTCTAGGCTGGCTCTGGCTGGCTTAGGCTGGCTCTGGCTGGTTCTGGCTGGCTTAGGCTGGTCTAGGCTGGCTCTGGCTAGCTCAGGCTGGCTCAGGCTGGCTCAGGCTGGCTCTGGCTGGCTCTGGCTAGCTCAGGCTGGCTCAGGCTGGCTTAGGCTGGCTTAGGCTTAGGCTCAGGCCTCTAGGATTTCAAGGGCTCCTTTTTTAGGCTCCTTGCTAGAGCTGGACCTCCTTCCAAGAGCTGAAGCTCCTTTTAAGAGCCCCTAGAGCCCCCTAAAGCCCCCTAGAGCCCCCAAGAGCCCCTAGAGCCCCAAAACTTCAATTATTTGAAGAAACGAATCATTCAAATCAACCAAATCAATCAAAGATCTAATCCCAACCACTTGCAGGTGTGGAAAGAACAAAACGGAGCGCCGCGCGCGTGCACAAGTAATCGACAATGCCCCTCCACTCACTACTGTACACCAGTTACAACTTGGACTGGTGAGTGATCAGAACAAACTATTGTTTACAAGGTCCTCTTTTTTTGCAGGCACCGTCTATCAGACAAAATCTTTGTGCTGTCCTTCGAAGAACTTTGTTTGCTCGCAGCCGAGAGATGTCGGAGTGAGATGCTCGTCGACGAGGATCAGTAGATGGTCAGGGTTTTTGCATGTTTTGATTGGGTTTAGAGGGTCTAGAGGGTCTAGAGGATCTAGAGATCTACAGGGCTTATAGTCTAGAGTTTGGTTTATTTATTATAGATTACTTTTTGACCGATTCACGATGAAAAGCCTCAAAGAAAAGGGTTCTCATCGAAATAAGTTTTTCTAAAACAGAAAAGCTTGAAAAACACTAAAAAATTAAATTTTCCGGTTTTAAAAAAAATTGAAAGGGGTTCGGTGAAATCAGAGTTTCTAAAGAAAGCGTAAATTTTTAAAAAAAAAAAAAAGTTTTGTTTTTTAAAAAAATTGCGAGGAAAATTAAAAAAAAAAAATATTGAGCCGATTTAAAAAAGTTTTTGGAGTTTTTGTTTTAAAAAATTTTTTTTTGAAGGGTGGTTAAATCTAGCCCATCTGGAAGTCACATAACATTTCTAGAGAAACAGATTGACTGATTTGTTTCAATGAAACCAGTCAGCCAGAGCTAGGCTCAGGCTTAGGCTTAGGCTGGGCTTAGGCTTAGGCTTAGGCTTAGGCTTAGGCTGGGCTTAGGCTTAGGCTGGGCTTAGGCTTAGGCTTAGGCTTAGGCTTAGGCTCAACTGTCCTAGGTTGAAGCCATTGTTTGAACTAGATCGTAGAAAGTGGCTAGATTGTAGAAAGCGTTTGGAGCCAAAATCAAGCTTCGGACTAGACTTAGTAGCCAAGAGGGAATCTATTTCATTTCTAGGGCAGCTTAAGGCAAGGAAATCTGGTTGTTTAGAGATCTGCTGATTTATAGATCTGGTTGTTCGAAACTCTGCTCCTAACCACATCCCTCGAATGAACTAATGAATAAATGAACCCTAGAATCTCCAACTCTTTTCAGGTACTTCAACGCGGACACGAAAACCTGTCAAACGTTTGAATACAACGGTTGCGAGGGGAATCGAAACAATTTCGCGACACAGAAGAGCTGTCAAAACTATTGCTTGTCCGAGGCTTGCCCACCGGGAACTGTCGTTGCGAAAGAGGCTGATGGCAATCGACTCGTCTCATGCTCCAATCCTGGAGGTACAATTTTAAAGCAACACTAACGGTGACCTAGAGGGTCACCGAGCTACCATCTATCGTATCTCCCACAAATCTTAAAGATATTCAATTAATTAATGATAAATGGTCAAGCTGGATGGCACACAACATTTTTAGATAGATAAAAAGATATTCAGTAGTCAAATAAGATTCGCATGAGGTCGATGGATTGAGAATGGCCGCTTTTCTCCCATAAACCTTAAAGATATTCAATTAATTAATGATAAATGGTCGATCTGGAACGCACACAACCTTTTAAGATAGATAAAAAGATATTCAGTAGCCAAATGAGATCTGCATGTGATCCATGGATTGAGAATGGTTGCTTTTCTCCCATAAACCTTAAAGATATTCAATTAATCAATGATAAATGACCAAGCTGGAACGCACACAGCATTTTTAGATAGATAAAAAGATTTTAGTAGTCAAATAAGATTCGCATGAGGTCGATGGATTGAGAATGGCCGCTTTTCTCCCATAAACCTTAATGATATTCAATTAATTAACGATAAATAGTCAAGCTGGAACGCACACAACATTTTTGGATAGATAAAAAGATATTTAGTAGTCAAATAAGATTCGCATGAGGTCGATGGATTGAGAATGGCCGCTTTTCTCCTATCAATTTGAAGATATTCAGTTATTTCACTAAAATTTGTTCGATCTGGAACGCACATTGAATGCACAATACGAAAAAACGCGCATTTTTGCCTAGAGTTCGAGTCCCGTTTGGTTTGATTCCAAAACTTTTCAATAGTACAAAGCTTTGAGAGCTTTGGCTTTCCTGTAAGCCTTCGGCTTCGGCTTTCCAAGGTCCAAAGCGTAAATGAATGTCATCCAGGCTCTGGTCGTGTCTCCGGCGGATGCCCAGATGGATACACTTGCAATTCTTCGCCACTTCTCGATCAAAACGTCTGTTGTGGTGCATCGACAGAGCTACAATGTGAGTTTAGAGATTTCCGAGATCATCAAAACATGCTGTGATCTCCAGATTGAAGAAAAATCTCTCAATTTTCATCAAATTCTTTTTCAGCTCTCTGCCCAGCTTCCTCAACTCCATTCATCTCAGCTCTCTCTCTCCAACCAATGCAATGCACACCAAATGTCGATGGTTTGTTGTAGAGAAGGCTGTTGTAGAGAGTTGTTGACTCAAAACCTTTCCAGGTGCTTGTCCGGGTAATTTCTTCTGTTGGTTCTCAACGACATCGACTTCAGTGAACGCTTTTTACTGTTGTCGATCGCCAGACTCCGTCGATACTGGTTGTGAGTTTTCTTTTGATTTCAAAAGCGATTCTGGAAGTCACAGGAGCTATTGCACAGCAGATATTGTACAGCAGCCGTTTGCATCGTAGATTGTTCACCCCAACTATTGTCTCGTTTAGATTGCCCACCCCAACTAGTGCCTGTGCCTGGTGAGGGCGGCGCTCAATACAAATATTGCTCTCCATCAGCTCCAATCAACGACGCCATTCAGGGATGTGGACCAAATAGACATTGTCAATTCTCGACGAATCTGGAGAGGTAGAAAGATAACGAAGGCGTTAAGCAAGGCTTTTACAATTTCTAGACTCTCAATTCGATCTCTAGACTGAAATCCAGCCTTTCTAGACTCTCAATTCGATCTCTAGACTGAAATCCAGCCTTTCTAGACTCTCAATTCGATCTCTAGACTCTCAATTCAATCTCTAGACTCTCAATTCGATCTCTAGACTCTCAATTCAATTTCTAGACTCTCAATTCGATCTCTAGACTGAAATCCAGCCTTTCTAGACTCTCAATTCAATCTCTAGATACATTTGTTGTGGCCTCGAGTCGGATGTGCGATTGCCGAACGTTTGCCCGCCTCAACCAGCGAATCTAGTGCCTGTCGAGTTGGCCGGTAAGATCTTTATCTTTATTTATCGCTGATAAACCGTAGCAAACCCTAGCAAACCGTAGCTAGATAAACCGTAGCAAACCGTGGCATCAAACTCGATGAATCCAACACGCAGACTCAGCCTCACCTCTCCCGGCCTCCTAGGAAACTCCTAGAATAAAGGCTGTGTTTCTCGCGAGTAAATAAATACTCGAGTCAAATTTGCATCACTAATCTTTACTACAGCTGAATCTCTTTAAAGGGCGGCGTATATAAGGCGTACTATAAGGCGTACTATAAGGCGTACTATAAGGCGTGTATAAGGCGGCTTTCATCGCCGCTTTTCGAGTGACTACGAGTGAATCCTCTTTACACGTTGAGTAAATTCAATTCTGTACATTTAAACGAAATTTCCCAACAAATCAATGAAACAGCTGAATCTCTTTAAAAGGCGGCACTTATAAAGTGGCGTCTTTAAGGCGGCGTATACAAGGCTTAGATAGGGCTGCGTATATCAGGCGGCGTATATAGGGCGGGTTATATGGCTCGGCTGGCATAGGGCGACCTAGATAGGGCGGCTTAGATAGGGCGGCTTGCATAGGGCGGCTTGCATAGGGCGGCTTAGATAGGGCGGCTTGCATAGAGCGGCTTGCATAGGGCGGCTTACATAGGGCGGCTTGCATAGGGCGGCCTAGATAGGGCGGCGTATATAAGGCGGCTTGCATAGCTCGGCTTGTATAGGGCGGCGTATATAAGCCGGCGCTCGTGATTTGTCGGCTCGAATTTCGCTGAGGAACACACTCAAACCATAAATGATAACCATAATTCAAATTCCCTTCACCTCATCGCTTTTCCAGGCAACTATCGAACCTGCAATCCGTACGCGCGGACGGGCACCCCACAGTCGTGCCCGGACAATTCGGCTTGCTTGTACACCGGAAACGATAACGGTTTCATTTGTTGCCGAGTTCAGTTGAACGGCGGTGGAAAACAATGAGTGTGAATGATTTGAAATAAATGAATGACTGGAATAAGTGAATGCTTCCAATAAATGAATGATTTTTCGATATTCTTTCGTATGCAAATTCCCCCCGATCATGACGTGGCTGTGATTTTTTCCGATTTTTTACCAGTGCTTTTTTTTTGAACTTTTTTTTTTTATTATTTTTTTCAACTTTTTTTTTCATTTTTTTTTCAACTTTTTTTTTTAATCATTTTTTTTCAACTTTTTTTCTATCATTTTTTTTCTCTCAAAAATCGATCCCGATTTGAAAAACGAAACCCGTAATCCATATTGGAGCCTTTTTGGACTTTAAATTTAATTTAAATCTAATTTAAATCTAATTGAAATCTAATTTAAGTCAAAATTTTTGATGATTAATTTTTAAATTTTTTAAATTTTTTAGAATTAATTTTAAGACTCTTTTTTTTTCAAGTATTTCTTTGATTTTCAATGAATAAACGATTTTATTACTGTCAAAATCTTTCGAAATACAATGGAAACAAGCTCTGGAAATGAGAAAAACACTTTTTTGAAGAAAAAAATTTTTTTTTTGGCACTACTCGGACTCGAACCAGCGTCGTGTGACTGAGAGACCAGGATGCTATCCACTTGACCACGAGTTAGGCTTTGTTTTTTGAGGATTTGCCGAGATTTTTGTGTTGCGTGAGTTCCAGCTTGAAAGAATTTAAAGTCTAGCACGTGCTTGACTCGAAAATTTCCTCGAAACATGCGAGAACTCGATTCGAGTGTTTTTATCGAAAATTTCAGCATCAGCAGCATTCTGAACTCGTTTTTTTGCTCAATCTGGAGCGCACAGTACCCAGAAATTTCATAAAAAACCCCAAAAGAACAACTTGAGTGGTGGCCAAGTGGATAGGATCCTTGGCTACCAATCTGAGGGTGCCGGGTTCGATTCCTTCGAGTGCCAAAATTTTTGCAAAGACGTAAAAACGCATCATTTTTGTGTTGCGTGAGTTCCAGCTTGAAAGAATCTAAAGTTTAGCAAGTGCTTGATTCGAACATTTCCTCGAAACAAGCGAGAACTCGATTCGAGTGTTTTTATCGAAAATTTCAGCATCAAGACCGTACTAGACTTGTTATTCGTTCAATCTGGAGCGCACAGTACCCAAAAATTTCACAAAAAAACCCAAAAGAACAACTTGAGCGGTGGTCAAGTGGATAGCATCCTTGGCTACCAATCTGAGGGTGCCGGGTTCGATTCCTTCGAGTGCCAAAATTTTTGCAAAATCGTAAAAAACGTATAAAAAGCTATAGAGAATTGAAAATAACTTTGGATACTTTAAAAAAAACCCCTGAATGAGCTGAACCAAATGAGATATGCGAAAAAAAAATAGAAAAATTTTGAATTTAAAATTTTTGAAAGAAAAAACCCCGAAAATGACAAAAGGAATGTAGTGACATCCAAAAATGAAAAAGAAAACGAAAAAAAACGAAAATTGCATCGCTATGGCTTTTTGTAGGCGGTGAACTCCTCCACTTCCAACTGTTTCACGTATTGGAAATAGTAGTAAACTGGAAAAAGTGGTAGATGAGAAAATAATGTAACTAGAGACGGATTACGGTAGTTTTAAATGCTTTTTTGCAAAATTTTTGCCGGCAACCGGACTCGAACCAGGACCCTCAGATTTGTAGCCAAACTCACTAGCCATTCGGCCATCCGGATTTTGCTCTATTTTCAGCCACTAACAATTGCAATGTGTTCTGTGACTTCCAGAACTCAAGCCTAACTGCTTATTTAGGCTTAATTTTCACGTTTTTTGGCTTATTTTTCGGTGATCTCAAATCAAGCCCGGAAAACCGATTAAAAAAAGGGATTTCGTCAAAATTAAAAGCTTTTCGCAGAAGCTGGATGTCACAAAATGCATAAAAATTGTTAGTTTTTGAAAATAACGAAAAATAGCCTAGTGATTCGATAGCCTAGTGGTTAGTGAATTTGGCTACGAGTCAAAGGGTCCTGGTTCGAGTCCCCAAGCGGTCATTTTTTTGCTGAAATGCAAGAAAATATAAATGAAATAGTAGTAAACTGGAAAAAGTGGTAGATGATAAAATAATGTAACTAGAGACGGATTACGGTAGTTTTAACTCCTTTTTACTCTCCTAGCTTTCGACTAGACCAGAAGGAAAGCTACTTGAAAGGTTTAGGCAGCTTTTCTTGCAGTGACCTTGCTTTAATCTGGATGTCAAATCCAATCTGGATGTCACACTATAAATTCCCCATATTTTTATCCGATTTTACAGTGATTTCGAGTTGTTGCTTGAAAAATGGGGAATCTGACAGAAACTATTGGAAAGCTATCAATTTTTATACGATCTGGATGTCACACTATTGAATTTTTAGGTTTTTATCTAATTTTATAGTATTTAGGGGTTAGCGAGATGGGCTCTGATGGTAGCTGGTCGAATCAGCTTGGATTCGAGCAGAAATAAATGGCAAGCTATCAATTTTTAGACGATCTGGATGTCACACTATTGAATTTCTAGGTTTTTATCTAATTTTACAGTAGTTCGAAGATGGCCTAGTGGTTAGCGAGCTCGGCTCTAAGACGAACGGCTCGAGTTGGCTCGGGTTCGATCCCGGTGCTTGCCAAATTTTTTTTATTTTTTTCTAATTTCGATTTCAAAGTCTTTAGCCTCTCTAAAACTGACCTAAAAACGCGAAAAAAAGTGACGGAAAAGTGACGCGACTCATCAAATCGACTCTTCTTGACAAATCGGCGTTCGTCGCCAAATACTCGCGGATTTTCTTGATCGGCCCACAAGTTACGGATTTCCTGTAAAACTGGGAGTCACATTATCTTTTGGGAACACCTGTAAGCCGATAAATCGAGTCTGAGCTGGGGCGGTCGATCACTCGGACAAACGCAATCGTCGTCCAATCGGGTCATCTTCTTTTTGTCCTGAATGCAAATTTGAATATTCCAGGCTTTCACGTGACTTCCAGATCCGCAGAAAATATGAAAATTATTTTTCTAGCTTTAACGAAGCTCGAGTTTCGACCTTGGTCTCGCTCCCAGTTCAGTTACCCAACAGTTACTCACTTTCCGCATGAACTCCTTCCTGCCGTAGTAGTTGACCACAGCATATTCAAGGAGTGCCCCGAAAATGAACGCCAAACAGACACCAATCCACACATCGACAGCTTTTATATAGGAAACCGGGGGAAGTTTCGAGTTGATGCCTGAAAAATGGGGAATCTGACAGAAACAAATGGGAAGCTATCTATTTTTAGACGATCTGGATGTCACCCTATAAGATTTTGCTGTTTTTATCCAATTTTTATCCATTTTGGGGTTAGCTATTTTGGCTCGGATGATAGCTGGTCGAATCAGCTTGGATTCGAGCCAAAACAAGTGGAAAGCTATCCTTTTTTAGACGATCTGGATGTCACACTATTGAATTTTTCGATTTTTATCTAATTTTACAGTATTTAGGGGTTAGCGAGATGGGCTCTGATGATAGCTGGTCGAATCAGCTTGGATTCGAGCCAAAACAAGTGGCAAGCTATTAATTTTTAGACGATCTGGATGTCACACTATTGAATTTTACTATTTCTATCCAATTTTATAGTATTTTGGGGTTAACAAGTTCGGCTCTGATGATAGCTGGTCGAATCAGCTCGGATCTGACTTGAAGCAAGTGGAAAGCTATCTATTTTTAGACCATCTGGATGTCACACTAGAAGATTTTAATATTTTTATCCAATTTTACAATAGTTTCAAGATGGCCTAGTGGTTAGCGAGCTCGGCTCTAAGGCGAACGGCTCGACTCGGCTCGGGTTCGAGTCCCGGTGCTGCTTGAGGTTTTTAGTTTTTGCAAAAATGGAAACCAGATCCACACAATTAGATACAAAGCGACTTTTCTCCAAACTGCATAGCTGGGCATTTTGCTTACCACTCGATTGTGTGGTCATTGTGAGCAGAGTTGTCACTCCCAACGAGACACGAGCCGGCACCGCATCCTAAAACGAATTTTCGAACATTTTTCACATCTTTTACTGTTTTGGATGGTATTTGAATAAAATTCGCTCATTTTCACCCACTTTATCAAGCCAAAACGAGACCCACGAGACGACGACGAGCATCATACAAGGGATGTAGAGTTGAATCAAGTAATAACTGAAATTTTTTTGATTATTTGGGCAAACTGGATGTCACACTAGGAGATTTTGATGTTTTTATCTGAAAAGAAGGCTTTTCGATTTTGCCACAAACAATCTATCAGAGCTGGCCCGGTTTTAAGGCTTTAATCAAACAATTCACAAAAATTTCTTCATCTTTTGGGCAATCTGGATGTCACACTAGAAGATTTTTAGGTTTTGATTCAATTTTACAGTATTTAGTAGTTAGCGAGATGGGCTCGGATGATAGCTGGTCGAATTAGTTCGGATTCGAGCAGAAATAAGTGCCAAGCTATCAATTTTTAGATGATCTGGATATCACACTATTGAATTTTTAGGATTTTATCCAATTTTTATCCATTTTGGGGTTAACAAGTTCGGCTCTGATGATAGCTGGTCGAATTAATTCGGATTCGAGCCGAAACCAGTGACAAAATATAAGTTTTCCTACGATCTGGATGTCACACTATTGAATTCTTCGATTTTTATCTAATTTTACAATAGTTCCAAGATGGCCTAGTGGTTAGCGAGTTGGGCTCTGAGGCGAACGGCTCGAGTCAGGTCTCGGGTTCGACCCCGGGTACCGCTCAAAATAGTTGTTTTTTTGAGAAAGAGCGTAAATTTTAAAGCTATCTTGAAAGAAAGTACTATGTAAGCAAAAATTTGAACGACTCACCTGTACTCGCGCCTCAAATGGAGCAGCACCCGTGCACACGAGTATTCGCCTGGAAAAGAGCCAGAAAGATGCAGAAATAGAGAAAAAATAGAGAATTCTTTGGGAAAAGTGAATTTTCAAAAGTTTTAGAGAGATTTCAGGAAGAGATTATTGTTTTTTGTAAGTGAAATTGTTTCGAGTTTCGACTTTTCTCGGATGCATTTTGAGTAGCAGTGATTTTAGCAATAGCACACATGCCAGCCGGGGGGAATCTTTCGTTTTTCGGCAACGCTGGAAAGCACACCACATGCTGGCACACGATTTTGGGACAATTTGAAGAAATTGAAGAAAATTTCTGGAAGAGAGAAATGTCGAGGAAGAGATCACATGAGGTAGACGCTCCAGTAGAGCACTGGAAATGAAGCTTTTGATTTTTCTAGGCGATCTGGATGTCACACTATTGAATTTTTAGATTTTTATCTAATTTTACAGTATTTAGGGGTTAGCGAACTTGGCTCTGATGATAGCTGGTCGAATCAGCTTGGATTCGAGCAGAAATAAGTGACAAGCTATCAATTTTTAGACGATCTGGATGTCACACTATTGAATTTTTAGATTTTTATCTAATTTTATAGTATTTAGGGGTTGGCGAGATGAGCTCGGATGATAGCTGGTCGAATCAGCTCGGTTTCGAGCCAAAACAAGTGGCAACCTATCAATTTTTATACGATCTGGATGTCACACTATTGAATTTTAATATTTTCACCCAATTTTACAGTAGTTCATGGATGGCTCAGTGGTAATGGTCTCGGCTCTGAGGCGAGCTACCCGAGTTCGACCCCCGGTACTGCCATGATTTTTTGCTCTTTTTCTAGTAGCATGTAATATGTCGTTTAAAGGTTTTCGACTACGGGGAATCCAAATTCAATGTTTAAAAATGCCAAAATCTTAAAAATCTAATAATTTACATATCTTACCATTAAAAAACGCATATCCAATTGGAAAAACGAGTCGGCTCACGACGTCAATTCGTTTAGAGCGCTCTTTGTAACGTCGGACGAAAATCTAGATATAGAAATAGATATTAGATAGTAGATATTAGCTTGTTATCTCAAGGAAAATAGTTCATTGAGTTTTAGGCTGATATTATCAAAGAATAACCAAAATTTTCGATGTTTTTAGGCAAGCTGGATGTCACAGAATAAATTTTTAATCGATTTATGAACAAAACTTGCAAGGAAAAATAACTTGAAATGCAAAAAAGTTCATTGAGTTTTAGGCTGATATTATAAAACGATAAGCAAAATTTTTGATTTATTTCGGCGATCTGGATGTCACACTACAAGATTTCAATAGAAAAAAACAAACCTTGCAACAAAAAGAAGATCTCGGTTGTGATCCGACCAACGGACGATAGCCTTCTTGTCCCCCGACTCCTTTCATGTTCATCTAGAAAATGAGCGATTTAGGATTGGAAAGAGTATTCATCTGATTGCTCTAAAGTGATTTGAGCTCTACAGTTTAATCTCTAAAGTTCTAATTGGTCTGTTGTTGAAAGCCAACTAATTATAGCTGGTCCATTTTTAAAGCTTTAATCAAGCAATTCCCAAAAATTTCTTCATCTTTTGGGCAATCTGGATGTCACACTAGAAGATTTTGATATTTTTACTAAATTTTATAGTATTTTGGGGTTAACAAGTTCGGCTCGGATGATAGCTGGTCGAATTAGCTCGGATTCGAGCCGAAACAAGTGGAAAGCTATCAATTTTTAGGCGATCTGGATGTCACACTATTGAATTTTTCGATTTTTATCCAATTTTACAATAGTTCCGTGATGGCCTAGTGGTTAGCGAGCTGGGCTCTGAGGCGAACGGTTCGAGTCAGGTCTCGGGTTCGACCCCCGGTGCCGCCCCAAAAACCCCAAATGAACAAAGTGAGCAAAAGACAGCTCACCATTCTTTGCCCGCAGGCTGTCATGTCCTTTCTTGCCGCGTAGTTTACAAGGGCGAACTCGAGTAAAGCGCCGAAGATGAACGCTAGACAGACTCCAATCCATACATCAATCGCCTGTAAAAGCAAGATTTCTTTTCTAGAATCTTTTCTAGAAGCCGCACCTTTGTATAGCTGACAGGCGGGAGTTTAGAGTTAATCCCAGAGCTTTGTGTGGTCATCGTCAAGAGAGTCGTCACTCCTGAAGAAATCGAATAATGTGATAAGGCTATTAACTCGCTGAAGGGATCGGAAAACAGTTCTAAATCATTTCCACTCACCCAGCGTCACTCTGGCCGGCACACTGTCCTTGTCCAACCAAAAGGAAACCCAACTCACGATCACCAACATGAATGATGGGATGTAGAGCTAGAAGGGAACTAATAAACTTATGTGATTATCGTATTTTCACGTGCTGTGAGCTCCAGCTTAGAGCCATTAGGCGTTAATTTGGTCATTTCTAAACTCTAAGCTCCTGTTTTCCATCCAAACTCGCACTGACCTATACTAAATGACACCGTATTCAATAAACGTCGGTTATCACCGTACCTTTACGTACTGTGCGCTCCAGCTTAGAGCATTTAGGCGTTAGTTTGGTCATTTTTAAACTCTAAGCCCTTGTTTTCCATTCAAACTCTCACTGACCTATACTAAATAATACCGTATTCAATAAACGTCGGTTATTATCGTTCCTTTACGTGCTGTGAGCTCCAGCTTAGAGTATTTAGGCGTTAATTTGGTGATTTTTAAACTCTAAGCCCTTGTTTTCCATTAAACTCTCACTGACCTATACTAAATGGCACTGTATTCAATAAACATGTTATCACCGTACCATTACGTACTGTGCGCTCCAGTTTAGAGCATTTAGGCGTTAATTTGGTCATTTCTAAACTCTGAGCCCTTGTTTTCCATTCAAACTCTCACTGACCTATACTAAATAATACCGTATTCAATAAACGTCGGTTATTATCGCACCTTTACGTGCTGTGAGCTCCAGCTCACGTGCTATGAGCTCCAGCTTTAAGTAAACAATCGTTTATCAAAGAATTTCCGCACTTTTAAACCCATCTTTAAAACTCACTTGCAGCAAATAGTAGGAGAATTCCCTCCTCAAAATGAGCCTCGTTCGCAGGCAGCTGTACTCGCCTGAAAATCGCGTAAACACACAGAAAACACAGAAAAACATGCGGGGAGTTTCAGAGAAATTCATTTTTTTTGAGAGAAAAAAACGAAAGCCAGGATTAGTGCTGTGATTTTTTTTTTGATTTTTGCGTTGTGAAGCTGGCAAAAAAAAAAAAAAAAGGTAAATCCGAGTTTTTTTGGCACACTCCATGCCATTAGAATTGCAATTTTTATATCAAATTAGCTCGGGGAAACGCTTAGCGAAAATCAGAAATTGTTGGAAATGAGAAGAATGAGATTGGAAAGATGAGAAAATACGGATTTTCGGATTCCTGATAGCTTTGATCGACATAAAGAGGGGCTTTGTACACTAGAACCGGCCTAGCTAGCAATTTTTAGACGATCTGGATGTCACACTGTAAGGTTTTGCTGTTTTTGTCCAATTTTACAGTATTTAGGGATTAGCGAGCTTGGCTGTGATGATAGCTGGTCGATTCAGCTCGGATCTGACTTGAAACAAGTGGCATGCTATCAATTTTTATACAATCTGGATGTCACACTATTGAATTCTTAGATTTTTATCTAATTTTATAGTATTTAGGGGTTAACAAGTTCGGCTCGGATGATAGCTGGTCGAATCAGCTCGGATTCGAGCAGAAACAAGTGACATGCTATCAATTTTTATACGATCTGGATGTCACACTATTGAATTTCTAGGTTTTTATCTAATTTTACAGTATTTAGTGATTAGCGAGATGGGCTCGGATGATAGCTGGTCGAATTAGCTCGGATTTGAGCCAAAACAAGTGACAAAATATAAATTTTTCTAAGATCTGGATGTCACACTAGAAGATTTTCATGTTTTTATTCAATTTTACAGTATTTAGTAGTTAGCGAGATGGGCTCGGATGATAGCTGGTCGAATCAGCTCGGATTCGAGCCAAAACAAGTGGCAAGCTATCAATTTTTATATGAGCTGGATGTCACACTAGAAGATTTTAATATTTTTATTCAATTTTACAGCATTTCTAAGATGGCCTAGTGGTTAGCGAGCTCGGCTCTAAGACGAGCGGCTCGACTCGGTTCGGGTTCGATTCTGGTGGTTGCCTAATTTTTAAATTTTTGTCTAATTTCGATATCAAAGTCCTTAATCTCTCTTGAACTCACTAAAAAAACTCGAGAATGGTTTCGTACTGCCCTAATGCCTGTCTACAGTAATGGCTGAAGTGTAAAATTGAGGACTGGCGGTTTTTACAAAAATCTATGCTTAGATAAGCAAAATTATCTCGATAATTATAGGATCTGGATGTCAGGAGAGCCAAAAATTTGCATAAATTAGCTTAATACTTAGGTGTCCGGGTGGCCAAGTGGTTAGCGAGCTCGGTTTCCAATCCGAGAAGCCCTTTCCGAGGGTCCTGGTTCGAGTCCGCTCGGGGTCCGCTCGGGGAAAAAGGTTTGTTTTTTCGATTTCAATCACTTCCAAGCCAAGTGTGACATCCATAATTACCAATTATTCAATTGGTTTGGCTTTGCCTGGTTCAGGCAGGGTCCAGGGCTCAAGGTCTGGTTAAATACCCGTTACTCATGTAATTCAAAGAAAATCAATCAAAATCAATCAATCAGGAGTCCGAAAAACCTTATAAAAAGTCGATTTATGCTCAAGAATTGAGAGTTTTGTGTAATTTTTGAGTTGAAACCTGTATTTGTGTTACTCGTGCATGATCCAGTCTCTACATTCGCCAACTCGAACGAGGGAAGACTTTGCCTAGAAAATGGGATAGTTTCTGGAGATAGTGCCTTAGAAATTCGAGCAAAATCGAACTTACTCTAAACCTTTCTTTTTCTGAATCGGATTCTCGGCTTTCCACACGTATTTGATGTCCTGTGTTGTGTAGGCATCTGAAATGTCAGAAAGATTGAAAAGCTGGAAAGTTGGAGCTGGAAAAGGTTGTGTGCATTCCAGATTGGTTGGTTTAAAGATTGATTCTTGAATAGCAAACGTACAAGGAGCTCTAGGCCTAGGACTAGATTCGGAGCCTAAAGCTACTACCCCAGTTTCTCACTAGACGGGCCCCTGACTAGTTCAATGGATTACGTGCGTTCCAGATTGAATGGTTTAAAGATTGATTCTTGAATAGCAAACGTACAAGGAGCTCTAGGCCTAGGACCAGGTTCGGTGCCTAAAGCTACTACCCCAGTTTCTCACTAGACAACGCCCTGATTAGTCTAATGGATTACGTGCGTTCCAGATTGAATGGTTTAAAGTTTGATTCTTAAATAGCGAACGTACAAGTGGCTCTAGACCTAGGAGTAGATTCGGTGCCTAAACCTACTACCCCAGTTTCTCTCTAGACAACGCCCTGACTAGTCCAATGGATTACGTGCGTTCCAGATTGGATGGTTTAAAGCTGCGCTTTTAAATAGCAAACGTACATCGAGCTCCAGGCCTAGGACTAGGTTCGGAGCCTAAACCTACTACCCCAGTTTCTCTCTAGACAACGCCCTGATTAGTCTAATGGATTATGTGCGTTCCAGATTGAATGGTTTAAAGGTTAACTTTATAAATGTGCTTTTGAAATCAGTGTTTAAGTCCAGGATAACGATCAGACTGGGCAAAGACAGGACCAAGTTTGACCAGATCTAGCCCAGATAGACTATAACCAGAATTTGACTAGGCTAGGCCAGGCTTCTAGGCTAGACCAGGCTGCTAGGCTAGACCAGGCTGCTAGGCTAGGCCAGGCTGCCAGACTAGGCCAGGCTGCCAGGTCAGGCCAAGACTCATGAACTCATTTTGGGTGAGAATCCAATCAGGCACAAGCCAGTTCAGTCAAAAGCCAAGCCAAGCCAGCTCCGGCGTCAGGTTAGACTTACAAGAAGCCAAATCGATCAAGCAGGTCTGTCGATCAAGTGGATAATACTCCAGTGACATCGGACAGGATAGCACCTGGAAATAGTGATTGTTAGCAATAGGAAAGCGTACTTTATGTACTTTTTCTTTATGTACTTTATGTAGCTTCATTATAGGACATGCCTTTTTTTCGTTTTTTCCTTTTTTCCTTTTTTCGATCCCTTTTATAAGCCCTACCCTTTTGCCATTGGCAATCTAGCTTTAAGCTCAAATATCTTGGCTTTGAACTGTCCAATTCCAATGTTCTTGGTATCAATAGATTCGGCAAGTCTTTCTCTATCGATTGGTACAAAAAGTATCCAAATTGGTCAATCCAGCGCCGAGAAATTTGAGCTCAAAGATTGCCAATGGATTTTCAATGGATTGATGGATTGTCAATCGATTGTCAATGGATTCTCAATGGATTGTCAATGGCAATGGTTTCTCAATTCCCCACAATATGATAGTTTTGCAGGAAAGGGTCACCGTTTAGGAAATGGCTGGGAAATCGCTTCAAATTCACTCACTAGACTCAGCCGAACACTGTAAAGAATCGATCCGTCCTCGTGAATTCGTATCAATACGTTCGGCTTGTCGATTAGATGCCGACGCGCTTCTCTGAAAGGAGATTTTTAGCAAAGTTTACAAGCAAATCTTCTAGATAGACAATCTCAGAGCTTTATCTCAATTCAGCTCATCCTACAGCTACCGTATAGCAGCCAGCAGCTGGCGAGTCTGACTCTATGGACTTTGAGCGCTCCGAAGGTTTGTAAACGCCACTTTCTGGGTTTATTTGAAGTTTTTTGGGAATCCTGGAAGTCACAAGGCATAACTAGCTTGTTCTTGACGCAAACGTTTGCAATCTAGCAAAGCGAGTCTGGCTCTATGGACTTTGAGCTCCCAAAGGTCTGTAAACGGGCATCCGCTGGTTCTATTTCGAGTTTTTGGGAATCCTGGAAGTCACAGGGCATAACTAGCTTGTTTTTGACGCAAACGCTTGCGATCTAGCAAACTAAGTCTGGCTTTATGGACTTTGAGCTCTCAAAGGTCTGTAAACGCCCCTCTCTGGTTCCATTTGAAGTTTTTTGGGCATTCTGGAAGTCACAAGGCATAATACAGCTACCCTACAGCAGCTAGCAGCTGGGGTACAGCTACCGTACAGCAGCTAGCAGCTGGCGTACAGCTACGTACAGCAGCTGGCGTACAGCTACCCTACAGCTACCGTACAGCTACCGTACAGCATCCAGCTTAAGCCAATCTACCCGCCAGCCTTTTCCCCCTCAAATACCAACTTTTCATTTTGGAAGAACGTGTCCGGCATCCAGATCTGCTGCGAGAGATCCGGTTGCTCGCTGGTTGCCAAAACGACGAATGGTGGAATCTGGACCATTGTTAGAGATGTTTATGTAGCTGAAAAGTCTCACCTGGATATCGGCATCGTTCTCGGCGAAGCGCTTGTACGCCAGCCGTTTATCCGTCCATTCTTCTCTGGAAAAATGAGCTTTAACCTCACTGAGCCATAGCTTTTCACGATTTAGACTTAGCAGACCGATCTAGAAGGCTTAGCAGACCTATCTAGACGTCTTAGCAGACCCAAATTGCATTTTAGCTCAAACCAAAGCCCGTTTGGCTCCATCTTGTGCTTGTCCTTGTCACCTTGTCTTGACTAGGCTTAAATCTACAATCAGAACTAGGACCTAGCCGCGAATTAGGCTTTTTGATGCGTTCTGGAGCGCACAAAGCCTAGAGAGACTACGCTAGAGAGAGAAAGTTTACGTGGAAGCACAAAGCACCTCTGGATCGCGTCAGTGATCGTCAGCGATCGCTATCAAAGTTCTAACTTAGAAATTAGCATATCGAGCTTGGTTTTTCTTTATCAATTCCTTCAATCTGGAGCGCAAAACCGCCAAAACAACGGCTAATTCAAAGCTTTGTACGATTTGAGAGGCTTTGAAAAGTTTTGGAGTCGAGCCAAACGGGAATCAAACTCGAGGAAAAATGGACGCCTTTTCGTATTGTGCATTCAATGTGCGTTCCAGATCGAACAAATTTCAGTGAAATAACTGAATATCTTAAAATTGACAGGAGAAAAGCAGCCATTCTCAATCCATGGATTACATGCAGATCTCATTTGGCTACTGAATATCTTTTTATCTATCTAAAAATGTTGTGTGCGTTCCAGATCGAACGAATTTCAGTGAAATAACTGAATATCTTCAAATTGATAGGAGAAAAGCGGCCATTCTCAATCCATGGATCACATGCGGATCTGATTTGACTACTGAATATCTTTTTATCTATCTAAAAATGTTGTGTGCGTTCCAGCTTAACCATTTATCATTAATTGGTTGAATATCTTTAAGGTTTATGGGAGAAAAGTAGCCATTCTCAATCCGTGGACCTCATGCGAATCTCATTTGACTACTGAATATCTGTCTATCTATTCAAATATGTTGTGTGCGTTCCAGATCAAACAAATTTCAGTGAACTAAGTGAATATCTTCAAATCTGTGGGAGAAAAGCGGGCATTCTCAATTCACTTTATAACCTTTTATAGAAAAACGCATTGCAAAAACGGAAAGCTGATTCGGAATCAGCGTGAAATTCTGCATCGAATGGGGTATGGCTAATCTGATTTAGCCGCTTCCTACAGCATTTCCCAGTCCATTTCCCCAGCCTTTTTCAATCATGACTCACCTGAAAGTGAACTGTGCCGAGTATTCCATGTTTACATCATCGATTTTTGAGATGGATCGCAGATAAATGTTCACCGTGACAATCACCGGCCCACCCGTATCTGAAAATAGAGAGAATTCGAATTTTGTTGACCTTTTTAACTCACCCGGCCAACTCTCATTTGTTCCCCTCGGCCTCACTCGCCAATCGTAATCTTTTAACACTCGTTGAATGATTTCTTGCTCTTTTAGCTTTCTGAAATCGAAAATTTCCATTTTCTTGCATTTCGACAAAAAAATGACCGCTTGGGGACTCGAACCAGGACCCTTCGACTCGTAGCCAAACTCACTAACCACTAGGCTATTTTTCGTTATTTTCAAAAACTAACAATTTCTATGCATTTGGTGACATCCAGCTTCGGCGAAAAGCTGATAATTTTGACGAAATCTCTTTTCTAATCGATTTTCCGGGCTTGATTCGAGATCACAGAAAAATAAGCCAAAAAACGTTAAAATTAAGCCTAAATAAGCAGTTAGGCTTAAGTTCTGGAAGTCACAGAACACATTGCAATTGTTAGTGGCTGAAAATAGAGGAAAATCCGGATGGCCGAATGGTTAGTGAGTTTGGCTACAAATCTGAGGGTCCTGGTTCGAGTCCGGTTGCCGTCAAAAATTACAGCAATTTTGCTTTTTCATTGATTTCATCAAGTTTTTTTTTTAAAAACGTTTTAGGGGATTTATTTTGCTCATTTTCCCAAGGAAATCCCCTCAAAAATGCTTTTCAAAAGCGCCTTTTCAAGCGCTCAATGAGAAGCTTCAAATGTGCGAGAAAAAAAGTGGTTTGAATTCTGGATGAGAGGTTCTTTTTGTTTTCTTTGCGCTCCTTTTCCATTTTTCTCCCTTTCCAAGCCATTTTTCCCCTTTCCAAAGCCATTTTCACCCATTATATCTTCAAGGATCGCGAGTCTAATGACTAGGTGATGAAGTTGAAAAGAAGAAAATGGAGAAGAAGCAAGAAACTCGATCTAATCGATTTTTTGGACGTCCTGACTTCCAGTTTGAAAGAATTATGCTAAAAAAGTTGAGCTTCATTGGAAAATTTCTGAGAAAACGCTTTGGTGACGTCACTGGCGATCTGACGAGGCGAATCTGGCAGAAAAACTCGATCTAATCGACTATTTAGACGTCCTGACTTCCAGTTTGAAAGAATTATGCTAAAAAAGTTGTGCTTTATTGGAAAATTTCAGAGAAAAAGCTTTGATGACGTCACTGGCCGTCTATGACGCGATCTAGAGTGCCAGAGAATGTGGTGATCGATTTTTTGGACGTGCTGACTTCCAGTTTGAATGAATTATGGAAAAAAAATCGAGGTTGATTGGAAAATTTCTGAGAAAATGCTTCGGTGACGTCACTGGCTGTCTGATCTAATCTAGGTGCTAGAGAACCTCGATCTAATCGACTATTTAGACGTCCTGACTTCCAGTTTGGATGAATTGTGGAAAAAAATAGAGGTTGATTGGCAAATCTCCGCTCAAAAGCTTTGATAGGCTCACTGGCCGTCTATGACGTCTCTGACGGTCGCCAGTGTGCCAGAGGGCGAGCGTTTGCGTACCGCCGCACAAAGCACTCATAGAACCAACATATTAGCGTGAGAAATGCCTGAAAATCAGCCTCAAGAGGGGCCATTTCCAATCAAAAAATTTCCCTTTTCCTAAGCCAGTCAAAAAAAAAAAATTTTTTAATTTTTTAAAAATGAAAATCTAAAATTTTCAAATCCTTTTGTGCACTCCAGATAAGCGATTCGTGGATTTTAGTGAAGTTTGGCCTTTTGAAAACTCGAAATTTTCCCTTCCAGACAAAAAGGGCTTTTTTTTCTCTATTCAAAAAGGGCTTCAAAAATTTTAAACGTCAAAATTGAAAAATGCGAGTGTAATTCGAGCCGAATCACTACGAAAAACGGCCAGAGAAACGGCTTTTCTTGAAGAAAAGTGAATGGGAAATGCTTGGGAATACAACACTTTTCGCCAAAACCCCCAAAACACTTATCGGGCTTTATCGGCCATCAAATGGGCCTTAATTTAAAGCTATTCTCGAGAGTTCGACGTTTTTTGGGAATCCTGGAAGTCACAGGGCATAACTAGCTTGTTTTTGACGCAAACGCTTACAACCTGGCAAACCGAGTCTGACTCTATGGACTTTGAGCTCTCAAAGATCTGTAAACAGGCACCCGCTGGTTCTATTTCGAGTTTTTGGGCATTCTGGAAGTCACAGGGCATAACTAGCTTGTTTTTGACGCAAACGCTTGCGATCTAGCAAACTAAGTCTGGCTCTATGGACTTTGAGCTCTCAAAGATCTGTAAACAGGCACCCGCTGGTTCTATTTCGAGTTTTTGGGCATTCTGGAAGTCACAGGGCATAACTAGCTTGTTTTTGACGCAAACGCTTACAACCTGGCAAACCGAGTCTGACTCTATGGACTTTGAGCTCTCAAAGATCTGTAAACAGGCACCCGCTGGTTCTATTTCGAGTTTTTGGGAATCCTGGAAGTCACAGGGCATAACTAGCTTGTTTTTGACGCAAACGCTTGCGATCTAGCAAACTAAGTCTGGCTCTATGGACTTTGAGCTCTCAAAGATCTGTAAACACGCACTTTCTAGCGCACGCAACTCAAAAAGCATACATTTCCCGGCTAGACAGACTCCTATTTGATTTTTGAGTCTGTAACAAGATCCTCGGACCTTTCCCAGCTGGAATTGAGGAGAAAATCGATTGAGAACAAGTCCGAATCGTTATCAACGCGAAAACTCGGATTTCTATAAGGCTATATAGCTATTTTCTTTTACCGTTCGCCTAGCTGGAAGGCACACTTGGGCTCTACAATTTTCTAGCACTTCTTGTCAATGAAAAATTTCATCGCGCCAGGAGGGGTTTGTTTGCAAATTTTCGAGCACAAAGTACACCAAAATTCGGTTTTAACAAACTCACTTTCCCTCCGCGCCCCATGCTATCGATAAAATGACGACAATAAGTAGATGGATCGAGTGAAATTGACCGATGATCCCATATTGCATCCTCTTCACTGCCAGCCACCACTCCAAAGGCCAAAGCAAAGTCTACACGGGTGCCAATATGCTGAAAAATAGCTACATATAAAGAAAAAACAAATATAAAACACAAAAACTTGATGAAAGCAATGAAAAAGCAAAATTGCTGTAATTTTTGGCGGCAACCGGACTCGAACCAGTACCCTCAGATTTATAGCCAAACTCACTAGCCATTCGGCCATCCGGATTTTCCTCTATTTTCAGCCACTAACAATTGCAATGTGTTCTGTGACTTCCAGAACTTAAGCCTAACTGCTTATTTAGGCTTGATTTTTACGTTTTTTGGCTTATTTTTCTGTGATCTCAAATCAAGCCCGGAAAACCGATTAAAAAAAGGGATTTCGTCAAAATTAAAAGCTTTTCGCAGAAGCTGGATGTCACAAAATGCATAGAAATTGTTAGTTTTTGAAAATAACGAAAAATAGCCTAGTGGTTCGATAGCCTAGTGGTTAGTGAGTTTGGCTACGAGTCGAAGGGTCCTGGTTCGAGTCCCCAAGCGGTCATTTTTTTTGTCGAAATGGAAATTTTCGATTTCAGAAAGCTAAAAGAGCAAGAAATCATTCAACGAGTGTTAAAAGATTACGATTGGCGAGTGAGGCCGAGGGGAACAAATGAGAGTTGGCCGGGTGAGTTAAAAAGGTCAACAAAATTCGAATTCTCTCTATTTTCAGATACGGGTGGGCCGTTGATTGTCACGGTGAACATTTATCTGCGATCCATCTCAAAAATCGATGATGTAAACATGGAATACTCGGCACAGTTCACTTTCAGGTGAGTCATGATTGAAAAGGCTGGGGAAATGGACTGGGAAATGCTGTAGGATGCGGCCGAATCAGATAAGCCATATCCCATTCGATCGGCCTAATAAAAGATGCTGGACTTGTAGCTCGATGGTTGGAAACCTTTTAACATCCCCAGAAGGCCAACATCCCCAGAAGTGGCACAGAGAATGCCGTGTCCACTTCTGGGGCCCAATGTTGAGCGACATCGCACAGAATTCCTCGTGGTTTTAACAGGAAATCGTCAAGTTGACAAGGATGTCTCTCTTGGTCAGCTGAAGGCCAGCTCAAGGTCAGCTGAAGGTCAGCTGAAGGCTAGCTATCAAGGCTAGCTATGAATCTAGCTCTGAAGGCTAGCTATCAAGGCTAGCTCTGAAGGCTAGCTAGGCCAGCTTCACAATGATTTGAGTGTCCAAGGAAAAGGCAAAGCCTGTCAAGCCTAGGATCCTAAAATCCTTCTTCTTATTTTGCTCTGAAATTTCGGCGTCCAATTTCTCTAATTAGTTGAAATTCGGACAGATTAAGCGAAAAATTTAGCTCTAGACTAGAAGAAAATTCGGTTCCAATACGGTTCCAATCCGGTTCCAATCCGGTTCCTATTTTGATCTAATACGGTTCCAATAATATCCAATATGACAAACGGACAACAGAAGAGCCAAATTTATCAAAAAATTCTGTGCTTTTCTAATGAGAAGCGAAAGATTTTGAGGAAATCATTGCCAGAGTGCACTTTCCGAATCCCAGCCTAGAGAAAAGACGTAAATTGCTAAATGAAAAGCTGAAAAGCTTTTTACTCGAATCCCCTCAGCCTCGGCGACTCAAAATGAGTGAAAGAGCATTTGTGAAAAGCGTGTGAAGTGGTTTTCAACAAAGGGGCGGCGCTAAAAATCCCCATTCAAAATCTAGCCAATAATATGAAATAAATAACGATAATAAGTAGTAAAATAGAAATATTGCTGAGTTTTGGAGTGCACACTGTTCGCCAGAGAGGGAAAGTTTACGCTGCAGCACAGGGAACATTTGGGCTACAACACTAAGTGACCACTCCAAGGGTTTAACTCAACAATTTTCATATTAAGGTTAGTTCTTCTTTCACAATTCCTCCAAGCTGGAGGTCAGCACGATCAAAAAAGAGCTAAATTCAAAGTTTTATAGAATTTTAAAAAAATACAACAGCTCTAGATTGAATACTGTAATAAAATATCAAGATTAGTCTAGAAAATAGTCCAAAAATAGTCTAAAAACAAGTCCAAATCCCCTCAGCTGAGAAATGGGCAAGCAGTAGAGGCAGTAGAGGCTGATAAATTCCTCTGGATGCCCGTGGGTGCTACTCGCCGGGCTGAGGAGAGTCGTGGAGTGAGTGAGAGAGAAATCCTAGCGAAAGACAAGGGAAATTTGTGGGTTTAGAGAGAGAAATCGGCGATCTGGAAGGCACGGGGAAAAGTGGAAAAGATTCGGAGAGGTTTATTGCTCTCGGATCGGGGGGAGGCTGAGAGGTGCAGAGTGGGGCTGAAGAAATCCGACAACAGGTGAAAGAGGGGGGTTTGGCCCTCCCTTTTGGCCTGGAAATGGCCTGGAAATGGCCTGGAAATCCCCATTTCCAGGCCATTTCCTTGCTTTGCACCTTTTTGGGGCCAAGGGAGGGGATGAGAGGTGGCCCAGGTGGGGTGGGCCCCAAGCCCACGGTGGTCCTTCAAAAATTAGCTCTAAGCCCCAATTTGCATTTAGACTTGAGCTGTGCGTTCCAGATCGGCCATATCCGAGAAAAGAATCATCGGTTACCCTAGCATTAAAGGACCTAAGAGAGGTGGCCCAGGTGGGGTGGGCCCCAAGCCCCTTCAAAAATTACCTCTATGCCCCAATTTGCATTTAGACTTGAGCTGTGCGTTCCAGATCGGCCATATCCGAGAAAAGAATCATCGGTTACCCTAGCATTAAACGACCTAAGAGCTCCAGTCAGTTCATGGACATTGGTCCTTCAAAAATTCGCTCTATGCCCCAATTTGCATATTTAGACTTGAGCTGTGCGTTCCAGATCGCCCCCTTTTAGTCTCAATTCCTGTTCATTATCTAAACTTTAGCTAGCTTTGGTCCCAAACTCGACCTGGGGTCTCTATGTCCTTAGAAGAGCAAATAGAAGAGATTTATATATTGAATCGTGACCTGTGCAATCCAGCTTGGCAACAATTTCAATGAAAAAACGTGGGAAGTCTTTGAAAGCAGAAAAAAACACACTGCGATCTCAATGTCCTCGAAAATGTGTTTAAGAAAATGGCAAAAAGGTGGTTAAACGGGATAATTGTTGGCGAGAGTAGACGGGAAGAAAAAGACGGGAAGAAAGGGCCCAGAAAGGGCCCGGAAAAGTCGTGAAAAGGGCGGCAAAGGAAAGTGGATGTGAATGTAATTGCATGTGAATGGGATTGTAAAGAATTTGTCTTTTTGGACTTTGATCTATCTCTTTACTTGATTAAACTACTTGGGTTGGATTAAGGAAGGGTGAGAGGAAGGCTGAGAGCTAGGCTGAGATCAAGGCTGAGAGCAAGGTTCAAGGCTGGTGAAGAGCCCAGGCCTGGCTAAAGCTGGATAGGATTGCTCTGATGCTGACAGGCCTGGCTAGAACTAGATAGGACTGCTCTGATGCAGACTGGGTTGCTCAGAAAAAGTACAACTCGCTGGATCAAAAACGGAGAGTCAAAAAGGCCCGAAAAGAATGCAGAAGCGGAGAATATTTGATGGATTTTGAGGGAAAGGGGAAAGTGGCACCCAACTAGATGAGTAGTAGTAGGGAAAGAGGCTAACAAGAAGCCATTTCAGTAGGGTAAGCCAATCTAGGTCTAAACTGGAACAAAACAGTTCTGGGTCTAAAAGCGTTGCCCCAGTTGGGTCCAAGTCACCCCAATTGGGTCCAAGTTACTTCAGTTGGGTCCAAGTCACCCCAGTTGGGTCGTTCGGTTTAGTTGGATCAATTGGACTAGTTCGGTCCTTGCCAACTAGACTCATCCACGGCCATAATTCTAGGCAAACTCTGCAAGAATCTGGACAATTCTCTAGAACAAACTCTGGAAGAACGTGGCTAGTACTATGGAATAAATCTGTTGGATCTCGTCCAGATTCTGGAAGAATCTGGCCAGTTCTCCAGCAGACCTCGGACGCATCTAAACCAGACCAAGATCAATTCAAGCAAGCTACAAGCTGATAGCTACAAGCTTGTTACAAGCTTACACGCTGATAATGTTTTAAGGAAAGAAAGGGGTATCAAAATCGAATCAATTTATAGAATAGGTATTCAGAAGTAAAGTAAAGCAAAGTTCTAAAGAGTTCAAATGGATGAATAGGATCAGGATAAGAATGAAAAGTAAAGAAAGAGAAGAAAGAGAAGAAAGAGAAGAAAGAGAAGAAAAAGAGGATTCATAGTCTCCTTTCTTTCCTTTTCTTTCTTTTCTTCTCTTTCCCTTTCCTTCCCTTCCCTTTCCTTCCCTTCCCTTCCCTTCCTTTCCCATTGAAGCTCTCCTTTAATCAAATCACCCGGGTTTCTTTCCAGAAGAAGAAAAGAAAGCCGAAAAAGTGAATAAGGCTGAGATTTAAAGAAAGTTGAATATCTTTCGTATTTCAAAATAATTCACAAGAAAATTTATTGGGTAATTGAGCCGACAAGAATCTCTGGCGCTCTCTGGCGCTCTTATTGAGGCTTAGGCTCAGCTTAGCCTGAGCCTGAGCTTAAGCTTAAGCTTAGCCTGAGCCTGAGCCTAAGCCTAAGCCTAAGCCTGAGCCTGAGCAAAGTCTCCTTTAGCCTCTATCTCTCTAGTCTCCTTTAGCCTTTTTAGACTTTTAAACTTCGACTTTGATTTTAGACTTTGCTTCTCGATTCAATTACCCAATAGCTAATTTAGTTTAGGCTATTCTGCAGCTAATGTATCGAAAAGTAGTTTCAAAAAAATGATTTTTGTTTGCGGAAAACAAACTTTCTCTTCTTCTCCTGTCAATCAATTGAAATTCGATCTTCGTCTTTCGTTAAGTGACGAAGATTTTTGTTTTATTCGATGGCATAGCATGCTTTTAAGCTATAGAAAGACAAAAAAGGCAAAAAAGACAAAAAAGTCAAAAAAAGTCAAAAAAAAAGACAAATCCCGAAACTTTTTGACTTGCTAGATCCAGAAAATTTAGACATTTCTTATTTTTCAAAAAAGTTGTGGCTATAATTCTTCTTGTAGACTAGGGCAGGTCTGAGCTGAAGCCTTGGCTTGCTAGAAGACTCTAGAAGACTCTAGAAGAGTCTAGAAGAGTCTAGAAGAGTCTAGAACACTCTAGAAGACTATAGAAGACTATAGAAGACTATAGAAGATTGTAGAAGACTCTAGATGACTCTAGAAGACTCTAGAAGACTCTAGAAGACTCTAGAAGACTCTAGAAGACTATAGAAGACTATAGAAGACTATAGAAGACTCTAGAAGACTATAGAAGACCCTAGAAGATTCTAGAAGACTCTAGAACACTCTAGAAGACCCTAGAAGACTCTAGAACACTCTAGAAGACTCTAGAAGACCCTAGAAGAGTCTAGAACACTCTAGAACACTCTAGAAGAGTCTAGAACACTCTAGAACACTCTAGATGACTCTAGAAGACTCTAGATGACTCTGGAAGACTCTAGAAGACCCTAGAAGAGTCTAGAACACTCTAGAAGACTCTAGAAGACCTCGTAAAGATCTTCATTTAGCTTATAGAATAAAAGTAGAGAATAAAAAAGAAACCAATTTAGTCTAACCACGAAAAAGTGTCACTAATCATAACCGGGATTTGAAGAAAGAGAAAAATGTGAAACGATTAGCTATTTCTGAAAAGAAAGAAAAGAAAAATGTCACCTGTCGCTTTTGCAGTGAAGAAACCTCTGAGCCACTCACCGGAAAACGGATTTGTGTTTGTGCAATCTGAAAAAAAAAGGAAAAGATTGTTGTAACATGACAAGTCATCTCCAAAATTTGACAAAAATGAAAGAAAGAGACAAAATCGTTGACGAACTCGAACCAGGAGCCTTTCGCTTATCAATGAGCTACAAAATGGCTCTGGATTTAGCACTGAATCATGAACTGAAGTCCTGGACAAGCCTGGACCCGGCCCTGAGCCTTGGACCAACCCTGGACCTGATCCTGACCCCTGGGCCTCGGACCAACCCTGACCTGACCCTGACCCCCGAACCTTGGACCAACCCTGGACTTGACCCTGAACCTCATCCTAGATTTTGGACTTGCATCATGAACCTAGGAGCCCATAGAACTCGCTTTGAAGCCTGAACTCTGGACCTCACCCTGAACTGTCTAGGGAACGATCAGATTTCCCAAGCGTGTCCAAGACCCAGTCCACGCCAGAAGCCAGGCTTTCCTGTTGTCCACAAAAAGTGGCAAATCCGCTAGAAGTCAGGACTGGGCCTGACCGGGGCTCAGGAGGATTGGCTTTGCTTACTGATTGGACTCTGCCACTTTCTCTGACTTTTCTCTCCAACTCCAGCTCATAAAATGATTGCCGTGTTCAATTGTCCATTCACTTAGAATGTCCCAATCGAAACGCTACGAGGCACCAATTTCGCAATGAGAAATGGAGAGAAAAGAGCGGTGAGCTTATTGGGAATGGGTAATTCATCGGTTAAATTACAGCTTTTCAAACTGAAAGTCTTCGAGATACCCCGGGTAAACAGTTACGAGCATCCAGCCGAGAAAATCCGGAATTTGCACTTCGATGAAGAGTTCAACGCGCTTTCCCAACAAGCCAACGTCAACATGGCACTTTGGGGTACTGTAATCTCACCCTGTAGTTACATGGCATTAACCACTGTATCTGCATGGATTCAACTTTCATAGTACTACAAGCGTACTATAGTCCGGTGTGTACTGTATCTTTTCTATAGTTGTACTATGTCTTTCATTCCAATTGATGTACTTTCCATTTAGGGCATACTGTAGCATGAGGCTGGATATTGATTTTTACGCACAAATTTTGAAATCACAATTTCTCTGGATTGTTTGAGGGCACTCGATGAAAATTGAAAGGAGATCAAAAAAAATGATCCGTAAGAAGACAAAATTTCCGAATTTATCATAGATCTGGGAAATTATTATAGAAAATAGGCAAAAACACGGAGAAAAGTGAGGAAAATCACATGGCTTACATCGGATGTAATTCGACGAAACATCAGGCGGGAATCTTCTCGGCGGCGTCGAGTTGAGCACGAGCGTCGACGAGTTCCTGAAAAATAAAATAGTTAGGGTTTAAAAGATATTCGGCTAATAGTAATTCTAAAATTAATTTCGTGCTCTAGCTATAGTACCCAGAATGTTTTCAGTATGGGTGTTTTTCTGAATTTCTTTTTGATGCCATCAAGCTTTTCATCAAGTTTAAAGCATTCTACAACCCTCAAAATATTTAGATTTTACTATCAATTACTATTTTACTATCACCGAAAAAAAAACAAGATTTTCGCCTAGGGTAGAATAAGCACAGTAACTTTTTGTATGACTTTGTTTTTTGAAGCAAAGATAGACTTTTTTGACAAAACTTTGGATTTTAAGTAGTCTATTAACCATAAAAAAACGTTTAAAATATTTTTCTAAAAATTCGGTTTATTGGAAATAAAACCCACCGGTAAATCCTCGGCGAACGCTCCCTCGGTGATCACATTTTTGAGATCATCGGTGGCCGTGAGTAGACGTCGACTCGTATCACCGATCATGCTACGCGATTCCTAAAGTTTCATTTGTAAGTTCAATATTTTCGGTCTTCAAAGTCTAATCAATACCGTAAACATTCAAAAAAAAAAACACTCACTTGTAGCACCTCGTTCGCTTTCTTCAGCTTGTACTCGAAATCCTCTTGCTCGGGATCGGAGCTGAGCTTCGCGATGCGTTCCTCCTCTCTCGCCACCTAAAATAGAAGAAAAAAATGAACGCGTTTGTAATAAAAGCTTTCTAGAAGGGTATTTAAGTTCTTATTAAGTCCTTAAAAAGGTCTTTATCTTCAAACTCTCGATATTGGCAATCATACAACTCTTTAACGTGAATATTTTTCCATTTTCACGATAAATTGCATTAAAAAGGGGTTTTGTACAGCTAAAACACTCAAAATTTAAGCAAGAAATTGCGTAGCTGTCCTTTCTAATGCAATTTCTGGAGCGACTTGACCGTTATCAGACAAATACCTACTCAAACCCAATACTTGACGTTGAAAAACCCCACCTCTTTCGTGTAATAATTGTAGTCCTTGACGAAACGCTTCACCACGCCGGCTTTCACCTTCAGCTGTTTGACGGAATCGGCCATCTTCCTAAAAAAAAAAATTGATAAAATGCAGAAGATAAATTTTGAAAAGAACAATGGAATAAGGCTTAATCAATAGCAAAAGATATAAATTGGCTCAAAACACCAAAGAAATCCAAAAAAACTCAAAAAAAATTGCACCAACAAAAACTTTTATTAACAAAGACATAAGAAAACAATAGAAAATACCATAGCCCTGCCAGAAACGAGAAGAAAAATCATAACAAAAAAACAAAATGGTTTACTTTTTTAAGCAATACATGTAAATAATGAAAAGATACCCATAGATTTCTTGTGCGGCGTGCAAATATCACAGTGGGATTTGGTGGGAGAAAAAGGAATGAGAAAACAGCACAAATTTGAATACTAGCACCTAATTTACGTATCTCGACGATCAATTGTAAACCTTCGTCCGGGCTTTTTGCGCCAATTCCACCGTGTCGAAGAGGCCGTAGTCGTCGGCTTCTTGGAGGACTTGGCAGAAACGAGCACTTTCCACAGTGAGCACGTAATGGCAAATAGAGGGCTCCTGGAAAAAGTAAATGGAAGTAAGTAAAAAAGTAGAAAAAGTAAAAATAGAAGTAAATGGATAAATTTTAGAAATTTAGAATTTAGAAGCTGTAATTGCTCTAATAAATTATGAGATTCCGCTTGTTTTTCTCTAATTATAACGGATCTTCTGATAGGCTGTTCTACAGCAAATTTCCCGTGCAAACTAAGCCAGAAGCAGTTCTAAACTGAGCCAACCAGAAGCCAGGCCTGATCCAAATCTAGACCTTTTATGGCTGGGATATCAAATAGCGCAGACAAATTTACCTCCAAAAAGATGCTGACCGCCAACTTGCTTCCGTCCACCGATTTGCACCTCAGCTTCACCTCAACAGATCTAAAAATTCTTATTAAATGTCGTGCTCCCTTTGACTTTAGTTAATCGAATCTCTCGAAAATCCTCACCGATGAGACCTCGTCTCTTCACACATGTCTCCTTTCACGTACATTTGCGAGATCTGCTGGATTTTCCCCTGGCTCTAAAAGGGAACTATAATTCAAGTACCAAAAATGCTAATATTGTTTAGATAGTTACCTAATAGCTGACTTTGAAATGGTTCTAATGATGAAATGGTTCTTTGGTTCCTACTTTAATCGGTCGTTTCTTCGGATTCTCATCAATCCAAGCCCGATGAATCGCTTCATCGAACGTGCCGAGTAGAATGTTTTGTCGTTCTCCCGATGGTTGTACGTGGAATTGCGTCACCTGGAATATCAAGATGAAACCACTACTGTTAGATGAGACTGAAGTGTTTAATCTATAGAATCTAACATTATCTAACAACATTCTAACATTCTAACAAGATTAACATAACACCATATAATCTAACAATAAGAATTTTTGAAACCCCAAAACCCACCGTGCTCCCATAGCAAAACTCGTATTTCCACCAGCCGCCACCGCCCTGGATGCATTCTTTTCCTGGAAAAAAAAACGAGAAATTTGATTGGATTCTACTACTAATGTCTTACCTTAGTTAATACTTTATCTTTAACTTAAATTAGGGTAAAATTTCTCCACAAACCTGATAAAATCTTGTTGATCGTGTCCAGTGCGATTTGATCGTTGATCTTCTGCGTTTCCGCCGAGATAGCCTCCTGGGCGGTGGTGCTAAAGTTTACCAGTAAAAGGCGCAAAACTTAGCATATTCTAATCCTCTTGCCAAATGAATAAATCACAAACCTTTTCCCTTTTCCCATCGTCGTCAACTTCGACTTGATCTTGTAGTTCTAAAACAATAAACTTTGTGCAAACTATATCATTTAAACAGTTTCAGGGTCTAAATGAATCAAAAGAACCATTCTAAAGGTTCAGTACTTGAAAAATCTATTTATAAAAATCTTTACCTTATCATCAGCGATTTCCTCCAGCTTTCTCTTCTCTAGCTCCTCGTATTCTCGATTCAATCGTTCACCCATTTGTGCCGCATCCGGGTCCCAGAGTTCTTGCAATTTCTTATGGTAGTCCAAGTATTCCTTAATAAAACCGTTCGTTGCTCGTTTTTATACAATTTTGTTACTTTTTTGTCTATAAAGTCATTCATTTGCATAGGTAATGGATAAAATGTTAAGAATCCTTGTAACTAAACTTGTCAAGATCAAGATGGTCTTTGGTCTAGAAACAGCTCTAAAACTGACACATCCAAAAAGAGCACCTGAGAAAATTTCCTTTCGCTCGTCTTTTCTTGTTCGACGAGCATCTGGGGTTTCGGATCTGTTTGGCCATTCTGAAAATACTTTTGCAAAAATTGAATTAACTTTTCCCTTAAAACGCACCGTAGCAAAGCACTCGATCTCATAATTCTGCTTGATTCTCGGCGCAAAAGCTGGATGCATGCAGAGGCGTTGATTGAGCACGATCGCTTCATAGTTGCACGAAGAGACCTCATACAGGGAGTGAATGTTCTCTTGGCCTTCCTAAACAAGAATTTTTGCTAAAATTTCAAGTTAACTCCTTGGCAAAACCCGGTACATTGATTTCAGATTTCAAAAACCAGCGCTTGCTATTAATTTTCAATCAAGAAAAGCACATTGACACAAAAAAAACCCAGCTTACCTTATGGCAAATGTACAAAACGGTGATCGTACGCGGTTTTCCTGTGATGTCGCACATTGTACCCTGAAAATTCACAAATTAACCTTGAATTCAAATGACAGCGGTTAAAATTGCACTGAAATTTAGCTAAATCCAGTTTTTCTAAGCATTATCACAAACCTTTGTGTAGGTGACCGGAAAATAGGGTGTTTCCACATCATCGATCATTTTCGTCGGCGGATTGAGATGATCATATTTGAAGCCAGCCTAAAAACAACAAGATTTTGTAGCAAAACGACAACATTTAAGGCTAATGGACAAAATTAGCAAGAGCCTGTGCCTTTAAACTTGATTTGGTCACATTTTTAGCAATTCTACTTTATAAACGCTCATATCCTACCTTTGTCGCATAATCCTGATGAAAATTTCCTAAATAATACTCGGTTCGTTGCACGGCTTTCAGCTCTCGTTCCTCGTGGTATTGCAAAACGTATCTAAACATGGTGATGTTAGCGGGGCTTCGTAGCTTTCATAGCTACCACATTTGTTTGAATTTTCCCATAAAATTAAAAGATATTCAACTAGAGCTTGGGGAGGGGACGCTTTGAAAGTATAAACATGAATAACTTTAAGAATTTTGGTACTAAGGTAGTTGGGGGGCACCTAAAATTTTCCCAAATGTAGTTTTTTAGGGGAATTGATGGCGCTGATCACGAAAAAAACATTTTTAAGTTACGTTTTCCATTAAAAAAAAATTATGTATTGAAATCAATTTTTTTGTTTTAAAACACTCTGCACGTACCTTTAACCTGCTTTTTGCTTTTTAAGACTGGTTTAATAAGCTCCGCCCCTTCTTTATAAGAGGCCATAAAAACATCTTGTTTCCAATATAATATAGGCGCCTATATTTTCCTAGGCTTTGGCACCTTAGAACCACATAGCTCCCAGGCTAGCCTGATTCTCCTACGGTTGAGGTGAGTTTCGTACCAAAGATGCTTTGATCCTAAGATACTTAAGTGCATTTATGGAAGCCACGTGTTTCTGGTACAAAACTCATCTCAGCTGTAGAAGAATCAGGCTAGCCTGGGTACCACGTGGTTCCAAGGCCCGGAAGGCCAAAGCCTAGAAAAATGTAGGCGCCTGACTAATCCCCAACCCAACGGCCACAAACTACCCAATCTAACGGCAACACATAAGTTTTTTATTTGAAAACATAACTTAAAAACGTTTTTTGTGATCAGCGCCATCAATTACCCTAGAAAAATAGATTTGAGAAAAATTTAAGTGCCCCTCAACTACCTTAGTACTAGAATGCTTAAATTTCCTTACCTTCCATGGCACAACTCGTACCCCCAATAGGGTTCCAATCGAAACGAGCAGACTTTATCCGAATAAGCAGTCGCTTCAAGAATTTCTGCCGGTGATGGACCAGTGTACGAGGCGAGACGAGTTCGGTGATCCTAAAAAGAAAAATTAATTCAGTTGCAAACCAGAACAATTTTTAAAGCTCAAGAATCAGAAATACTTTTCACTCACCGTTTCATCCTTTTTCGGGATATGACAAACGTAGTTCTCATTGTTTCGACTAGTGATCGTTAGCGTTTCCTTTTCTTCTGCGTCCGAAATCTAGAAAAGAAGGAATTTTTAATGACACCGAGTGCATTTAGAAGTGGAGACGGGTTAGACAACTAAACTTTTAGGAATTGATTGGAAAAACAGTAAAGATTTCATTTTTACAACTGAAAAGTGAACACATTTTGAAAAAACCGTTTTTTAAACTTTAAGCCTTATCCAGCCTTCTACAATTCGTCATTTTTGCTTTCAAAGTTGAAAAACTTTGTTTCTAAGCTAATAAGCTTGACTTTAAACTATTTTCAGGTTAAAAGAAAGGGGGTGTCTACTTTGCGCCCAATTTTTTTTTGCGCAACGCACCATAACTTTCTTCTAAGTGGGTCAATCTTTATGATTTTGGTGTCATTTTGTTGCACTTGTCGAGATCCACAAAATGATACAAAGGGCAGAAAGATTGGCCCACTTAGAAGAAAGTTATTGATCAAAAGAGTCGGAAGGAAGATGGTTCTGACTTAGATGAGGCATAACTTTCTTCTAAGTGGGTCAATCTTTCTGCTCTTTGTGTCATTTTGTTGCACTTGTCGAGATCTACAAAATGAAACCAAAAGCATAAAGATTGATCGACTTAGAAAAAAGTTATGGCAAGCTACGCAAACGACCCAGTTGCGTAAAAAATATTGCGGAAAGTAGCCACTAAAGAAAGACCTTTAGCTTAAAAACTTGTCTAAACCCCAATAAAGCAGTTTAAAACCCCAACAAAGCACAAAACCCAAAGCAAACCTTCAATAATTCGACTTCTTGCAGTTTATTCGATTCACCCGTTCGAAACGTGATCCCATAGTGTATCGTGTCGTCAATTTTCAAGGCGTTTACGGAAGAGGCGATCGCCAATAGAAGCACGAGCCGCAGATCTCCTCTCGAGCGATCACCCATGGTTTTAAGGCTAAAATAAACAAGTTTTAAGCTATTCATCGATAATGATCAAGAAAAATCAAGAATTGAACGGAAAACTGGGCAAAAATTTTTGTGAAATCGCTTTTTGGGATCAAATCCAAGAGTTTTTGGTGCTTTTTGGGTCAAATCTAAGGTTTTTCGATGTTCTAGTATAATTTTTTAGCTTAAATAGTACTAATAGGACTATTTGAGCTAAAAAAATTATACTAGAACATCGAAAAACTTTAGCATTAGTACTCAAAAGCTGTCCTTAAGGCTGGGTCGACTAAATTTTAGAACAAAAATGGAGAGTGGGACAAATGCGACCTTTTTTTTGCGCACCCGGACATTTGCGCACCTTTTTTTCCGCACTTAGCTCATTAGCGCACCTTTTTTCCGCACTTAGCCCATCAGCGCACCTTTTTTCGCATTTTAAAAAAGCTCTAAAAGCTAATATTAACCAATTTCTATTCCAAAAGTTATTTTTCTAGGTAATTTTAGGGTGTCAAATTCAAATTTTGACATAACAGAGCGTGTGGAAGCGAACGGACGGAGTTATACAAAGAGAAATTTTCTGTAATTTAACCTAGCCGTTTTGTCTTTCAAATTGGTTCCACACGCTCTGTTATGTCAAAATTTGAATTTGACACCCTAAAATTACCTAGAAAAACAACTTTTGGAATAGAAATTGGTTAATATTAGCTTTTAGAGCTTTAAAACGCAAAAAAAGGTGCGCTAATGGGCTAAGTGCGGAAAAAAAGGTGCGCAAATGTCCGGGTGCGCAAAGAAAAAGGCCACATTTGTCCCACTCCCCAAAAATGAAATAAAACCAGAAATTACCATCATTAAATACTCGGAAAACGCCTTGTCCTTGCTTTTAAAGATATTCAGTCGACTAATCCCTAAAATTCCAATGAACAATTAAATATTCAGTTAAATAACTTAATAGCTTCACTTAGTAAAGGGCATTTTGAAAAGAAATAGCATTAAAATCAAAAAAACTGACCAAAAGCCGCACTTCTTGACGCTCTAGTGTCAATAACAATGTTAGAAATTGACTAATAAACATTTTATAGCTCAGATGATGAATTTGTGATGGGTTAGATCCAGGGATAGCACCAGAAACAAATCAAAAATTGCGCGAAAAAGTCTTAATCTGCTTTTATGTACCCCGAGCAGGCACTGATTTCATAATCCGGCCCCAAATAGCGCTGAAATCTCTACCGTGCGCTCCAGCATTGCGAAATCGCGCAGAAAAATGAAGAACTTACCGGCTGAGGATGGTGAAATCGACGTGACAACGCTTTCTCAAATGACAGGTCACATAAAGTAGGGCAACTGTCGTGACTATGTTGTGCCCAATCTACCGTACTCCGCTTTGTGAACGCGTAAATGACACTAGAACTATCGTAGTTCGGCTGGGCAAATGGTTTAAATTCTTTTCACGTCGTCATTGTTGACGGTTTTGCTGAGAGAGAGATGGCACGGGTTTGACTTTCTTCCGTGTTTACCAGAAAGTTTCTTATTCTAGTCTGTTTCCCCAAAAACTATCCTAATCCTGTCTCTATTTTTTCTCGAGCCTATCCACTTTTTGAGGGAACTGATGAAAACAGCGCCGTGTACAAACAGCGCCGGTCAAAATAATGCGTTTCCTATTTTATTTGTGCTTTCTATTTTCATTGGATGCAGAAAAAATTAGCTATGAATTTTTTGGAGCCGTTTAGAACAAATCTGAGATGGTTAATATAAGATTGTCTCGGTGCGATATAAAGTTATGCTTTCTCTATTTTATCGTTAGAACAAATCTAGGATGGTTAATATAAGATTGTCTCTGTTCTAAAGATAAAATGGAGAAAGCATAACTTTATATCGCACTAAGCTGGGATGGTTAATATAAGATTATCGCACTAGGATAGTTAATATAAGGTTGTCTCAGTGCGATATAAAGTTATGCTTTCTCCATTTTATGTGCTATCTCCATGTGACAACAAAAAGTATGTTGTGCACGCACATCAAGAACACTAGTCAGCACGCATTTCTTGAAAAAAGCAAAGGAAAAATCCAAAGTGGGGATGGAACTTATGAGGTCTCGCTCTGGAAACGAAAGCTGCGGCTGCACCGAATCGGGTCCGCAAAGAGGCCACTAAGACCCAAATGACCACATTTCCAGAGTCAAAACTTTAGACGCTTATCCTGGCAGATTGTCACTTAGCAAAAACAATGTACATATTCGAAATCAACATAAAATTCTGCGTCGAAGGGGTGCTAGCAAAATATTTGCGCCACGTATCATTTGTGCCGAAAACTTTTGCGCCAAATTTGCGCTTTTCAAAACACTTTCCTACCAACTCTGATTATTTATATTTTTCTTTTAGTCTTTCCTTATCGATGATGCTCGCTATTTTGCCGCCTTCACCGGCTCTGAAAATGGCATAAGGTCGAAATAGAGAGTAAAAAGCCCAATCGTGGACAGAAAAATGACTGTTTTTGGGGTCTTTTTTAAAAAACAGACCCCAAAACCTGGTTCTGTTTTGGTTTAAACGTGTTTCTTAAACGTGTTTTCTAATCGAAAACAGTGTGATTTAAAATTGTGAAGAAGAAAACTGAAAAAGAGTTGGTTAGAAGTTGGGAAAAAGTTATTATAGTGGTTTTCATAAGTGTAAATTTGGTGCAAATGAAACTGGCGTAAAAAACGAAGCGCTTTTGCTAGCACCTCGTGTCGAATGGTATAAGTCGCATAGCATTTTGCCGGCTCAGTCAGTTGACTTTCCCTTGTAACTATGAAAATAAGCATTTCATTTGAATTGAATTGAATGACTGAAGATCTGAAGAAGCTGAAGAATTTGAAGAAGCTGAAGAATTTCTTGAATATTTAACCTGTCTAGATAGTTTTTGCAAAACTTTAGATTTTTTTGCAACTTGTGTAACTAAACCAATTACTTAAGCGTCTAAAATACATGGTTTTTATGGTTTTATGGTTTTAAACGCATTTTCTGCTCAATTTTTTGTTTTTTATGTGTTCTTAACGTTAAATTCTTTCAAAAAAACTTATTTTAGATGTTCCTCATCCGTCCGCTTCTCTTCATTCTATGGTGGCTCCGATGTGGTGCACAGGAAACAACCGACGATTTCCGGGAACACAACGAATGGATCGATCCAAACGATCCGACCACGCATCTACGGAGATCGGCGCCCCAAATGTACACTTGTGAACGCGTCGAATCGGCCGAGCCCACGCTAAAGCTCATTTTGAGGGGACTTTTCAGGTAAAAAGGTGGTTTCAGTGGTGCTATAGTATTTGGGAGGGGGCAGTGTACGATGATCTCTGTTGAGCTGGCTCAACAGAGATCATTGTACTAATGAATGCACTGATTTTTGCTTTTAGGGTTTTTAATGGTGTAGATTCTTAATTTGAGCTTTTATTTAGTTAAGCTAGTAACTGTTTCCTAGCTATTTCAAGTAGTTACTGGGGTTTTAAGGCTCTTAAGGTTTTAAGCCTCGCCCCCATTTCTAAACCCAGTGGAAATAGGGCCACACTTGCTCGTAGTTGTAGTTGTTGGTGTTGTTGTTGGCTCGTAGTTGTTGCTCAAACTGGCATAAAAGTTGCTGAGAATAATTTATAAATGCTCCCCAATGGCTTCAGTGCAATTAATTACCCTAGAAAAAGTTTATAAGTGGCAATTTCGAGAAATCAGCGTTTACAAACTGCCCCCTCCCCTAACTGCTATAGCACCAGCTTTGTTTTTGACTGTGAAAACTGGCCATGAACTTGGAAATTTGACTTTGACTGTTTGACTAATTTGACTAAAATCTTTTTAAACTAACATCAATCCTGCCACTGAAGTTTTAATTTTGCCAATTTGTGAACAAAGAATCACTTTATGGGCTCATTTTTCATGCCCATCAAGCTCATTTTGATAGGATTTTTTGCCTAAAAACTTTGTTTGTAGAGCTAGGTTTTGCTTGGGCTTGCAAAAAGAACCGAAATATCAAGATAAATTTTGCTTTTAATGCGTCAAACCTTAAAATAGCTATAAGTAAAGTTTTTGTATGTTGTTTTAGGCGCAAGACATGTGCACTTGCTATACAAATAGATTTAAACGTTTAAACGCTTATTAAATTCCAATTTTCAGACAAATCCACGTGGATCCGTCGCAGCGAGTCGGCTTTTATCGAGCAGTCACCGCACAAATGGGCAAATACGATGTCGAGCTGGTGCAAACTTATTTGGACACTGCGAATCCGACGCCCGAGCAACGGGATGCAGTGCGAAATGCGCTCAATAACATTTTTGAGGTGAAAGCACAAATTTTGAGATTTGCTAGCTTTTAAACCCTTTTAAAGTATGGGGAATTTGTTTGTTGCAAGTATGGTTTTAGTGGAATTTGTTGCAGGAATCTTGATACTAATAAACTTCCTTAAGTCGAGAAAATTGTTGGTGCTTTGTGGGTTGGGGGGCACTTTTTTTGAAATTTTCGCTTTTCCTGGAGTAATCAGTGACATTGAACACGAATTTCGCGTGCTTAGACCCGGTTTATCATCGAAAAACCGACTTTTTTTTACGATTACTGTTACGTTTTGGTTTAAGAAACGGAAAAACGGGTTTCGGAAAAAGCTTTAGGAAACCGTTTAATAAATTCAGCCTGTTTTTTCTTGTTAAATCCCGCCCATTAACCTCAAGGTCCTTATAAAGAGCCATGAGTCAAGCTATCGCTAATTCGAGAAGCTCAAAATGGGAAGTGATGGAATTAACCCCTGAAGGACTTGATTCTGCTGAAGTTGAGTGCCAAACTCCTCCTTCCTGACGAACAATTTGAAGAATGGTTGATGGACATCGGATTCCTCCACAAGAAAGCGCCTGTCCCAATTGGAATGTTAATTTTTAAACTAAAAAATTAATTTTTGATGGACAACCTGGAACAATTTTATCATTTACGTGTTCATTTTCACTGATTACTCCAGGAAAAGTGAAAATTTCAAAAAAATGTACTACTTGGCTTAACGGTTATAGATCTGTATCTGTTGTAGATCTGTATGGTTATAGAACATTTAAGTCAAGCCTGACTTTCCCGAACTTCTTATTGCCTGCTGCATCCCTAGGGTAGTTTTAGGGTTCAATAGTTCGTATAACATTCGAAATTTCCCCCATTCTTGTTGTATTTTACCAAAACGACCATTTTCCTTTTAGGTGACTGATCTCGGCATCGATGATCCATCTCGTTTCCAACTCCTACTGCGAATGATCGAACCATGGATCGTTCCACTGAACATCCTCGTCGCCATCCTCACTTTAATCTACGTGATGAAGCAATTGTTTAGTTCGGGGCGGATCCTGCGAATTCTTCTTCTGCTCATCTTCGTCATCTCCCTGTTCACCTCGTACAATCGGTTAAGTTATTGATGTTCGTTTGGTTCAGAAATTTCGCCTTTTGGCGTTCCGAGAGCCGAGAGTCTTGGCTGAATTTAACTTCTACGATCTATAGGTTATGGGACTAGATTATGCAGAATTTTTGTTTGGTGGCATTATTAACCAATAAAATTTAGAATGTACCAAGAGAAGATGGCGGAACGAATCGCGCAATCGATGCAAGCGAATGATGCGTGTAAACCCCCAGGAATTCTCTCGCGGTTCAAGAGCTTCATCTCGATTGAGAAAAAGTCGGAATGCTTAAAGTTTATCGAAGCTCAGACGGTGTCTGTCATCTTTGAGATCAGTCCGCTCGACGTTTTGTTCGATGTACTGGGGAATGGCCTTTTTTCACTGATGGAACACTTCGCGACAAGGTTGAACAAAGCGACAATCGCGTTGTACGATGGACTCCCGATTCCTCTTCAAATAGCTGTCACTATCGCTGTGCTCGTTATTTTCTTGGTGATCTTCCTGTTCGGTGTGGCTAGGTACAGGATTGGTTTCTTCGGAATGAGGTTTGAGCCAGCGATTGGTGCAGGATTGCTCGATCAAATTGGAGCTGCAGCGAATGGAGTGATCAACGCGTTGGAGTCACCTGGACAACAAAATCAACAAACACCACACCAAAGCCAGCGTGCTTGGATCGAAAACGTGACGCCGAGAACGAAAGACAGGATGAGTCGAATGTTGCCAGAGGCGAACAATGGGGAACATCATCGAATTCGTCACCGCTCGCCGTCACCATCGCCAAAACCGAGATCCCATTCGACGCCGAGAATCGCTTTGACTTTTTCGAAAGATTGAATGTGTGTATTCGGATAGAATTTTGGTACTTATGCATTGCAGCCTGTAGCCAGATTTGTATCAAAAAAATCTAACTCTCCCAGTCTTGGCCTTAATTTTGGAAAATTCTTGAAAGGAAGAGGCCAGTTTTTGAGGATTCTGTCATTTTTGGCTTGTTAAATCATCCAGAAATTTCGCCTTTTTAAATCCTGAAAGCCAAAAAAGTGGCTAAATTTAACTGCTATTTTAATATTTATGCACAGAACCTGCTAATTTTTGGATGTAAATTGAGCAATGCAAAAGTATACTTTAGTTTTTGTGCTCTCGTTAGGCTTATTGAGAAAGTTAGTGCAAATGGTGGATTTCCATAATTTTGCCCAGTTTCGGTGGTTTACAAAGTCTCAGGCTGAAATAAAAGCTATTCAATGTTGTCAGGCATACTCTAGGACTACCGTGGCTTTACATTACTCTTAGGGTTTAGGTTTAAATCGATTTTGCGCTAACTTTGCCGATAAGCAAGTCTATATATCTTTTTTTTTTGTTTACTGCCGTTTTTGCATTAGATTTTCTTCTTTTCCCAGTTAAATCATTGTCGATCTCTAATGTGCTACACTATATCTTTTTGTCCAGTCATTTATTTTATTTTTAGTGCTGCGGGTTGTAAATATTTTAATTTTACGACTTTTTTTTATATCATATCTCTGCTTGAAAGATTTGCTTTAGAGAATAAATTTCAGGTAGCGTGATGGTGCGTCGAATCTACACGCCAACTCGACCCGAAACAAACACACCGGTTTGCCGGCCGAACGAAACGAGGTAAAGAAAGTTATGGCGCTTGTTAAGTTAAAGGATATTGTGAAAAAGTCTCTTATTGTCACTGCAAAAGTCTCTGGTCCTTGGCTTTCTATTCAAAATATCCGGTAATTGAGAAAATAATAGTTTCTAGATTATGTAAGTTGTAGAACCTACAGTACTGGACAATGAAATATCATATTTGAAAAACGATCGTCACTTTCGCGCGTCTGTAACTCCCCTGTCTTTACCGTATTTCTAAATATTAATATTACCATTGTGTAGCCCTTGAAAAGGGCTTTCAGAAAATGCATAACACTAATAGTTTAAACTCAAAGACAAGGGAGTTACAGACGCGCGAAAGTGACGATCGTTTTTCAAATATGATATTTCATTGTCCAGTAGTGTAGGTTCAGGGTCTCGTGAGATAAAAATATCTTTGATTGAAGAGCATGAGCTGCTTTTTGATATTTTAAAGTGAATATGCCAAATTGTTAGTCAAGCTTATCTTCTTTGAGTCATTTTACAAACTTTAAACAACAGACGAACTTTTGATTCGTAACAACACTTTAACAATTTGATTCTGTCCGTGAGCAACATATGTCGTTTAAAACGGCCTAGTTTTGATGATTGAGAATATTTTTTGATAAAATCTTCATCGTTTTCTTTCAGCTCTCAACGTCAATCATCATCATTTGGACAGTGCAATTGCTCGGCTTCGCAAACGGACAGCTCGATTCACGACTTTGAGTGCCCATCTTTTCCGCAAGCTGAATTGAATCGTGGAAAGGTGAGAGTCAAAATGGCTTGCTAAAAATTAACGCTTGGCTTTAGCCGCCGGTTTTCCCGAAACAAAACGTGAACTTGCGACGTCCCGATGGGTTGTGGCCGAATGCGAAAGCCACCGATGATGTCGATCAATCGTCAGCGTGAGTTTTTGATCATCGACTATTTATAAAAGGCAACTGTCTTTTGTCCGTCACACGCACTTTTCTCAGCACCAGATCGAATTTCGGAGTGCGCTTTTTATGTTAGATAGATAAAGTTCTGCTGACGACGCTTCTAAAGAATGAAAGAATTTCATCGTGTACTTCTTTTAAAAAGTTAAAAAACTCCTAAGACACGCCCTTTTTTGTCTCGGCGATCTATGGGAGGGAAGACATTGTCGAGGTACCGAGATGGTTTAGCGTCCCGTCTCCAAAACGCTCGCCCTACGAGGGTGTCGGGTTCGATTCCCATCCGCTCCCACCTTTTTGCTTTATTTTTTCAAGCATGGAGCTGAAGTATGCAAATTTGAGTTGCTTCACGGGGTATTGTTGCAGGGGTCTCTGAGGGGCGCTCGGCACGACGTTAGCGCGAGAGATCAAATACGTGTCAAACCCAAAAATTCAGCCGGGAAAGCCCGCCATTAGGCGGGTTTTTTGGCTGGTTATTTGATGTAGGCTAAATAGGCCTTAAAAGAATGGAATTACTGAATCAATTCAATAAAAAAAAACCAAATTTCCAATTTCAGTGAGGATCAAATGGAGCACATTCCCGAGAGCATCGAACGTTTCCTTTCAATCGGTGACACGACGACAGCTTTATATTGGGTGGATGCGAATTTCGCGATGCAACGAAGAAATGAGGAATCCTACGTTCACTGTGCTGAATATGTTCAGGTACGGGCTTTTTCTACAAACTTATCATTGATAATATAAAATTACCGTTAGATAAAGTCAAACCACTTGCACGAAGCGTAATAACTATAAGATTACTTATTAGAACCTAAAAGACGGTAAATTTGTGCTATAGTAAATCCTTTTCAGAATCTTTGCCGCGTCGGTGCATGGGAGCGTTTGATCACGTTTTCCGAGGATCGTCTACTCCATGAGATTCACCTCTACTTTGCCTACTTCTACGTGACCGCTTTGTGCAATCTGAAGCTCTATGTAATTGCGATGAATGCGAAGATTGGGCATTTGGTGGGTTTAATCAGACTGTGTGATAGGAAAAGTAGTGCTATAGAGGTACACGAGTTTTTCAATCCCAGAACGCTCAAATAAGTAGCCTTGAATAGGTGGAGATTTATCTTTCAAAAGATTGAGATTTATCTTTCAAAAGCTCGTTTTTCAGATTGAATTGGAATCGGTGGATTTAAACTTCGAGAAAGACACGCCGATTCCATTGAAAGTGCCGGCTCTCTCACCTCAAATGCAGAAAACCTGGATGTGAGCTTGGAAAACGTTAATTTACGCTATTTATTTCAGTAAACCGCTGTCACTCGAAGAGAAGGTGCATCTTGATGGAAAAGTGAAAGAGTTAAAGGTGGGAAATTCATGTGTTTAATGTAAAATCTTTTGCTTTAGTTACTATCTGCTTTCCTGTGCCGCTTGGGTAAAGCCTTCTTGGCGATGGAGAATCGCACGGCGGCGCTGCGCTTCATTTGGACTGCTTGGTTGAGGTGGGGAATTGTAAAATTTGAGTTAAAGTACCGGAATTTCGCTTTAACTCTATACTAAAAGGAATTGGCAAAAGATCGGAGTGGCTTTAGAGACGAAAATGCAGAAATTTTTGTGTGCTTCATTTTTTCCGCGAAGGGCCTCATTTTTTTGTGGTTTCTTATGTTTTAGAACGATTAAGGCACAAGTTTAGCCTATCTTTATTTTCAAGAGACTATTATTCTTTCAAATTTAGGGACAAGTACAACATGGAGGCCGAGGAGTTGATCAATCGCTACAATTTCGCCGAGGGCAAAAAGCGGCAGCAGCAATGGGAGAAATTTGTGAGTATGAAAATATTTTGCTTCATGAGAACTTATTTTAGATGAGTCGTCGCACGTATCACTCATCGCCGAACGATCCGCGATCGCTTTTCGTCCAAGCTCAGCAACAGTTCAACAATAACAACGTGAATGCCGCCTATGCTTACACGAAAACGATCATTAAGGAGTACGGATTGTATAGGGTGAGCTGATTAGCTACAAGTTGTTCGTATGAAGGAATCGGGAAAATTAATGAGTGACTTGTGAAAGATCCAGCAAATCTAGGCCAGCCACGAAACACATGTCATACTAGGCTAGGCTAGTTGACTTCTAAACTTGTCTGTGAGAATAGAAGTTGGCTAAAAACCAGGCTAGACATTCTGTTTCTGGCCTGACCGAACTCATCGCAGTTGTAAAATTGAGATACCCCGGTGGTAAAAAGATAAGTGCATTGACAGATTTGACAAGAAAGCTGTCGTGTACAATAATTTATCTTTTATCTATTCTATCTCTTTTAGCCAGCCCTCCTCGTCCACCTCAATTGTGCAGCTTCAGTCAAAGACACTTCTTCGTTGTTCCTCTTGGGACACGAGCTTGTCGATCGGTGTCCGAATGATGAAGTGAGTGTAAAAGTTTAGGCTCAAATCAATTTCTTAGATCTCTTGGTACGCGGTTGCCATGTACTACTTTATGATCGGGAACAATGCGGCGGCGAAGAATTTCATGAGTAAGTGAATCTGTGTCATCGGACATAAAATAAAATAAAATACCTTTTTAGACAAAGCAACGATGATGAACAGCGCTTTCGGCGAGGCTTGGGTCGCGTTTGGGCACATTTTGTCGGCTGAAAACGAACATGAACAGGCGATGAATTGCTATTTGAAGGTAAGCATTCAATTTATTGCTTCAATTATGTTTAGATCTGTGTAAAATGTGAAATTATTTTCCTTTTAGGCTCTTCGCCTGCTCGATCGTCACCAGGATTTGTTCGTTTTTCTCGCCATGGAGGTAATACAAAAAAAATTGACCCGTCTAAATTTATTTTAGCATTGCCGAACGAATAACGCGAAATGGGCAATGGACTTTTTGAAGGTATTCTTTCATTTTAGGATGTATTGATCTCAAAATGCTTCTTTAGGACAGTCATGCTGCCACGAAGGCGATCGACGGAAACAAGACGAACCCGTACCGAGACCACGAGAGGGGATACGTTCTCTACAGTCAGAAGCAATACAATGGTATGTTTTAATAGTAACAAGAAAATAGATGAATTTTTGATTTGGGAAAAACTCATAAAAGCATTGATTATTACCTTTTTAGAGGCTCGAGAATGCTTCACGAGAGCCCTCAAGAGTGTGCATCCGGATGCGATCGAGAAAAATGGACGATTCGCGAGATGCCAGATGTGAGTTTTAGAGCTGAATCGAGCCTGAAAAAGTTTTTTTAGAATGCAAATCGATCGCTTCTGGGAGCCACTTATCGCCAACTTAGCGCACACGTATCGCAAAATGGAAAATTTTGCGATGGCTTTGATGTTGTACGAGTGAGTTGATAGGCTTTCTAAGAGCTTATTATTAGTAGGTTGAATCTAGCTAATATTGCGATTGTCAAGAAACAAGTTTAGAACCTAATAAAAAAACCTAATAAAGATAACCTAACTTTAGATGTGCCATAATACTTGGCTCGGCGCGAGAGGGAACAAATCTCGGGTATGCAATAGCTTTGGCGTCATGCGGTGATGTGGATCGAGCGCTGAAACACGTGCATCGAGTGCTCTCCTTCAACCCGCATAGTGCGGTTAGTTTTTTGAAAGCTATTCAATTTAAAGCCATCAAAATTAGTGGATTTAAATTTAAATGACTTAATTTGATAGATTTACTCTTTAGGTTACTAATGTCTTGATCATCTTATCGTTTTGCTTTAGATTGGACGTCAAATGCTCATAAAGTTGGTGGAAAGCCCTCCAGATATAAAGGTACAGCTTCAAATATAAAGATTTTGGTTCATTTTAAGTACTTTCAGGTAACGTGTCTATTCCCGGCGGGCACAAGCGAGGACGACGTATTCGATGATGAGGTGGAACGCGAGATGCCGGCTCGGGTGAGTGCTTTGGCGCGCAACCTATTCAAATTTACAATTCGATTTGAATTACGGTAATTGTATCCTTTAGCCACCAAACCCCGCGTCGACGCCAATGATTTTGCGCTCGGCCCTTCGCAAGAACATTCCCGGATCGCAGAGGAGACACGAGATAAACACGAGATCCAAATTGGAAGTCACTATTTTTGAGTGGGTTTTTAGAAGGAAAAGAACATAAAAGCAACAAGAAACCAATGAACCAACTCTTGAAACTGTTAATGAGATATTTTCAAGTACTCGAGATTAACTAACATACGGAGCTGTTTTTGAACCCTAAAATTCAAGGTCAGGTCAAAACTTATGCACCACCAAAGTTTTGTCAAAACTGGTCAAAACCTATTTGATGAATAAGGATATTTCAATTCCTCAAATACAATAAATTTCAAGGTCAACCCAGTAGAAGTCAGCTAGCCGATCTGGTTTTTCAATTTTTCACTTATGCTTAACTACTTTACTTCTAGATTGGCTTTTGGAATAGCCTTGGTTACTTATCTAAAGCTAAAGCCTAAAAGCCATGCTTAAAATTCTTTTTTTAGTGGTCAACCGACTGTTTATCGTTTACCGGATCTCGGCATCTCACCAATCATTCCACCATCGTCCGACGATGATACGATGGAAACAGAATGAGTTAAGAACCGATTTTAACACGGAAGTATGAATTTTGAATCTCGTTAGGTTTTTTTCTGAGTTTGCCTTTTTGCTCATTTTTCTCTTTCGTTTTGACGGGTCCTTGTGCACTTTTACGTCATTTTCTCTAAAACTTTGTCTCTATTTTTATAGGATCTCGAATATTTCAATTTGTAAATAAATATTTCATTTAAAAGGCAAAAAAAACGCAAATCGTTGAAGCGATAAGATTTTTGGGAAAGTTTTGTGTCTAACAGTGAATCAAAAAAGGTAGGGTTGAGAAATGTAGTCGTCAAAGTCAAAATAGCTTTGCTAGGACATCTTGTAAATGATATCCAAAGTAGATATTATCTTTATCCTTACGTATTTGCCGAGTTGAAAAGTGAACTTTTCTTTTTTAAGGCCGCCACCGAATGCGTGATCGATTTGCTCGATGCGATCGCTATTCGTGCTTGGAATCGTTGTGCACTTGATCCTCCTCTACAGCATCTTCGACATCTACTATTCGTCACCGGTAGCGATTTTTGAGTAATCTGATCAATTGTACATTTAAAACACCGGCACAATAATACTTGCAGACTTTTTTTGACAAGACTTTGACTCGAGTCGGTTAAGAATCACCTCTCAAACAAAACTGGCGATAGGTTCTGAGAAAATTTGGGTGATATGGCATAGAAAGTAGTATCTCAAATGAATTTAACTATTAAAATGTATGCTATGGGTTCACTTTTAGATTATCTTTGGCCTCCGCGAGCATTCGATCAGTCGAAATGAGGGCCCGGCGAAGAGGGTCATCGTTTTTTCAGCAGGTGAGGTTCAGAGGTCACTCACGGTGAGGTGAGTACAATTTAAACTTATCACACTTATTCGGTACGAAAATTAGTTCTTTAGACGGCCTACGCTATGACACTTTTGTGAAGAACCCCGACCTGACCCCGTTTCTCCATGGGATTTTTCAGCAGAAAAAGGTTTTTTTTTTTTGATTATTTTGAAAGATGACTACTGAATTTTAAGCTTTTTACTAGAATTTTACTAGAACTATGACTATATGTTTCTCATTCTTCATTTTTTTTACAGGGTGTTTCCGGGCTCTCCCTCTCGCATATGCCCACCGAATCGCGGCCGGGTCACGTTGCGATTTTTGCAGGTGAGGTTTAATTATTAAAGTTAAAGTTGTTCAATGATAAAGCTTATTGTTAGACGTGTTAAGCTACCTAAAGATTTGATTCAATTACTAGTTTTTTAAGAATTTATGAGGTTGCTTGGATGATTTTAATGGTTCACTGGTGTTTTTCAGGATTCACTGAGGATGTGAGCGCGGTGGCGGCCGGCTGGAAGAAAAACCCAGTGCCGTTCGACTCGATCTTTAATCGGTGAGTTTTGCGAAAGGGATTTAATATTGAATACAGTCAAAGCTCCATATATAGAGCTTTAAAGCTTAAACCTTAAAGCAATAGAGCTATAAAGTTCCGCTATAGAAAGTGGATTTAATTTGAAAAACATTCCAAAGATGTAAAAATCTATCCCGCAAAAATCCGTAAAACTTGTTAAATGCAAATTGATCTTTGTGCCAGTCTATAGCGCTAATCCCTTAAGATTTCTAAAAAGATTCAATTAATACCACTAGCTGAAACACTTGAGACACAGGAAATCTCAAGAGATTCAAAAATATAGTTGGTATGGATATGGTTTTCAGGCGAGATATGGTTTTCAAGTCTATCACCCATTTTCCAACTTGTACTTTTTAGATCGCAAAACTCGTGGCTAATCGGCAGTCCGGACATTGTCGAGCTCTTTCCATCAGCGAACATCACCGTCGAGAGTTATTCAGCGGATCAGGAGGATTTTGGGTCAAAAGAAGCCTGGAAACTGGACGAATGGGTATTTCAACGGTTTGAGGTTAGTTTTGAGTAAAGAAAAATAATTGAAATTGTTGATTTAGAAGCTTTTGACGAGCGCGAAAATCGATCAAGGGTTGAACGAGCGGTTACGCGCCGGCAAAAATGCGATTTTTCTACATCTACTGGGCATCGACACGAATGGGCACGGGCATAAACCGCATTCAAAGGTTTAGTTGAGAAAAGAAGCAAGCTTTTGACTGGCTTGATAATTTTCACTTTCTAATGTTAAGCCGTAACTTTTTGGCAAACTGGTTTATTTTCAGGAATACCTTGACAATTTGCGCTTCGTCGACGAGGAAATCAGGAAAACGAGCGAGTTGGTGGAGGAATTTTTCGGCGACTCACGAACGACTTTCATCATGACTGCTGACCATGGGATGACCGATTGGGGATCACATGGAGCGGGCAGCGAGAGTGAGGTGAGGCAATGGGGAGTACAACTCGCTCTATGGTTCAACTGGCTCAACTGGCTGACTTCAACAGTATCAGTCAAGGATGTTCCAACCGCACATTGGAACCTCTAACCAAGTCTGGCGCCTAGACGCCTGGATCTAGAACTGATACTTCTGGTACCAGTCAGGGATTTGCCGTAAGGGATAAGAGAGTCCAATGGGACTGCTAGTGTGCTTTGTAGTGTTTTAGAAGATTGAGGGTGATTTTATTGTGATTTTTTTAATCGAATCTTAGGACCTGTAAGCCAGACCAGACCAAACCAGAGCCCGTCCAGAAGCTGGTTCAGATTTCTTGACTTCTGGTTGGAGATAAGAGTTTTGCAGCTATTATCCATCCTTTTCTTTTTCAGGTTAACACGCCGTTTGTTGCGTGGGGCAGCGGAATTGCGAAAACCGGGGTCAACATCTCGCTTGCGCAGGTAGAAATTTAGAAAATATCGACTTGTTATACATACCGTAAATATTGTAATAATACCCATGCCCTAATGACGGTGCGCGGTGTTGCGTAGTATAGCTTTGAGCGCGTTTTTTTCTGGACACTGGTTTATGCTATAATGCGCGATTAGGTATCAAAAAAATAGCCCTGAAATTCAGGGCTATTTTTTTTGAAAGTACGGAAGCTTTGGAAAAAATGAAATACTAAAAACTTTTGCGACTACACGACTGTACAAGGGGGTGGGGTAATATTACAGTATTTACGGTATACTAGTTTACAGATTGTAAATATTGGTTCAAGTAGCGATTTTTTTAATGTTCAAATTTCAGGTAGACATCGCTCCACTATTGGCAACGCTTCTCGGAACGGCGATTCCGACGAATTCAATTGGGATGATTCCGTGGGAGATTGTCAATGCAAGCGACGAGTACCTGTATCTAGCCGCATTTGCGCATTACATGCAGGTTTGTCATTTAAAAATAAACCCTTTACCCTTTTTTGCCTTTCTAGCTCCGTGAACAATTGACTCACTTGCACGATGAGAAAGCTCGACGATTCGTCTTCAGCGAGTACCCGGAATTCGGCGACACGGCGCTGAACTCGTTAAACGATCAATTGGTGGTTTTGGGGAAAAGCAGGTATATAAAAGGCTTTCAAAGATGTTTTTACAATTGAGCTTGTAAGCCACGGCAGGTCAGAGCTCAGCAAGAAGTCGGGTCCCGGACGGATCCAGATTTAGCACAAGATTCTAGGCTACGACTGGTCTAGGAGAGATCTAGACCGGGAAAGGTTTAGCTAAGACTGATCCAGATTTGGGACAAATTTAGACCAAGTCAGGTCCAAGCCAAATCTAGGTTTGAAATCCGGGCCTGCGACTTTTTGTATTCTCAGTCCCAAGCCATAAAATGACTAAGGCCTTGCCTGAATTGGCAAATGGATCGTTTTCCTGGGCCTGGCCTGGCCAGAAAAGGACCTGGGTTTGACAGAAGCCTGGGTTTAAATTTTGACCTTGCTTGACCTGCTTGGAACATCCTTGGATTTAAAGATTAAAAGTTAAGATTGTCACTCGACAGCTGCACTTGATCTTTTATTAGTCAGTGATTATCTTTCTGGGACTTGGGACCCACGTACAGGACTAAGTGTCTAAATTTCAAAAATTTCCAGCCAATAGCGGAATTAATCTTGAAATTTACATCATTTTCCTTTTCTAGACGCTTCTCGGCCGGGGTGACCATGTGGCGACAATTCGGGCCGAAAATCCGTGACGCAATCTATTATTATCACCGCTATGATCGGTAATTTGTTCAAAAAAATTGTTAGAAAATTGTATTTTTGAAGAAACTTTAAGATTTATCTTGCTAAACATTGTTTTTAGCCATAAGTTATTCTTTATTTCAGAACTTTCCTCGGCTTTTGCGTGTCGGTCTCGTTTCTCCTCTGGGTGGCGCTTGTTACGTCATTAATTTCAAGGCGAGTTTTTTTTTTTCGAGAAGACTGGGCTTTTTGAACGAAATTTTGTTCTAATTCATTGTTTTAGATCAAATCAAGTCGATCTCTTTTCCCGGGAGATTCTTCGACCGAAAATCGCATTCATCTCACTGTTCTCGGCATGTCTCTTCTACAGCCTTTACTGCCAATTCAGCTTTTCGTGCGTGGTGAGTGTTACAGGGTATGAGAACAAACGGTACTTATAACTTTGCATGGTGCATACCTGATTAACATTCAAAATTGGCTAGGAAAAGAGTCACAAGTAGTTTTGGTCTACTTATGGCGCTACTTCAATCTAGTTTTAAATGCAAATAAGGCATTGTTCTGTGCAAAGTGATTGGGGAAAAGAGTCACATTTACCGATTGAGCTAATTGGAAGCCGTATTTGTTTCCCAAAATGTTTTAAAGGCTTTGCCATACTTTTGCAGACATTTTTATTAGATTTATTATTCTGGTCCACCAGTGCCAATATCAATCAGGCTGACCAGGGGTGTTCCAATCTCAAATTTTTAGAGTCAGACTTGACCAGAAGTCGGGGTAGAGCCTAGCTTGCGCGTGGCTTTTCAATGTTGACCCGAAAATGAGAAGTTTGATTGAAATTGACCCTAAGAAATCGTTCTAGACGATTTGCAGAATGTTTTGACGAATTTTTTGGCCTGACAACTCAACTCAAGACTTGAGGCCCTAGAGCTAGCTCGGTTGAAATATTCTCAAGCTGTATTGAGACTCGATTTTGATTGTAATTTGTTGTAGCGTTATAAATAAAATCAAAATTTCTGTTGTAATGTTATAAATTTAGATCTATGTCCTGTTGCCAATCGTTCTCTCGTCTTTCCTCTACAATGTCGTTGATGTTCATGGTGGGACGCTGAAAAAGTACACGGCGAAACACGGATTTTACACAAACTTTACGGCGATTCTTCTGTATCTACTTGCAGGTTTGATATTTTCTTTTCAATTTACAGCTTCCATTTTTTAGTGGCCCCATTCGTGCTTGTTTTTGTTGATCGTCGCTGGCTGGTGACGGTGTTCGTGTTGTTAAATTTTGTGCCTTACACGTATGGATCGATCGGGAGATATGATTGGTGAGTGAAATTTTGTTATAAGATAAGTTGTACTCAAAATCTTCGTCATTCCAGGAAGATTCTCTGGCATTTCGTCTGTATTCTCCTATGTGTTTTCCCGTTTCTCGCCACCGTCGGCCAACAGCAACATCCGTTTCTTTGTCTTTTCACCTCGGCGCTGGCCTCGTTGATCTACAAGATGCTCGCGAATGTGAGAAGTTTTGTGATAAATAAAACAATAGCCAACAAAAAAGAATCAACCACTTTGCATAGACACGATAAATTGTATTTTGAAGTGTCAAGGCTAAAATAATGCACAGATTTTTTTTAAAGCGGCAAGTTCAGCGTCCGAAAAGGCGATTAGCAGAGCTGATTCATCCCTAAGCCTGGTCGCCGAAGCCAGCCAGGTTTATGGACATGACCTGGCCCTGGATGCCGACAAAATTTTCTGTATCCCTTCAAAATCAGGACCAAGGTCAGAGCAGACCAAAAAAAGGCCACAGAATCCATTATCACGAGTATGGCCTGGCTTGAAAATTCGGTTCTAGGACCAGCCCTTGCTTTTTAGGCTATCCGGGATACGGTCCCGCCAGTTTTACATTTAACCGGGAATAACCAGCGCAAGCGTCTAGGATAGCCAAAGCTCTGCTCCGGGCGAGCGTGGCCCGCAATTTAGGCAAAACCTTTGTACATGTTAAAAGCACCTCCTTTAGACAAACTTTTTCATCTCCCGTCGCGAGTTGCTCGTTTCGATCTCGAAGATGAATTTGTGCACAACGGGGATCATTTTCCTCACCGAATTCGTCTTTGAGAAGGTTTTTGAGCTCTTTTACCTTTTACATAAGTTTTAGACTCCAACATTTCTCCTGCTCATTTGTTGGACAACCCTCCCCGCCGCGTTCATCTTGCCGATATTTTTGACGAAACGAAAAGTCGTTGATCGTTTGATTGCGTTCATTGGTGGGCTTTGGTGAATGAGTTAGATTTAAATTACAGATCTAACGGTATGCAAATTGAGCTGGCTCGGGGAATTGAACCCTTGACCTGATCAGGTTACGAATCAAGCACTTGGACCACTAGGCTATTGGGAAAAGGCTGTTGAATAGCTGTTTTACTTTAGATCTAGTTGACCAATATCATTTTCTTCATTCAGGTTACCTCTTCATTCCATATTCACTTCTGTCGATCGCCTACGAGTCAATTTTCGTGCTTCTTTTCGTTGCGCTGTTGGTGATTTTGGTGAGTTCAACGATTTATTGTAAGTTTTGTTAATTTTTTTTAGATTCGTTTCGAGTTTGCGAACGTCTCCGACTCGGTGTTACTGCAATTAGATGCGGCGAGGAGGCAGAGTCGAGGTAGGAGTTGAAATTTTGAAGAGAGCTCATGCTTTAATGCGCGCGTTTACACTGCCCGTTTCTAGGAAAACAGACTGCAAAAATTGAAAACTGGATTTAATGGGAAGGGAAGTTCAAAAGAGTTTTCGTCTTGTTCGATTGCAAGCTTTCAAATCCATCTTGTGTCAGCCTACATTTTATCTAAAGTTAGATGCAAATTCTATTGAAAAAATAGCCGAACTTGTGTGAGAAATGCTTGTCTACGTAGTTTTTGTAATCCCTAATTTCTTTAGGTCTCTTGGAGCCGATCAGCAAACACGACGCAATCCGGGCTTGGACAGTGATGGCACTGGTGATTGGGGCGCTGTTCGGGACGGGGAATTTCGCGTCACTCAACTCGTTCAACCCGTCCACTTTGCATCGTTTTATCTCCGTTTTCAGTCCCTTCACGATGGCTTCGCTTTTGAGTGGGTTTTTTTCGGGAAATTTTGGGTTAAATTACAAGTGAAAGCTCAAATTAGACCTCTGCTTACATAATTCGTTCATTTAGTTCTCAAATTGCTCATCCCGTTGCTGTTGCTTTCGATGGCTTTCGCGACGATTTTGTTCTTTGATACGGTTTGTGTAATGCGATTTGCTAAAGAGACAATTTTACCTTTAGGATCACATCACACGGTTATCATACTTGACGCTCACAATTTCGGATTTGATCGCGATGGTGAGTGGCTTGAAGAAAAAAGAAATTTGGGCGCTATTTGAGATTTCTTGAGTCAAATGCCAGAAATTCGGGAAAAGCTCGTTGCTCGAAAAGCTCGAAAATCTCCCATTGAAATGGAGCATTTCGTGACGTTTCCTAGCAAAAAGTACAGATTGCTCCGTTTCAAAGGAGAATGTCGATCGTGATCCAATAATACCGGAAAAGGCGCCTGGGATCGTGATCCATGACGTAATGACGAATGACGGAATCGTGTTCCAATGTGAGGATTTCAGACAACGATTCAGCATTGGATCACGACTCCCGGATAGAAGCACAGCGAATTTTTCAGAAATTGTCTCAAATTTGACTTCCAGAATCAAATAAGGGCCATAATTGACTAGACTTCAAGCTATTGAAGCAAAAACAGTATCACCTACTGAGAAGTTTTCAAAATTTGCTGTAGCTAGGCCAGAAGCCAGGCCCAGGGACTTGAATTGGGATATGTCTAAAGCAAAGCCAACACCTGGCTTTTGACCTGGCTTGCCTTCTTCGTCTGAACTGAGCTCAACCCTGTGACATGACATTACCAATTTTGCGATAATCAAGTTATTAAAATGTCTCTTTTCAGTGCCTCTTCTATCAACTGAAAGACACGGGTTCATGGCTGGATATCGGTCTCTCGATCTCGGCCTACATTGTCTCGATGTTTCTCTCGTTATCCCTTCTCCTGCTATTGTTATCCTCAACATTCATTCTCACTTTCACCTCACCATTCACTCATGAGTTTTTTGAGAAAATGAAAGTTATTGTCGCGAAAAAGTTACCCAATCAACGTGTTTTACCTAGGGAAAGGCCTTAATTTTCATGAATTTTGTGATTTTTTTTTTCCTTTTGCTCAATTTTCTGGGTATTTCTTGCATTTTTGTGAATAGAGAATAAATTTTTCGGGGAAATTTCTGGAATTTTTGTTCCTGGTTGATAAAACGGTGAAATATCTTGTCTTTGTGAGAAAATTTTTGATAATTTACCCAACTCTCGTGCAATGAATCTTTTAGCGCTTGATGAGCGATCATATTTGGAAATTGGACAGTGCTGAGAATGAACAAGACAAAGATGGCGATGATGGAGAGATGGAGAAGAAAATATTCGCCTCCGAGGTGGACAAATACATTGACGAACCGCCGAGAAGCTCCTTGATTGAGAAGAGGAAACGACAAAAACACCAAATGATCGCTAGGAACCCAAAGTCGGATATCGCGTTGAGGTGAGTGCATGGTTGAGCAGCTTGAGTTTGCGAGGCGGACCTAGTTACCTTGCTTTAAAAGTTGTTTGAACCCTTTAGTAGATTTCGACACTGTTAAAGTGCCGGCACATTGGTTTGATCGGCACTGTTAAAGTAATCATTAAGCAGGTTTGAAGCAAGCAAGTTTGCTTTTCTAGTCCGTTAAAAGGGACTTTTGAAAGAGTAGTCATACTTTGAAGGCCAATAACTTTTCTAACAGTATACCTATTGTTAAATTTTTATATATTGATTTAGCCGGAAAGTCTTATCCGTCTTTTTAAAATTTTCATTTAGAAATGAATAGTTAGCCGACAAAACGTGTGGTTTGCTTTAAATGGCTTATCATTATTATTATTATTATTATTATCAAGCTATGAGGCCGGAAATCCTGTGATTTTTGAAGCTTTTTTAAGATTTAAGATTTAAGATTTCATTTGGTCAACCTTGCTTAAAACAATGAAATCTTAGTTTTTTAGAGTAATAAACAAGAAAAAAGAAAGAAAGATTATAGATTCTGAATGATTTTGAATAGTTTACTATTGATTTAGTCGGAAAGTTGCCTGCTTTTTTGAAATTTTCGTTTATAAATGAATAATTAGCCGACAAAACGTGTGGTTTGCTTTAAATAAAAAAGATTAACTATTTCATTTAGCACATTTTTAGGCAAATTCGAGTCCTCTTTGGAGCAAATTCTTGTTTTTTTCCTAAAATCCTTACAATGGACATAGAATGAAAATGGCTTGGTGAAATGTTATGAAAATTTGTCTGTCTATCTGTGTCTATCTGTCTGTCTATCTGTCTGTTTATCTGTCTGTTTATCTGTCTGTCTATCTGTCTGTCTATCTATCTGTCTGTCTATCTGTCTGTTTATCTGTCTGTCATCTGTCTGTCTATCTGTCTGTCTATCTGTCTGTCTATCTGTCTGTCTATCTGTCTGTCTATCTGCGCATCTGTCTGTCTATCTGTCTGTCTATCTGTCTGTCTATCTGTCTGTCATCTGTCTGTCTGTCTGTCTGTCTGTCTGTCTGTCTGTTGTCTGTCGTATGTCTGTCTGTCCATCTGTCATCTGTCTGTCTGTCTATCTGTCTGTCTGTCTATCTGTCTATCTGTCTGTCTGTCTGTCTATCTGTCTATCTGTCGTCTATCTGTCTGTTTAATTTCATTCTCTATCTTTTGTCTTTTGACATTAAAATGCGTTTCTGTGACAAAAGGCGCTCAAATAGGGACTTTGAGTTTCATTGTTTTTGACTGCTCGACGCTTATAACTTTGAGTTTCATTGTTTATGACCTTTAAAACAATAACGTGTTTTAATCAATAACTAACGTGAGCTTTTCGGAATTTCTTCAAGAACAATTTGTAAATAAATAATAGGACTTTCTGATAAAACAATAGATCGATTGGTTCATTATTCATTTCAAAGTAACCTTTAAAAAAGCGGACAAGACTTTCCGGCCAACCTAATAGTTTTAACGAGGAAAATTCAAGCTTTCAAATGAGGTACCAAATAGAGGTTCATTCTGGATTCGCAATTGCAGTTGAATCAATCAATCGAGCTTTCTGGATAAGGGTCAAATCAGGCTTATGTTGGAATTATCCTTTCGAATAGCTTCAACTTTTGAACTTTTAATTGATGCCTTCCCTTTGCAATGGCAATGGCAATAGCAATTGCAATTGCAGTTGATATATTAAGTTATGGACAGCTCAAATATTATTCTCATGTAAACAAGCGGATCCCATGATCTCAACAAGATCAACATCATTAACACATTTACGATGAGGTTTTTTTGATTTTGGCCTAGGTTATTTCCCTTCCAGCTCGTCTAAAAACGCTCACAGGCAATCGATTTACTTAAGTTAGGGGTCAAAAAGAAGAGAAATATTTGAGGATCATTTATCTGAAAACAGATTAAAGAAATGTTGAGTTTGAAGAAAGTTCAGATTTGTTTTAGCATGAGAAATTTCCCGGTTTAGACCCGGGAATTTATTTGCATATTTAAGAATATTTAAGACCCGGGAATCAATTTGCATTCAAAGGTTCATAACTCTCTTCAAAGTCAATATTTTTTTTTCAAAAACTCCAAATAAATAATCCTCAAACATTTCTTTTCATTTTGACCCCTAACTTAAGTAAATCGATTGCCTGTGAACGCTTTTAGACGAGTTGGAAGGGAAATAACCTACGCAAAGATCAAAAAACCTCATCTTGAATGTGTCAAAAAAAAACCAAGTTTCTAGAATTGGTTTGATTTGTCTTTTTGAAGATTTTGGCCACCCTGAAAACAACAATGATGTTGCGGGATTGATAGCGTTTTTTTTTTCCTAGGTACCGTGAAAAAGTGGAGTCGATAATCGAAGAATACGTTGCACAAATGCAAATATCGGCTGATCAGAAGAATCGCCTTCGACAATGTGAGTTTTGTGGTGAAAACGGTGTAAATCTCATTTTTTTTTTGCTCTAGTGGCCGCCGAACGACTCGCGGAGTTTGGCGGGGAACTGTCGCTATCGCAAGTGAGAGCGTTTTTGCTGAAATTCACGCCGAACCCAGCGCCGCACTCGTCGAATCGCCTCTTGCTTGATGGGTTGGTTTTTCTTAAAGGTTCTCCTCCAGATTTGCTCCCTGGTATTTGCCGTTTAGATTGCTGGTCAGCTTAAAAATAATTTAAGGTCACTACCGTATTTACTCTATTAGTGGGGGTCCTCTCTAATAGTGGGGTCCTCTCTAATAGTGGGGTCGTCTGGAGGGGGGTTGAAAAAATAGTGGGGTCCTCTCTAATATTGGTAACGAAAGTGATACATCAACTGTTGATCTCTTGGATTAGTTCTTTTACTGTTTGTTAATGTTTTGTTACGGTTAAAGCTAAATAAAATATGAAGCCAAACTTGTTTTTTCAAGAATTTCGGAGAAAAATTGATATCTTTTCAACTTAAAACTTTGGTTTTATGTTCTTTTAAATTTCTCTAATAGTGGGGTCCTCTCTAATAGTGGGGTCGTCTGGAAGGGGATTGAAAAAATAGTGGGGGACCCCACTAATAGAGTAAATACGGTATATTCTGTATTAAACATGGTATTTTATCTATCTAAGTATCTGAAATGGTCCGTACTGTACTGTACTGTACTGTACTGAAATGGACCGTACTGTACGGAAATGGTCCGTACTGTACTGTACTGTACTGAAATGGTCCGTACTGTACTGTACCGTCCTGAAATGATCCGTACTGTACTGTACTGTACCGTACTGAAATGGTCAAGGATAGCTTTCACAAAAATCTGGCTAGGCCAGGTTGAGCTAAACGCTAAAAACTTGATTTTTTAAAATATTGATCTTCAAAAATTTGATCACAATTAGGCAACGCCAAGTTAAATGCTAAGCATTGGGATTGTTCTCCCAATGCCAAAGCATTGGGAGAACAATCCCAATGTTCTTCCCTTTTGGTTCTTTCATTTTTTCGAAAAACATTTGGAAAATACAAGTCTTAAAGTGTTGGCAAATAAATGTTTAATCTAGGACAACCGTAACATCTACAATACATCTATAATGCATAATTAAAGTCAATTTATAGCAAAGCAGCAAAATAGCATCAAGATAATGAAATTTCTGATTTTAGCATTGAATTGGACCCTCACTACGCTCGTTTCACTCAAGATTACACACAAAAGGACACCCTTGGGAAAGGAGCATTCGGTGACGTATATAAGGTGGGGAAAATGGTGACTTTTAATTGAATTCTTTTTTTATTTATAGGTTTTCTCGAAGCTGGACCGGTGTCACTATGCGGTAAAGAAAATCAAATTGACGCAACCACGTCGTGCGGGAAACGCCAAAAAACAAAGTGGAGCCGCGAGGAGGGTTGGTTTTGATAGTGTTTTTTTCTAAAACGTGCCCGCCTCCCTTTCTCTAAAACTACCGTAATCTTGTCGCTATTTTTTATAGAATCTATCCACTTTTTGTCTGATTCTGTTCGAGTTCAAAAAGGATATCGAAATGATTCAAAAAGTGGAAAGATTCGATAAAAAAGTCGATAAAATAGAGACAAGGCTACGGTACTTTTGAGGAAAAGGTGGGGCATATTTTAGGAAACGAATTAAAGGGACACAATCAAGAAAACTGTAGCTAAATGAAGCTTCCTGTTTAGGTTACTGTAACTTTTTAGAAAGGCATATTTTAGGAAACGAATTAGAGCTTTTTCTGTAAACAATGTCCCAGCTATCGTACTCCCTTGTGGATTACCTACCGTACATCAAGCGAATCAGTTTCCTAAAAAACGAATTACTTCTAAATCCTAGACCGGAAAATTTTATTTTATCTTTTAACATTTCAGATTCTGATGGAAGTGTTGACGATGGCTCGTTTGGATCATCCGCACATTGTGCGCTATCATCACGCATGGCTCGAAGAGACACCCGATTTCTCGACTTTCCGACCGAGACGTTCCTCCGATGACTCAACTGGGAATAAAGTGGTCGAGCTTTCTAGGTAGAATTTGAAATTTTAGCATTTCACAGTACTCTAGCCCTCCTTACAAACTCTACAGTACTTTAAAGTAGTCCTTAATACTCCTTACAGGATTCTACAGTTTCTAGTGTATTGATGGAGCTTTGCAGTACTCTATAAGTACACTACAGTATACTTTCGTATACTTTACAGGCTTCTTACAGTATTTCGAAGTACTTCGAAGTACTTTGAAGTACCATTTACAGAACTACAGCATATTTTGCGCTAACCTCTCCAATAAATCAGCTTAATCATACTGTTTTTAGCTCTCCTGAAGAACGGAATCAACTGATGCCAGTGCTGAATACAGAGTGAGTCATTTTTTGGTCGTAAAGTTGCTAAAGTTTATTTTAGAGCCACTAACTCTTACAATCCATCGTTTGCCGGCTCATCCGTCAATCCGCCGTTGAAATCGAGTCGTTTCTTTTTGCCGAGCGCAAGCGGGTTAGCTGAATATCTAATACGTAATCGTTGTCTCTATTTTATATCGAATCTCCACTTTTTGAATAATTTCGATATTTGTGAACCCGGACAAAAATAGACAAAAAGTAGATAGATTCGATAAAAATAGAGACAAGATTACGGTAGTTTTGGGGACAAGGAACACGTTTTAGGAAGGAACACGTTTTAGGAAACATTCTAAAAGCTCGTTAGCTCAATTTATTTGTCTTTTTTTCAGCTCATCCCTCGATGAATCGATTGGTACAAAAGAGACCCAAGAGTCTTCAAAAATCTCCAGGAAATCGTCGAGCTCTTCGGAAAGCTCGGGCAATTGGATGAGTGTTGGTTTTTTTTGTTTGAAAGTCCAATAATCCTTGACGATTAATTCTTCTACTTCTATCCATTTCAGAGCACCGGTATTGTGAGTGTCGCGGAAAACGGTGAGCTGATGGAACTCCAACAACCGCAACACGTCTCAGCAATGGTCAGGGAAATGAACGATCGGGTGGACAGCTCGCAAACGGTTCGTGCAAGGATTTTTGATTTATCTATAATATACGCAATTAGGCTTATATAAAAGACTAAATTCTCAGCTTAAAAACAAAAGATTTGTCGCTAGCGAGAGTCGAACCAGCGACCCCTAGGGCGTGCGCCTCGTAAACGGGTGCGCTAACCACTCGACCGTACGCAAGAATTGATTGGAAATCAGCTTCCAATAGAATTTGATCATTTTGTCATTTTCCAGTGTCCACTTCACATTTTCATTCAAATGGAGCTTTGTGAGAGCACCCTTTCCGAGTTTCTTACAGAGCGAAATCACGGGATCAACGGTAATCTTTTTTGAATTGGCAGAACTGTAGACAAAAGTCGCCGAGCAATGGGCACACTTTTGACCGCCTGTGAGTGGATTGGTGAGACCGCATCTGAGAGATAATCTTTTTTTGAATTGAAATTACATTTTCCTATGACTTTACGGTTAAACCCTTTGAATTCTACAATTTGGTTTAGACACCGTACTCCCGCTCGAGCTGCGCAAGGAGACGTTCACATTCGCGTTGAATCTAATGAGCGCCGTGGACTATTTACACGAGAACGCCGTCATTCACCGGGATATAAAGGTGAGCTGGTGAGATGGGAGGCCTTTCCGAGTATTGTGACTGGACTATTGTGGAAAGTCTCATACTCAAGTGCAAATGCTTGCTTTCTTGCGGGATTCCATTTTCTAGTAACAGTACTAGATCAAAAAGTTTCCTTAGTACAACTTTTTACTAAAAATTGATTTTAAAATGACTGAGGAACGCTATTCAACCAAACTGTTTTTAAAATAAAAATCTTAATAAAATTATACTTTAAACTACAAATAAGGAGCTCATAGCTCATAGCTCATCATAGCTTTTTATCTGGCTGCCCCTTTGAGCCGCGCACAAGTGGTCGACGACACGCTACCGAAATTAGTCAATTTCCAATGTTTATGTCGTAGCCGATTATGAATGAAATTTTTTGGTAAATCTTTCTAGTAGAGCAACCCTTGAATGTATGAGGACAATATTATATCATCTTGTAGCGAATTGAATTCTGCGTCGATTGGTACCAAATTTGTGAGTTTAGGTTAAAAATTGCCGGCGCTACAACGTTTCATTCAAAATCGGCGGGACCCCCCGTAGCCGATTATGAATGAGTGGGTCTAGGAGCGTCCAACCATCAAGTATTTAGTATCATTCAACGCAGAATCATTGATAATTATGTTAAATTTTTGAAATTAACAAGATTTGATGAAAAGAAAAAAAATTAGAGCAAAAAAAACTGTTTGTTCAAGAGAAAACTTTGAAGCCCCATAATTTGTGTTCTTTTTATCCAATCTTTCTAATTTCAAAAATTTAACATAACTATCAATGATTCTGCGTTGAATGATACTAAATACTTGATGGTTGGACGCTCCTAGACCCACTCATTCATAATCGGCTACGACATTTATACAGATTCATCGATGAAATTAAACAATTTGCACAAATTTTAAGCTTAAAATTTTTTTTTTCAATGAAAATAAACTAAACTTTTTAATATAAAAAAACCCTTTCTGGAGCTTTCTGAAGAATGCTCTTTTTCGATAAGAACACACAAAAAAAAACTTCTGACTTTGATACGAGGAAGTTTTTATGCAAAAAAAAAAATCTTAATAAAATTATACTTTAAATTACAAATAAGGAGCGCATAGACCATAGCTCATAGCTCATAGCTCATCATAACTTTTTTTATGGCTAATCCTAGCCCTGTTGGCCTAAACGCTTTTAAAGCTTAATTTTCTAACGTTTTTTTTGCTTAAAGATGAACATTAAAAGTTTATAAATTTTTCTTTGAGATTAGTCTAAACTTTGCGAATGACTAAAAAAAATGAAAAGAAAGTCGATTTTGACAGCGATTTTGACATTTTGACAGTGTCCACTTGTGCGCGACTCAAAGGGTCAACCATATAAAGAAGCTATGATGAGCTCTATAGGCTCCTTATTAGTGCTCTAATCTAATATAATTTGATAATTTGATTAAGATTTTCATTTTAAAAAGTTTGAATTTGAATAGCTTTCGGTCAGTCATTTTAAAATCAAGTTTTAGTAAAAAAAGTTGTACGAGAACTTTTTGCTGTAGATTTGCTTTTGTACTTTTGTAGAACCCTGTAGATTTGCTTTTGTACTTTTGTAAAACCCTGTAGATTTGCTTAATGCTTAAAGTGGGTACAGAATGAAAAATGGAGTTCAGTTCAGTTTATCAGTTCAGTTTATCTGTGATTTCTGACCGATAAACAAGTCTAGTAAAGAAGTGGAGTAAGCTTTAAAAACTACTGTAGGCTTTAAACTACTGTAGGCATTGAAATTCCTTTCTTTTGTGTGCTAGACGCTGTAAGGAGTAGCACACGAGTAAACCGTGGTTTTCCGTTTTCATTTTGATAATGACGTTTTGATGTAAAAAAAAAAACGAGCAGAATTTGCATATAACAATTAAAATTTATTTAGCCCTCGAACATCTTCCTTGCCACGACGACGGCTGGACACAAAAAGCTGAAGTTGGGCGATTTCGGGCTCGCTTGCTATGATACGCTGCTTGAGGAGTGCTTCTCGGGGCTACAGGTGCGGCTTTTTTTGAGCAATATATAAATATGAGCTTTAGTTTTTTGAGTGCATAGATTTCTTTTCTTAGATGATGCGACCGGAAAATCTGCACGAGCACTCGGTGGGCGTCGGCACAGCACTCTACGCGGCACCCGAGCAAATGACAACGAGAGAGTACGGGGTGGCGGTTGGTTTTTTTGTTTTTTTGCCCATTCAGCCTATAGGGCATAAAAAAAGAGATGATTTTTCTTGTTTAATGCACTTTCTAAAAGGCAATTTTCTAAAAAAACGACCGTAATCAGGTCGCCAGTTTTCAATTTTCATTTTTCGACCATCTTGACTAAGCTTTGTGCTTGTTTTGTTTATTGAATGTGATCAAAATTGGGCTATTTAAATGAAAACCGGTGATTTGACTACAATATATTCGTCGAAAATAGGTGTCTTTTAGAAAACGGATTAACCAAGAAGAACAAGAGCACTACTTTCTAGTCAAAACTCAGATTTGCTACTGGGAAAACTACTTGGCGGGATGATTTTTCAAAGCTAATTCACCTTATTAACCACGTTCTTTTCAGGCGGACGTCTACAGCTGCGCGCTGGTGATCATCGAGATGTTTGGCGTTTTTCACACCGACATGCAACGGGTGACCAACTTGGAGAAATCCCGGAGAGGACGCATTCCCGACTACGTTTTCGCCGTCTCGCCGGAATTGGTGAATCAGTGATAATTGGGATAATTGCGATAATTCTCTGCCTCTTTAGCACAAGCTTCTCGTGCCGATGTTGTTGTCGATGGCCGACGCGCGTCCCTATGCAAACGAGATTGTTCGCCGCATCGCGCAACTCGAGAGTCAAGGTCGGGTTTTGGAGTTACGCAGGTTTTGGAGTTCATTGGAGCTACACGCTCGGGCAATCTGTTTTCTAAAGGACATCAAGATTTTACCGGAAGCTAACCGGTTAGCTTTCATTTGATAACCCAATTTTTGTATGATTAACTGAATCTTGTGATCCCTTATCGAATTTGAGCAAAATTGAGCTAATTAGAGGGGAAACTGGCGGTTTGGTTACGGGTGGATAGGGTAGGTAGGTAGGGTAGGTAGGGTAGTACCTTTTAGAAAATGAGGTTACGGTAGTTTTGGGTGTTTGCCGTAGCTGGAATTATTTTTTTGAACAACTTTACACACCATTTTCTTTCAGCTCCCCATCTCGAGACCGACGCCGAGTGTATTAAACGGTTGCAAGAAGAGGTAAGAAGAGGTTTTGAGAGAGTGTTGCTTTTCAAATTAAAAAAAGAAATGAAAACGATGCTATTTGGATTTACGGAATACTCCGGACAACGCCAATTTAACTAATTTAACCAATCTAGGCATTGTTTGTTTTTTTTGGTACTATTAGACTCGGATCGTCGATTTCTATAAAACTATCCGTAAAGCAGTTGGTTTTTGATCCCTAGAGGTAAAAGGGTTGAACTAGACGGGTTGAATCGAATAGATCACCCGCACACTCCTGTTTGAGGTATATTTTAGTTTTAGAACCGTTTCCCAAGCACTAACTCTTGAAACTTTTCATCTCTTTCAGACTCTTCATCATTTCTTTCAGATCATCGAACTCTGCTCGCGTCTCGACGAGAAAGAGCACCGAATTGTCGAGCTGGAGATGAAACTAAAGCTGAAAAACGGGCGATTCCGAGAGGCGCCTTGGTGAAGGAAAATGGAAAGGAAAAACTTGCTCATTTCTCTCCTTTTTGACGGGTACTCATTATTGTCATTGTTGTTACCATTATTGTCATTGTTGTCGCCATTATTGTCATTGTTGTTACCATTATTGTTATTGCTTATTTTTTTACTACTTTTATTGTCTATTGTATCTGATCTATTGTGTATATGTGTATAGGAGAAATTTAGGATAGGATAAAATATTAATATCGCGGATTTTGTTATTATATGTATTTGTCCACAGGCGCAAAATGTACTTTTACGGGTGTGGATATAGAATGTGTAAAAGTGAAATGTAAAAAAATGTAGGCAATCTTTCCCCCAGCGGCTCTTGCCAGCCAGTTTGCACCCGTTTCCCATCAACATTTTATTTTGCCGAACACGAAAAATCAAAAATCAAAGCTATTGATCTATCACAGGAGAATAAGTGTTTTTAAGTGAGCACTGGGGAGAAGGCGATGAAAGGCGGGACGAGAAGAGGAGAGACACATCAACTGCCGGCTCGCATCGAGAGGAGACGACTGGTGGCGGGTGCCTAAACGATGGACAGTGCTGGCTAAAACGGTATCTACTCTCACTAGCTTTGGGCTGAGGTAGGGGCTTATTCAAGTTTCGATAGACAGAGTCGGCAAAACAGCCAAATTTCTCAGGTCAATCCAAAGCCACTCAACTTAGTTTGCAGGATTTTTCCACGGCCAAGCTAAGGCCAAGGCTTTGGGCTAAATCTAACGGTAAACTCGGGGTGTGATTTTTGAAATCCCATACAAAACTTTGCACGCTTATAACTTTTGACACGATGCTCCTTAGCAGAAATGGAAAGCAGATTCGGAATCAGCGTGAAATTCTGCGTCGAATGGTCGTATGGCTCATGTCATTTGACCGGCACACTCAATTGATTTTCCCTTGCAAGTTTACTCGCAAATAAATTTGATCTCCGAGGTGTAAACACCCCTCCCCCCTAGTTGAGGGCATCCCGAAACTGCTTTCAAATCCGATTTCTTATAAGCCGTTTTCGAGATCTACCTTAAAAACTTTAATAGAACGGCCGCCTATAGGAGAGTCGCATCGCAGAGTCTAAGTTTACCCTCAAGCAAACGCTCATATCTCGACACCAGTACGTTTGTTTCTGTGCGTTTCCGTATCAAATTAAAGTAGAGAGAATGGGTGATTTTTTTGAGATATAACACATATTTTTTAGCAGTAAGCAGCGCTTAGAAAAAAAATGATTGAAAAGTGGCAAAAAAAGCCGAGCCGCAAAACTCGAGAACAGCGCGTGATAAACTCTAGTTTACTCCCAGCAATTGCACTTTTTTTCAATTCCAATCCAATCTCTCAAACCTGTGCTCCATCTCCGGGAGTTCCCTCTTGATTCTGAGACGATTTCTTCGACGGATACGCCGGTGTCGGTGTCCCTGCCTCTGCCTCTTCCACTTCCACTTCCACGTCCACGTAGTCGTTGTCCCAGTCATACGGATCGAGTAAACCACGCGGGCGGTACATGTCCTGAAAAGCAGAAAAATGAATGATCTAGAATGGATATCAACGCACAAAAAGGCATTTCTGCAGCACGTCGTAATCCGGCACATCGTCGCCCTGCAACGAGTTGATCATTCGCGCGAAATTCATGAACGGCTCGCCGACAATCTTCTAAAGCATTGAGATATTGGGGTATTTTGGAATACTTTCAGATTTAAAGCTTATTTTAGCTCCAATACCAGTCTATGCTAGGTTAAAAGCACTAAAAGATTCAATTTTAACAGGATAAGTGAATTTAATGTCCAAGCAAGCAACCACGAAGATAAAATTGGAATCCGGTTGGCTTATTTGAAAGCTAGCCTAATACCAGAGCCAGTTTTGACTCTAAAAGTTCAGTGTAAGTCAGTCAAAACCAAGTTTAACCTTATTTACAAGCCGGTTCAATATCGGAGGCTGTTTGCACGGCTCAAGATCAATTTCAAAGCCAGTTTTGGTCTAAAAGTCTATTGCAAACAAGCTCAAAGACAGCTTCAGTTTTGGCTTACAATAATTTTAATCCCAAAAACCCCACCGCAAATCCCAAAAAGTTCAACGTGAAAAGCTCCTCTTTGGCGCGTCGAATTTCCCTCGATTGGCTCTTGTTCTTCCAGGGCAAGTTCGAGATCAACTAGGAGAATTTGGGGTAAATGAGCAAGAAAAAAAACCCTTAAACCAGTTCCAATCCCGTGTACATCATCGAAACGAGATCATCGCACGGCGCTTGCTCTTGATGGTGATGCACTCGGAGGGATACGTAGCGCACGGTGCCACTAGAAAAGGTTTAGATAAGGTTTAGGATAAAATGCCTGACCGAAATCCGCAATTCTTTCTCGATGGTCTCAGCGTTCCGTCCTCGTGCAAGTAGCGGCGAACGAGTCCGAAGTCGAGCAAAACCAAGCGGTGTTGCGAGTGCGGCGTCACCCCAAAGCACATATTTCCCGGCTTCACATCACTAAAAAGAACGATAATGAAAGGGATGAATTTATAGAAAATGCTATCATTTTCCTAGATTTTATCTAGCCATTTAACCAGATTCTTTAAGCCATGACTCAAAGCAAAAACCAGCTCTGCTTCGATGTTTAAACCTGACTCCAGTTTCTGTTCCAACCAGCACTGGTCCTAAGATCAGATTTCCAGAAGCCAGATTCGCAGAGCTAGGCTGCTACTCATGATAATGGCTTTTGGCCTGGTCTGGCCTGGTTTTTGACCTTGCAAATGTTGTAGGCCATTCCATTAGGCCAAGTCTGGAATCAATATCGTGCCACAAGGATTATTGCCAGTGCGTGGCCAGCACTAAAAACAGCTTTTGTTCTGTAAGCAGTCCTGTAAGCAGTAGTGAATCCTGCTGATAAAGGATACCCTGGAGTTGTTCTTGCTAGAAAAACAAGCTTCATTTATCCTTTTTCCGAGTATCTCAGCATAAACCACACTAAGCTCACCGATGCACGTATCCAGCCTTGTGTATCTCGCGAAGCGCGGCGATTCCCTGCACGAGCACTCTTCCAACGGTGTGCCGCGAGAGTCGTTGCTGTGGCGAGGCGCGTTTCAACTCGCTCAAATTTATCGACAACAACTAAACGAAGAAATTATTAGGTTAAATTGATGAATCTGTTCTGAAAACCGGTTTTTTTTCGTTGTTAGATTTTCTAAAATCATGTTAGAAGTATAAAAAGAAATAGAAATAGAAATAGAAATAGAAAATTAGACGTCGCTCGAAAATCCTTGTGATCTCCCTTTGCCAGTCCTTCTTGCCTTCCGGTCCTTCCAAACCTTCCAGTCCTTTCAAAGTTGAGGGCCGAATTTCGCTCAGCACTCTACTCATTTGTAGGATTTTTTAGAGCGATCTTGTCAAAGTCTCTTTGAGATTGAATTTTGTTATGTTAATGAACGAAATTTCACATGCTCTCTACGCAATTTAAGTGTAGAAATTCTTGAGAAATGTCACTAATGCCATCAAAACTCATTGAATATCGCCTTTTTTCAGTTGAACACGGCAGAGAAGCCAGAATCCACTAAAGAACAAGAAAATCTTATTTTTTGTAAAGTTTATCGCTTTAAAGTTAAAGTTTTACTTTTAAATTTCATAAGTAAATATGATTAATTTCAATTAATCTTTAAGATCATTAAAATCTTAAAGACTTTTTATCAAAAAAATGAAACTTTCAAAATCTCATTCAAAAGCGATACCCGGCTCTCAACTTTGAAAGGTTATATAAAAAAGTTGAAAGCTTGAATCGATTAGATAATGGGCACCGTTTTAGGAGATATGCTTAAGGCTCAGATCCAGAAAAATCAGAATAATTTGGTTCAATTTTGGCCAATCTAGGCCCTCTGAAGTGTGACGCTTGTGGGCCATCATGCGCTATTATTTTCCTTTAGCTGATCAAGACAACAACGTGCTACCTCTTTTGGCTTTAGCAGACGACGTAAATACGCAAATACTAGCATACTATCAGACGACGCAATACTATTGTTAATCTATGAAATTCGCTGCATATTTTAACAAAGTCCACATGGATTGGAGTTCATTTTTAAAAGTTTAAAAAAAATTTGTTGAAAGAAAGTGTCGAGCGCCTGATTTCTTATTTTTTTTTTATACTTTTAACATTATTTTAAAAACTATAACAGCAAAAAAAACTGGCTTTTAGAACATCAAACGCCAAAAACGCTAACTATTGTGATATTCAAACTCTCGCCAACTTGTAATATAATATAGTTGATCTTCTCGATGTGCCCCGATCCGATGATGTATGGCGCGTGGGGTTTACCCTTCAGCTCGCACAGCACCTGAATGAAACGAATGAGATGGTGTCAATGTTTTGGGGTAAGTTGGCTAGTAAACAAAATTGTGGTGAACAAAATTGTAGTAAACAAAATTGGCTAGCACTCCTACGGTAAATTTGCTCGAGAATTTGTAGTTAAAGTGTGCTCGGCTTAAGCTTGTTTTTGCTTGCTTAAGCCTGCACTTAAGCCTGCTTTTGCCTGCACTTAAGCTTGTTCCGGTTCTAAAGTTTGTTCCGGTTGTAATCTAAAAGATCTACTGCTTTTAGCTCTAAACGGAGCCGTTGATCGTCAATTTTTAAAGGCCACTCCGACTGCCAGGGCTTTACATGAATTCAGCCAATTCATTTAACAGGGCTATAGCTTTACATGAATTCAGCCAATTCTCGACCTCTTAACAACTCCTAGCTCCACTGATGAACCGGAACGTAAAGTTGAAGATCGTCAAATCGATCCTCAACTCTTCCCCCACCCTTTGCTCGAGCATCATCCTCTTCGCCACTCGATTCCGTCGCATTTTCGGCTCGACTTTGATGGCGACATCGGTTTTCGTGATCGTGTCCTTCGCAAAGTAAATCTCCCCGTAGCCGCCCATTCCAAGTAGACCCTGAAAAAGTAAAAGTGAAATAAATACAAGAGAATTTTAGAATGTAAGCGTAACTTAACCAAGGCTTAACCAATTTTAGACCATTTGCAATTAAAATCTCAGAAATTCTTAGTTTTAAGCTAATCTAAAGCTTTTACAAGTAAAATTTCATAGATTTTTAGTCTTTTACAGGTTAAAGCGCATAAATTCTTGGTTTTAAGCTAATCTAAAGCTTTTGCAAGTAAAAGTTTATGGATTTTTAATCTTTTACAGGTTAAAGCGCATAAATTCTGAAGCTAAAGCTAAAGCTTTTGTAAGTAAAATTTCATAGATTTTAAACCATTTGCAAGTAAACTCTCATGGATATTCAACTTTTTACAAGTTAAAGCGCATAAATTCTTAGTTTTAAGCTAAGCTAAAGCTTTTGCAAGTAAACTCTCATGGATATTCAACTTTTTACAAGTTAAAGCTTATTTATTCTTAGTTGTAAGCTAATCTAAAGCTTTTACAAGTAAAATTTCATAGATATTCAACTTTTTACAAGTTAAAGCTTATAAATTCTTGATTTTGAGCTAATCTAAAGCTTTTGTAAGTAAAATTTGATGGATTTTAAACCATTTACAAGTAAAATGTTGTGAATATTCAACTTTTTGCAAAGTTAAAGCTTATAAATTCTTAGTTTTAAGCTAAGCTAAAGCTTTTGCAAGTAAAATCTCATAAATATTCAACTTTTTACAGGTTAAAGCGCATAAATTCTTGGTTTTAAGCTAATCTAAAGCTTTTGCAAGTAAAAGTTTATAGATTTTTAATCTTTTACAGGTTAAAGCGCATAAATTCTTAGTTTTAAGCTAAGCTAAAGCTTTTGCAAGTAAAATCTCATAAATATTCAACTTTTTACAGGTTAAAGCGCATAAATTCTTAGTTTTAAGCTAATCTAAAGCTCTTGCAAGTAAACTCTCATAAATATTCAACTTTTTACAAGTTAAACCTTTCAAATTTAAACTGCTTTAAACTTTTATACAAATTCTAAGCTTCTAACACCTTTTTTTTAAACGTCTACAAGCTTTTTTTAAAGTAAAGAAAACAAGTTAAAGCTCTAACAAGTTTTGAATGAAAATGGATCAAACAACATAAGTTCATAAGTTTAAAGATTCCAAAAGCAAACCTTAATATTGTATCGCTTGAGAAAGTGCGAGTTGATCGCGAGAAGTTTCCCCTTTTCGGTGTGGCGGCGAATCCGCGGCAATAGTCGATGATTGAATTTGAGCGTCTCCGTTGTCACAATGTTGCTCGAGCGGTTGTTGCTGAAAAAGAGAAGAAATTGTTAAATTTATCACAGAAAAACGAATAAATCTAAAAGTTCTTAGAGTTTTAGAACTTTAAAACCTAGAAGTCGTCCTAGAAATGATCAATAAACCATAGGAAGCTGTTCTAAAGCTGTTTTAAGCTGTTATAAAGCTGTTTTAAGCTGTTTAAAGCTGTTTGAGCTGTTATAAAGCTGTTTTCAGCTGTTTGAGCTGCTTTAAGCTGTTATAAGCTGTTATAAGCTGTTATAAGCTGTTATAAGCTGTTTTAAGCTATTCTAAGCTGTTTTAAGTGTTCTAATTAGCTTGATTTTAGTACATTTAAACAATTGATACCCTTTTTTGTCTTGTTTGCTTTGTTTTTGCCGTGTTTTTAAGCTTTTATATGTCAAAAAAGCGTTTGGCACAAGTTTTAGTCAAAAATTCTTCAAAACAGCTTCAAAATAGCATAAAACAAGCTGTTATAAAGCTATTCTAAGCTGTGTTAAGTGTTATAAAGCTGTTATAAAGTTGTTCTAAAGCTGTTTAAGCTATTCTAAGCTGTTTAAGCTGTTGTAAGCTGTTTTAAGCGGGGGTGGGACAAATGCGACCTTTTTTTTGCGCGCACCTGGACATTTGCGCACCTTTTTTTGCTGGAAAAGGCCTTAGGAAAAGTGGTAGAGCTTCAAAAATGTTTTCATAGAAGGGAATCGTATGCGTAGATTCCGAATTTCGACAAATCAGACCTCGCTGACACGTCAAATTTGGGCTAAAAGGCAAAAACGACGCAACTTAACGCTTTTCCGCAATTTTTGCCTTTAAGCCCAAATTTGACGTGTCAGCGAGGTCTTATTTGTCGAAATTCAGAATCTACGCATACGATTCCCTTATATGGAAATATTTTCGAAGCTCTACGGCCTTGCCTAAGGCCTTTTCCAGCAAAAAAAGGTCGCATTTGTCCCACCCCCGTTATAAAGCTGTTTTAAGCTGTTAGAAGCTATTATAAAGCTGTTTTAAGCTATTATAAAGCTGTTTTAAGCTATTCTAAGCTGTTTTAAGCTATTTTAAGCTGTTTTGAAGAATTTTTGACTAAAACTTGTGCCAAACCGCTTTTTAGACATATAAAAGCTTAAAAACAAGGCAAAAATAAGGTAAAAACAAAGCAAACAAGACAAAAAAGGGTGTCAATTGTTTAAATATACTAAAATCAATCAAATTTTTAAACCACATCAACCATGAACCAAAGTTAAAAGTTTTAAGCTAAAAGCTAAAATCACTCACCTAACATCTTGTTCTGGCGCTTCGTTGACCATTGTTTCCATTGTTTTCGATTATTGTTGAAGAAGCAAAAAAAAAGAGAGAAAAGACGAGCTGCGAGAAGTCCCAAACAGAAATGAGCATAAATTTTGCTGGCGAAAAGATTTTATGAAAAATTTAAATGCAAATTTACAAAAACTAGACGTTAATTGGATTTTATGTCTCAAATTCTTCGACAATTCATAAATTTGCATTTAAATTTTTTAATAAATTTGCCTCTTTCTCTTGCTTTTCTTTCTCATTTTTTTCTTTTTTTTTTCCTTTTTTACTTTTTCTTTTCTTTCTTTCTTTTTTTCTTTTCTTTTCTCTTTCTTTTCTTTCTTTTCTTTTTCTTTCTTTTTCTTTCTTTCTTTTCTTTCTTTTCTTTCTTTTTCTTTCTCTTTTTTCAGGGTAGGCTAGTTTCCGCAATTTTTTTCCCCAACAGGGTCATTTGCGCAACTCGCCATAACTTTTTTCTAAGTTGGCCAATCTCTATGATTTTGGTTTCATTTTGTAGATCTCAATAAGTACAACAAAATAACACCAAAAGCATAAAGATTGGCCCACTTAGAAGAAAGTATTATTGGTCTATTGCTATTGGTCTATTGCTTTTGTCAGATTAATTGAAATTATTGTTTTACGCGATAAATTTTGTTTTTCTCTTTGAAATGCGAAAGAAATCTGGGGTAGGCTAATTTCCGCCATTTTTTTTTGCGCAACTGGATCTTTTGCGCAACTTTCACTGATCACATCAGGACCATCTCCCCTCCGACTCTTTTGACCAATAACTTTCTTCTAAGTGGGCCAATCTTTATGCTTTTGGTTTCATTTTGTTGCACTTATTGAGATCTACAAAATGAAACCAAAAGCATAAAGATTGATCGACTTAGAAAAAAGTTATGGCAAGCTACGCAAACGACCCAGTTGCGTAAAAAAAATTGCGGAAACTAGCCTACCCCTTCTTTTTCTTTCTTTTCTTTCTCTTTCTTTCTTTTCTTTCTCTTTTTTCTTTCCTTTCCTTTCTCTTTTTTCTTTTCTTTCCAGTTTCCCCATGTTTTTCCCAATTTCTCTTTTTTTAAGCTTTTTGCTCTTTTTAAAAAACTTTCGGTGTTTTTGAGATCTTAATTACGATCCACTACACTTTACACCTCTTTACAACCCCATTTTGTCTCCGTTTTACACCAGCAGTTCCACATTTTCACTCAAAATTTGACGTCATACAAGAGGAAAAGCACTATTCAGCTATGAATTTTCTAGATTTTCTAGATTTTCCGTTTTTCCGTTTTTCCGTTTTTCTCTCAGTTTCAGTGAATTAAATCGAATTTTCATATTTTCAGACTCAAAACTAGTGATGGCCAGCCCGCGAACGCGCCGCGTTTTAAAAGATTTGCGACCGATCGACGAAAATAATGTAAGTTTTTTTGAAATGTATGGTTTTTTTAAATGTATGGTTTTTTAAAAAAAATGTATGGTTTTTTTAAAAAAATGTATGGTTTTTTTAAAAAAATGTATGGTTTTTTGAAATTCTACGTGTAAAATGTTGATGTTTTGTCGTTTCTTAGGCTTTTAAAAATGATTTTGAGGCGAAATGTTTTCACATATGACAATAGCCGACAGTTTTCAATTCACCAATCCAATATTCCAGTATTTACGATATATAACATAGAAAGTTCGAAAAGAAATTTGCTATGAAAATTGTTTTAAAATCACTCGTTTCAACGTTTCAATGTTTTCAATGCGAAATTTCTATTCAAAACAATAATTTTAAAGCTTCCCTTGGTCGTTCAGTGCTTTAAAAGTTGATTTTCTATGTTATATAGCGTAAATACTGGAATATTGGATTGGTGAATTGAGAACTGCCGGCTATTGTCATATGTGAAAGTTTGAGCACTTTCTTCAAAAGAAACCCATTTTGGTGTCAATGAAAAAGTTGTAGAGAATCAAAAAAAGCGATCGTCAGCATCAGACATATCTACCCTACCCTGACCCTGGCTTGACCTCGGTCTAGCTTTGGCCCAAGCTCTATCTAAACCGTTTTTCCATCAATCTGGATGTCACTCTAGGTTTTGGGAATAAGATTCGAACTTAAAAAGCTAAGCTTAGAATCAGGCTTTTCCACCCTACCCCGACCCTGGCTTGATCTCGGTCTGGCTTTGCCCCAAGCCCTATCTCAACCGTTTTTCCATCAATCTGGATGTCACTCTAGGTTTTGGGAATAAGATTTGAAGTTAAAAATCGATCATCAGCATCAGGAATATCTACCCTACCCTGACCCTGACTTGATCCTGGTTCTGGTCTGCTCAATGTCAAAAATTTTCAGCTAATCCTTCGATCTGGATGTCACTAGGGCCAATGGTTGTTAGGAAACGGGTCTTTCTTAAAAAAAAAAATCAAATCTTAAACTATTGGGTTGGTGAATTGAAAACTGCGGGCTATTGTCATATGTGACAGTTGGAGCACTTTCTTCAAAAGAAACCCATTTTGGTGTCAATGAAAAAGTTGTAGAGAATCAAAAATGAAGCTTGTATCCAAATTTAAGCTTATATGCAAATTTTCAGAACGATTCAAAAACTGGTTTTCAAGAAATGCTAAATTTACGAATTTTCACAAAACTTGCATTTTAAGCGAAACTACTAGCCATGAGACTTTGCTAGCCTTTCCTTGGGCTACTACTAGCCTTGGGATGAAACTTTGCTAAAGCTAAGCAATGCCTGCCTGATTATCATTAAAAGTTTATAAAAAGCTATGGTTTACCCTTTGATGAAAAAAAGCTATGGTTTACCCTTTGATGAAAAATCTGGTGATCTTCATCAAAGTCCAAATCGATTGATTGCAAACAAAAGCTTCACCCAACCATTAGATCGGGAGTCATTAGACTTTACTAGCTCGGGATGAGTCATTAGACTTTACTAGCCATTAGACTTTACTAGCCATTAGACTTTACTAGCTATTAGACTTTACTAGCCATTAGGCTTTACTAGCCACTAGCTTTTACTAGCTATTAGACTTTACTAGCCATTAGATTGGGATGAAACTTTGCTAAAGCTAAGCAATGCCTGCCTGATTATCATTAAAAGTTTATAAAAAGCTATGGTTTACCCTTTGATGAAACAAAAAAAACAAAAAGTGTTATCAAGAATTTGTACTCAACCCTAATATTAACTGTAGTATTTTGTATTATTTACGGTATACATTTTAGTATTGTTTCGAGTGTGGTGCTCAGAATCCGCAATGGGTTTCCGTCTCGTACGGCATCTGGATTTGCCTTGAGTGCTCCGGTCTGCACAGGGGATTAGGCGTACATTTGAGGTGAGTTTTTTTTGATTACGGAAAATTGAAATCAGCAATCAGCACTAAGCAAAAAGCGAGACTCGAATTCATTTTTCTTTATTTAAACGTCTAAACCTAAACCTAAGCCATTAAGTTAAGTTAAGCTTTTGTGCTTTTTGCTGTTCGTGCTTTTGCTGTTTATCCTCCTCATGGATAAATTCATTTATTCATTTATTTATTTCGTTCATTTTCACGTTAAAATTTTTGTTTTGTCGACGATTTGTCAACTTTTATATATTAAACGACAAAAATAATATAAAATTCGGTTTTTTAGACTGGAAAAGTGATTGGGTGAAGGGACAAATAGCAAAAGTTTTGCTTTTCTTTTGGATCTGACTTTGAAAATGTCATTTTGGAGTTTATTTCAGGTTTTCGCGGGTTTTCAGCTAGATTTTAGTGCCAGTTAGAGTACGTAAAGCTACTTAAAGCTACTAGTTCGAGTACGCAAAGCTCCTATAGGCACGTTTTTACTAGGAGTAGCTGAATGTGCAAAAAAAATGATCTTCTTTTCAGTTTCGTCCGTTCGGTCACTATGGATAAGTGGAAAGACAGTGAGCTGGCAAAGATGAAGGTGAAAATTGCGATTTTTGGATTATTCTAATCTCTATTTAGGCTGGTGGCAATCAGAAATTCCGAGAATTCCTTGAAGCTCAACCGGATTTTGATCCGAATTGGAATTTACAACAAAAGTACAATAGTAGAGCCGCCGCTTTGTTCAGAGACAAGGTAAAACATTTGTTTGTTTTGTTAAAAGTTGTATTTTAAGTCAAAAAAAAATACAATTGTTTTTACGGGTTTTCACAGAAATTTAAATCATAAAGCTATTTGATTTGATCTAAAGCTGTTTTATTTGGTTTAAGGCTATTTGATTTGGCTTAAAACCATTTTATTTGACCTAAAACCATTTTATATGGCTTAAAACCATTGACTTAAAGCCATTTGATTTGGCTTAAAGCCATTTTATTTGGTTTAAAGCCATTTTATTTGGTTTAAAGCCATTTTATTTGACTTAAAGCCATTTTATAGGGCTTAAAGCCATTTTATTTGGTTTAAAGCCATTCGATTTGACTTAAAGCCATTTTATTTGGTTTAAAGCCATTTTATTTGGCTTTAAGTCAAATCAAATGGTTTTAAGTCAAAGCTAAGCCTAAGCCATTTTATTCGGCCATAAATCCATTGTTAACTGTCATCAATTTTCCCATTTTCTAGGTTTCTTGTGAATCCGAGGGCAAAGATTGGTCAATCGCGACATCGTCGGCGAAAAATTTCACTCCAAACGCTCTCTCATTATCAAGCAGTGCCCGATCGTTGGGTGGAGGCAGTTCGGGTAGATTTTTCTTTGACGATTTTCAGTTGTAACTAGCTTGTAAAACTTGTAAAACTTGTTTTATCGCTAATGTTTACTGCTTAGGCTCAAAACCCTCGTCGCAAAGCAGTTTGGGACAATATTTTGGCGGTGGATCATCAGCAAATGCCTATCAATCGTCACAACAAAGCACAAATGACTCGTATGCAAGCGGTGGAACATTTCAGGGGTAGGCTTTAGTTATGTAGATAACAATTAGCAAAATCCCATCGTTTTCTAGCTTTTTATTATGGTGAAAGCTTAAAAACGATTATTCATGCCATTTTTGCAAAATACAATGCACCAAAACCATTTCAAAAAAGGCAAAAAACCAACTTTTGTCATTTTCTTGACTTTTAGCTTGCTCGAAAAACCAAAAAAGGTCAGAATTGACTTTTTGTTAATCTAGCTTAGCTTGGCTTGACAAGATTGGATTTCAAAGTTTAAATTAAGTCAAAGATATTCAATTTAGTCGAATACTTTTAGTTAGTCTAATACTTTTAGTTAATCTAATATTTTTAATTAGTCTAATACTTTTAATCCAGAATTCTATAGGATTATAGTTTAAGAATGACTGAATAACTTTTGTTCTAATCCTTCAAATCTTATGCTTTTTTTTTCAGAAACGATCGCTATCAGGGCTTCGGAAATACAGCATCGACGCCTAACTCGCAAAATGCCGTCAATTTTCAGGACTCCGAATTTCTCACCGGTGCGATGAGTGGATTGACAATGGTTTGTTTGATAGAATTTTACTTTTTTGATAGTTGATAGAATTTTACATGTCAATTGAACTGTAAATGAGTTGTAAACAAGTTACGAGAGTTTTTGATTGTCATTTAGTTGAATGCTCTTTTGAAAGCTACAGTAAATTTCATTGTAGATAAGATTTTATAGATAATTTTTATGCAAATATAAAGCTAATTATGTTCAATTTAGTTTTTAATACCTTTCAGTACTAGTTTTAAACAATAATTTTCGTTTCAGGGCTGGTCAATGCTTCGATCGGGTGCTCAACAAGCCGCATCGGTTGCCAAGGATTTGGGAAGTCAAGCCGCGCAGAAAGCTCAAGAGATTGGCGGAGATATGGTTAGTTTTAGAGTTTAGTGATAGCTTTAGACAAACTACAAACTACAAACGCTTCTAGCTTGCTTCAAAGCTTCCGAATTGACAAGATCTATAGCTCAAAAATAGAGAATCTTGAGAGCTTTTGAATGCACTAAAGTATGCCGAAAAATATAAATGCTAAAGAAAGTTACAGTGTTTTGTAACCTGACCGAGCGTACTCTCGCGTAGTCGAAGCGATCGAGTCAGAACTACAAACCACTGTAACTTTCTTTAGCATTGATATTTTTGGGTGTGCTTTAGCGCATTCGAAAACTCTTGAGATTCTCTATTTTTTGAGCTATAGATCTTGTCAATTCGGAAGCTTTGAAGCGAGTTAAAAGCGTTTATAGTGTGATAGTTTGTCATTTTTTGTAGTTTATACAGGGTGATCGAAAAGTTCCCGCGCACTTTGCGAAAGAAGCTCCAATTTTCAGCTAAAATCCAAATCGAAATTCGACTTACTATATAGTATTTTGAAGCTGAAATTCTGGGCAGCATTTCTACACCTGATCAGAGCTACCTAGCTCTCCAAAGAAGCATTGTAGGGCGCTAGAGGCAAACTGTCATGGCGCTCACCCCATTTGAACCTGTTTTCAATTGAAAATCTCCTCTTCAAAAAGCTTTTTTAAATTTACATTTTTGTTTTAGGTAAAAGTTCAATTGTTATTTTAAAAGAATAAGATCTCTCGTCGAAACAAAAAACGTAAAATAGTCTTCAAAAACGTGCGAAACTGTGTTTGTCTCATGAGCGGTTTGCCTTGAATTCAGTCTCTCTTCTTGGCTTCTTGAAAAGTCTGGAAATCTCGAATTCGAGTGATTTACTTATAGAAATCTTCGTCAGAATTTCACCTTCAAAATACTAGATAAAACACGGCAAATTTTGTTTCAGCTTTCATGTCGAAAATCAATCATTTACAAGTGTGCTGGGGACTTTTTTTTGATCATCCTGTAGTGCCCATGTCTACTTTAGACTGATAATCCTTTTTTTTTTCCCTTTCCAGGGTCAAGCCAGCGGCGGTGCCTCGGGTCTCCTATCTGGTGTTGCGACGAAAGCGACGGAAATTGGTGGAAAAACTTGGGGCGGAATTTCGAGCTTCGTCAAATCGTCATCGATCCAGGGATTGGCGAATATTCTACCAAAAACGTGAGTTAATTTTGGGTACTTGTAAATGGAGTCAAAAGCCGACGATCCGATACTAATTGATTGTTAATGTTATTGTTAATGTTATTTCTTCATCCAAGTGAATACTGATATCTCTGCATTTTTTTGTTAAAGAAAATTCGAAACACTCATCGGTCTAGAGCCGAAAAATGAAAATGAAATTAGTATTGCACCGGAATTTGAGCATAATATCTATGAAAACTTGACTGAATAGCTCTTAAAAGCTCTACCAATTGCTCATAAGGTATTTTTCTTGAAAAAATTTCCCTAAACTAATAAGATTTCCAAATTTTTAAGTGAAATTTAGTCGTCATTCATTCATTCATTTAGTCGTCATTGATTCATTTAGTCGTCATTCATTCAAAACCAAATAGGAATAGGAATAGGAACAGAATAGGAAGAAAGGAAAAGCATGAAAATTTGACATTTTAAACCCCTTTTTTTTTTTCTTACTCTTTCTTTTTTAGTGGCTACGAGGATATGAACTCGCCAAATGGGGGTGGAAATTTTGGACAATCATCAGGACAAAATTATGGGTAATCCAGTGAAAATTGATTTGTTTAAAGGCATTTTCTTTTAGATTCAACGACGTTCCCAACAATGATGCCCAACAAAACTTTGGAAAAATGCAGAAAAATGAGGATTTTGAAGGTAAAAAAAAATGTTTTTAACCCTAGAAATGCTTGAATTTTCTCTAGATGAAAGCGTCAAAACGAAGCCGAAAACGGGGAAAGCTACGAAAGGGAAACCGGTGGCGGCAAAGGTTTGTGGAGATTAGATGGAGTGGAGTACCTAGGTTAACCAAAATCAAGACCTGCCTTCTGAACTTGTCAATATAGAATACTGGATTCCTATAGAATCCTATAGAATCCTATAGAATTCTATAGAATCCTATAGAATCCCATAGAATCCTATAGAATCCCATAGAATCCCATAGAATCCTATAGAACCCCATAGAATTCTATAGAATACTGGATTAAAAGTATTAGACTAACAAAATTGAATATCTTTGGCTTAATTTGAACTTTGAGATTCGATCTTGTCAAGCCAAGGTAAATCTAGATTAACAAAAAGAGTCAATTCTGACCTTTTTTTTTGGCTTTTCGAGAATAGGGAAAGGTGTAACAATGGCCTCAAATAATAAATCTTCTTTAGAAAGACCCATCTTCATTGATCGATTTCGAGTCACCAAAAGAGGAAGAGCCCGCGCAGAGCACGATTGACGCGGTGAGTTTTTGGGAGATTTTTGACCTTAGTGCCTTGAACTATTGGGTTGGGGAGTGTGAAATGGCAGAGTCTTCAGACAAACTTTTGAAAAAAAACAAAACCATAACTTTTTCTCAAATTTTTTCCCTAATAACAATTGAAGTTTTGTTGATTATATGTCAAAATTGTATGCCGATTTGATGCACAGTTTTTGGAGAAATGGGGATGTGCAGCATATGCTAAAGCTCGATTTTTGCCTAATTTTCCCCTAAAATCAAGACTGCTAAAAGTTTGCAACAAATCGCTAGATTCAAAAAATCGTTTGAGTTAATATGGTTTGTACATTGTTAACCAATTAACAAAAATTGTTAACCAAAATAAAAATAAACATAAAATTCAAATTTTCATTAACAAAAAATTTTCGAATAAATTCGAATAAAAACTTTTCACTTTTTTTGAGCATACATGAGACCTATTTGAAGATAATATTCCCAGGACTTAGACACGTCTTTTTTAATCTCTAATTTTTATTATCGAACTTCAATGATTATCTTATAAAATAGCCGTTTTAACTGGATGCTAGTCGAGTATTTTTGTTAGAACCATCTTTAACTTTAAGTGATAATCAAAATCGATCTTTGGCACATTCATCTCTATTTGGCACATTCATCTTCATTTGGCACATTCATCTTCATTTGGCACATTCATCTTCATTTGGCACATTCATCTTCATTTGGCACATTCATCTTCATTTGGCACATTCATCTTCATTTGGCACATTCATCTTCATTTGGCACATTCATCTTCATTTGGCACATTCATCTTCATTTGGCACATACATCTCCATTTCTCCCAAAAACTATGCATCAAATCGGCATAAAATTTTGGCGTATAATCAACAAAACTTCAATTGTTATTAGAAAAAAATTTGAGAAAAAGTTATGGTTTAGTTTTTTTTCAAAAGTTTGTCCGAATACTCTACCATTTCATACTCCTCAACCCAATGGTGTCAGCACCTTATCTTGGGTACTTATTATTAGATACACTGGATACGCGCTACCTGGAACCTTGATTAGATCCATTCGATCGTACCTATGGGACGTACTTAATATCCACAGTATCAGTAACAGTAACAAGAGTAACTAACAAGATTTCATAAACTTATTTTAAAGTTAAAATAGAGTGCATTTGAGCGGTTAAACATTTAAAATAAAATGAAAACAAAAGAAAAAGGAATCGAACGGGAGCAAAAAATTGGATAGCTTGTTTCGGAAACAAGACGCTTACCCACTGCACCACCACAAGCTCACATTTCGAGACGGTGAAAGAAGTCTTATTTGGCCTCTAATTTGATCTCTAATTTGATCGCTAATTTGATCTCTAATTTGATCGCTAATTTGATCGCTAATTTGATCGCTAATTTGATCGCTAATTTGGTCTCTAATTTGATAGGAACTGCGTTTTAACCTCTAATTTGACCTCACCTCAAACTTGTTTGCGAGATTCGTCGCGTTTCCGAATCATTTTACAAAAACGGATAGCGGCATCGGAATCAGCATAGAATTCTGCGTCTTATGCTTTATGGCTTCATGTCATTTGACCACCATAGCCTTGTGATCTTCTCTTGTAAGTACTCGATGCCATAAGTTCAGTATTTAGGTCAATGCCATACACTTGAAAAGTTAAAAGTTGCTAATCAGAGACAGAATTTTCTTCGATTTAAATCCCTTATTCAATCCTCATTCTTTTAGTTCGAGAAATCGATCAATCGAAGCCCCCGCCCGGTCAAGCCAATCGCATCAACTACGACGACAACGACGACAGCGCCGAAGAAAGCACAAGAGAAGAAAAAAGATTGGGATGACGATGCATGGGATCTACTCAATCAGTAAGTGACTTTTTTTGCCTTATTTTTTTGTTTGTTCTTCAAGTATTTATGTGGTGTTTATCACTTTTAGCCGCAGCCACTTTTAGCCACAAAAAACTCTTTGTGTGATCTTTCTCTTTCATGTGCACTTTTGTTGTTTCAGCTGAGATTTTTACAAAACAAAAACAAAACAAATTCCATAGTCTTCTTTTCGTTTCTTTCCCTACACACTGTGATGCTTAGTATTATATGGAAATTTTAGCTATTTTAGCTATTTTAAATGCAAATTTTAGATACTTTTGACTCTTTCCGGATAGTTTAAAAGTTGTTTTCTAAAGATAGATAGTTTAAAAGTTGTTTTCTAAAATATGTGCCTCACCTTTCCCCCGAAAACTATCGTAATGGTTTTCTCGATGGTTTTATCGAATCTATTCACGAATTTTTATCGAATCTATTCATCGAATCTATCGAATCTTTCCACTTTTTGTATTCATTTTGATATTCTTTTTGGGGAAAACCGCATAGAAACAGACAAAAAAAGTGAATTGATTCGATAAAAATAGAGATAAGATTACGGTAGTTTTGGGAAAAAAGGGGAAGCATTTTTAGGAAACGAATTCTCAAATGAGTACCGTTTAGAATATTACTGTAGACTGTAGTTTGCTACTGTGGACTGTAGACTGTAGTATTTATAGACACTAGTATTTATAGACACTATAGTATAGACACTATAGTACCCCCCCTCAAATTACTGTATCCTTTTTTTTGGATTTTAAACACTGATTGGATTGATGTGAGTCAAAAGTACTAAAAGTCTTTAGAAATTATCGATTACCGCAAATACTGTAATGGTACCCAACCCCCATAATGACGGTGCGGAGTGTTGTGTAGTCTAGCTTTGGACGCGTTTTTCTCGACACTGGTTTATGCTACAATGCGCGCTTAGGTATCAAAAAATAGCTGAAATTCAGGGCTATTTTTTTGATACCAACAACGCATTTTTTGAAAGTACGGGTGCTTTGGAAAAAATGAAATACTAAAAAACTTTTGCGACTACGCGACTGTACGAGGGGGGGGGGGGGGGGGTACTATTACAGTATTTACGGTAGGTTCTCGTTTTTGTCCCCTCTCTCTTTTTCATATCTGTGAATAACGATTTTCTCTTTCTCTTTTTTATTTGTTTTTTCTTTTTCTTGCTTTGATAGTTCATTTTTAGACGCAATTTGCATAATTTCTGTCTGTAGTTTTTTTTGTTTTTTAGAAAATTTATATGCAAAACTTTTCAAATTCAGTTTTAACGTTTTAAAGTCGTCGTTTTTTCTCGTTTTTTCTGTTTATTTAATGTTTATTCTGTTGGGTGAATGATCCGTTTTAATGAAAAGTTTATTTAAATAAATAATAAATAAAAAAGGTGAATTTTTGAAAGGGTTCGGATAATTTCCGATCATTTCCTTTCTAATTTTTCTCGAATTCTTTGCCCCAAACCTCGTCGCGGACATTCTGGAGGAAAGCGGACACACGCGGGAATCTGAAAAATTAGCATATTATGCTAATTTGATTTGGAAATTGGACTTGATCTTGTCCAAATTATGAATGCTACAGTATCTGTGTAGGCTACAGTAGGCTACTGTAGGCTACCGTAGACTGCAGCAGGCTACCGTAGACTACAGTAGTCTATAGTAGTCTATAGTAGACTATAGTAGACTATAGTAGACTATAGTAGTCTACAGTAGTCCAACGCTGTGTACAGCCAGCTATAATAGTCTACAGTAGTCTACAGTAGTCCAACGCTGTTTACAGCTAGCTACAGTAATCTGATAATCAAATGCTCTCGATGGTGGTGTACTTTGTGCGCTCATGCGCGCTGTAAGCACAACCCTTCTGGTGCACAACCCTTCTGGTCAGTTCTACGTTTTCTTTGAACATTTACACCCACTTTTTGCCTTCTTTGAGAATCTGTTTCGTGTAGCACTCCAGCGGGATATAGGTGGTGACGGCAAAATGCGAGAAAACGGTGAGATCAGCCTAGATAATTTGAGAAATTTACATATTTAGAGAAACGACGAAAAACTAGATGACTACTGTAAGACCTGGCAGGACGTTGCGTAGTCGCTTTGAGCTTTAAAGCGCTCCGTTATTGTACAATTTGCGTTATGGGTGTCAAAAGATAGCCCTTGACTTCTGAGGGATTTTGAGTTTTGACTTTTGAGGGTTTTTTTTGACGAAAATAGAGCTTTTTGGATAGACTACGCGAAAATACGGTTTGTACGGAAAAAGACGCGAAAAGTCATGATTTCACCGCGTTTTCACACTCACCTCGGTGAATTTATCGCCGAAGAAAGTTTTATTCTCGCCGAGGAGATCCTCGAATGATTGGAGATCACGATGGAGAAGGTCTTTCATTTCTTCTCTCGAGAACAACCCCAAACCGATGCTAATGCGTTGTTTAACCTGAATTTGATGGAGGTGAAACGTTTGCTTAAAGCTTTGCCTTACAGCTTTGCCTTAAAGCTTTCCCTTACAGCTTTGTCTTACAGCTTTGTCTTACAGCTTTGTCTTACAGCTTTGCCTTAAAGCTTTGCCTTAAAGCTTTGCCTTACAGCTTTGTCTTACAGCTTTGCCTTACAGCTTTGCCTTAAAGCTTTGCCTTAAAGCTTTGCTTAAAGCTTTCCTAAATCTAAAACATTTAATTGCTCATAGTGTGCTTTGTGCTTTTCTAGATAAAGCTTTTCCAGATAAAGCTTTTTCAAATAAAGCTTTTCCAGGAAAAGTGTAAAAGCAAAAGTGCAAAAGCGCAAAAGTGCAATTTGCATATAGAAAATCGATGAATTTGCGTATAGAAATGAGCCTGAGAAATCGCAATCGATTGCGTATAATCGAGAAAATTTGATGATGATGATGAGGAAAAAGATTTTTTCGTTAATTTAACGATTTAACAAAATTTCCATAAACTCATTTCGTTGAACTCACCTTTCCTTTGAAAACTTTTGCAACAATTGGAACCAAGAATGGCTTGACGAGATTGAAAATCGGATTCTCGATCAGTGACGAGAGAAGAGAGACGAAAGCCGCCGGGTTCTCGTAGACTTTGAAATAGTTGATCGCGCTGGAAAGGTTTTCCAGTTTTTTTGGGGTCTTCAACGTAAAAAAAACCATTCTATAGAAAATTTCAAGCGATTTCACTCCAGAGTCCTTTGCACTAAGTCCAGAGACCTGGACTTAGTGCAAAGGCTAGCGGCTAGCGCTAAGTCTATTTGGGTTTGGGCTGAACCCCCATTTTCTGGATCTCAGCCAGTTCTCGGAGGCACACCGGCTTGGCGATGCTCATCCGCTCTCCATAGGTTAGGCTTAGGCTAGGCTTAGGCTTAGGTTAGGCTTAGGCTTAGGCTTAGGCTTAGGCTTAGGCTTAGGCTTAGGCTTAGGCTTAGGCTTAGGCTAAGCCGGATCAGATAAACTCGAGTCGGAGGAGTCGGAGTTGGATCAGGCAAACAAGAAGCAAAACAAATAAGGCCAGATTTAGGTGGTAGCTAGGTTTCGGATCATGCTTTAGCTTTAGACTCGACTCGTGTAGCTTTAGACTCGTGCTGGTTCTACTACTGTAGCTCGTTTCTGGCTTCAGACTAGGCTAAGGCTTAGGATTAAACTCCTTTAAGTATTAGAAATAAGGTCAAGCCTGGTCACGATCAGCTGTAGAAAGAACAGAAAGCTAGTTGAACTCACTGGAAAGTATGCGCTTCGACAGCTCGCTCGATCATTCGTCCAGTGGCCGCATCTCTGGCATTCTTGTAGTCCTAGAAATTCACATTTCGAGAAAAACGACAGTATAGTACAGTACAGTACGATACAGTACAGTACAGCACAGTACAGTACAGTCAAGTACCTGAACTTTGAAATACTCCTTGAGCTTGATCAGAATCAATTGCGAGTCGGCGATTTGGTGTCCATTAAGCTCGATGAATGGCAAAAGATTGTGTTTCGAGCGAGAGGACATCGTTGAGATTATCTCGTATTTGATCTTGTTCACGCGCATGAATGATTCGATCTGTAAATCAGGGAATGAATCAGGGTTTTTTTGAATTAACATCGTACCAGTAACCCTAATCGCGGCCCTACGCTAGTATAACCTTAATCTTGACCTTGGCATAACCTTGGCCTCAGTAAACGCGCGTCTACCCGGTCACCTAGAGCACTCGGCCGGCCACCTAGAGCACTCGTTAGGCCGGTAAGGGAGAAATTCGAGAGCACGCTAATTTCTTGGTGCTGAAAAGAGATAGAACAAAATTGCGTGGATTTTTGGGTCATCTGGAACGCATGCAAGAGTCTCTGAGGATTTTCGAGGAGAATGGAGGATTGCCGATTTTGTGACAACAGAGCTGGCTCAGTTTTAAGGCTTTAATCAAGTAATCTCCAAGAGTTTCTTTATCTCTTGATTGATCTGGATGTCACACTAGAAGATTTTAATATTGTTATCCAATTCTACAGTGTCCCACAGTATCCAATCCTACAGTGTCCCACGGATGACGCAGTGGTAGTGGTCTCGGTTCTGGGGCGAACGGCTCGAATCAGCTCGGGTCTAGGTCTAGGTCCTAGGTCCTAGGTCTAGGTCCGAGGTCTAGGTCGTAGGTCTAGGTCCTAGGTCCTAGGTCCGAATTTTGTTCGATCCAACCCAAAGAAAACCGACCTTTATGCAGAAAGGCGAGAAATTTGGGATCGTCGGCGACCGGGGGAATTGCACCAAATAGACCACATCTTTTTGCCAATCTTTCTTCAGCAATTCCGTTTCGCCTTTCTCGCCTGGAAATGAATTTCTCTTTTTTTTGAGCTCTTTTTCTCTTTTTGTCATTCACCCAAACCTTTCACTAATCCCTTGACCGTTTTAAACAAAAACGGCGTGATTTTGTACATCAGCATGACGAAAATCGTTTGCATGATGCTGGGAAATTGGAAATTGCAGAGACAGTCGAACATCTTTCGGCGATTTCGTTTTTATCGAACCCTGAGATTTGTATGAGGGAATAAAGGACAGAGAAAAGATCAAAGAAAATTTCAAAGAAAACTTGCAAGCAAAAATTGACAAAAGAAACTCCAGTAGCTGAGATTAGCTTCAGTAACAGAGATTAGCTTTAACGCCGGCCAGGATAAGGTTAGATCTCGGTATTAGGTCCTGTTCTGGGATTAGAAGCAGCCAAGTTCTGGGACTAGAAGCAGACAAGGGAAAGCTAAGAACTTCAAAGCAGACATCTGCGTTCAGACAGACAGCAGACGTTCAGACATCTGCGCATAGTGAAAAGCTATTTGAAAACAGATATACAAAAACAGATACCGTATTCTCTCTAACATTGTGTACAGGACATTACTACTGACTCTTTGGCTCAATGTGTCTCTACAATCTCCACAAAAATTGCCAGGTATACCTCCCCATTAGGAAAGTCGGTAAGTAGGTAAGTAGGGAAGTAGGTAAGTAAGAAAGTAGGAAAGTATTGATTGAAAAGGTTTGATGCATAGGAGAGAAATTGGGAGTTAAATTACCCATTTTATTTGAAATTTAAACTTAAACATAACTAGAATCAAGATAAAAAGAAAAAAAGCAAAAAAAGAAAAAGAAAACAAGAAAAAATAATAATCAATAATTTTCGAAATTTTCGAAACGAAAATTTTCGAGAAGGCATTTTTAGTCGGTTACAGGACTGGATCTTTTTCTCATTTCTAGATAGAGAAAACTTTTTGATCTTTTGGCTATGCCTTAGTTGGATGTCAGCTTAAATTTTAGCAAAGACAGATTTTTGATATAGATAATTTTCAAGAAGGCATTTTTAGTCGGTTACAGGACTGCCTACTTTTCTCGTTCTTTGATGAAGCAAAGCTTTTGATCTTTTGGCTATACCTTAGTTGGATATCATGTAAAAATTGCAATCGATCAGATTTCAGAAAATCGTTCACATTGTTAACAATGTCAAATCAAGGCAGTCAATGACAGGCAGTCAAAAATCCAATTTTGCAAAACAAAACAAAGCAAAGATTCTATTGTTTGAAAGTTGTTGTGTGCACTCCAGATAGCCGGGTAATGCCAATAAAACCGATAAAACTCGGATGGGTCGCTTAAAAACCGAAAAAAATTGATTCAATGCTCAATCTTGACGTGTTTTCGTCGATTTAATGACGAAAAAATGGGGGAAAAGAGGGAATTTCACAAGTCGAAACGGGTTAGTCAAGAGAAAAGCTTAAAAAAAGGGTTTGAAAGGGGGGAAATGGACCAAAGCCCGTATCAGCAAACAAAAAAGCAAAAAATTTCTTTTCTTTAAGGAAAATTTTGTAGTTTGTAGTTTTTCGGAGTCATTTTTTTTCGTTTTTTTGTTTTTTTTCTTTTTTTTCTTTTTTCAGCACAAAACTCCATTTTCTTGCATTTTCTTTCATTTTTTTTGTGATTTGTGCGTTTTGCTGACAAATTTCTGCTAAAATCGCTGAAATCGCTGAAATGAATTTCGTTTTCGATCGAGAAGTCCTTTGTTTTGAAATAGGTGATTTGAAAATGAAGAAAAAGGGATTAAATCGAATAAAGAGAAGGATTAAAATGATTAAAATGATTAAAACGATTAAATCCAAAAGGATTAAACGTGATTTTTCAAAAAAAAAAATTTTTTTGAGCGGACCCGAACTCGAACCCGAGACCGAACCTCAGCCCGCTCGCCTCAGAGTTCAGACCACTACCACTGCGCCATCCGTGCCATAGCGTAAAATTGGATAAAAATCTTGAAATTCAATAGTGTGACATCCAGATCGTATAAAAATTGACCGTTTGTTACTTGTTTCTGCTCGAATCCGAGCTGATTCGACCAGCTATCATCAGAGCCGAACTCGCCAACCCCTAAATACTATAAAATTAGATAAAAATCTAAAAATTCAATAGAGTGACATCCAGATCGTCTAAAAATTGATAGCATGCCACTTGTTTCGGCTCGAATCCGAGTTGATTCGACCAGCTATCATCCGAGCCGAACTCGTTAACCACTAAATACTGTAAAACTGAATAAAAATATTAAAATCTTCTAGTGTGACATCCAAATTGCCCAAAAGATGAAGAAAGTTTTGGGGATTGGTTGACTAAAGCCTTAAAACTGGCCCAGCTATTGCTGCGACAAAATCGAAAATCCTCCTTTTCCTCCTTTTCTGACAAAAATATTAAAATCTTCTAGTGTGACATCCAGATCGATCAAGGCATAAAGAAATTTTTGGGATATTACTTGATTAAAGCCTTAAAACTGAGCCAGCTCTGTTGTGACAAAATCGGAAATCCTCCTTTCTCCTCGAAAATCCTCAGAAACTCTTGCATGCGTTCCAGATGACCCAAAAATCGACGCAATTTTGTTAGATCTCTTTCCAGCACCAAGAAATTAGCGTGCTCTCGAATTTCTCCCTTACCGGCCTAACGAGTGCTCTAGATGGCACGCGTTTACCGCTGGCACCCAAAGAACACCCAAAATTCTCTGATTTACTTAAAAATTCAACTGGTTTCGAGAAGAAAATCGAAAAAAAGAAAAAAACTCGAAATCCCCTTTTTTTGAGATTTTTGACCAATCTGACGGAAATATTTTTCATTTTTTTTTTTTGGAAAACTAACAATTTTTTTCCTTTTTTCTCTCGCCAGTAAACATTGAGATTAAATCGAAAAAAAGAAAAAAAGAAATTTTTCAGAAAAATAGAGGCCGGAAATTTTCCGCGAAAAAAATCGATGTGAAAAATTGCGGAAATGATTTAACAATCCACAATTTCGCAATTTGGCGATTGTAAATTGTACATAAATTTTAAGGATTAAAATTGTAAGGATTAAAACGGATTAAATCCAAAAGGATTAAACGTGATTTTTCTAAAAAAAAAAATTTTTTTGGCCGGACCTGAACTCGAACCCGAGACCCAACCTCACCCCGTTCGCCTCAGAGCCGAGACCACTACCACTGCGCCATCTGTGCCATATTCTGGATCTGGAGAAAATTATCAAAATCTTCTAGTGTGACATCCAGATCAACGAAAAAAGGAAAAAATTTTTGGGTAGCACTTGATTGAAGCCTTAAAACTGAGCCAGCTCTGATAGAGTTGTTTGTAACAAGTCGAAAATTCTCCTTTTCGGGATAAAAATATTAAAATCTTCTAGTGTGACATCCAGATCGATCAAGAGATAAAGAAACTCTTGGGTATTACTTGATTAAAGTCCTAAAACTGAGCCAGCTCTGTTGTCCCCAAATCGAAAATGCTTCTTTCGGATAAAAATTGGATAAAAATATTAAAATCTTCTAGTGTGACATCCAGATCGATCAAGGCATAAAGAAATTTTTGGGAATTACTTGATTAAAGCCTTAGAACTGAGCCAGCTTTGTTGTCGCAAAATCGAAAGCCCTCTATTTCGGATAAAAACATCAAAATCTTCTAGTGTGACATCCAGATTGCCCAAAAGATGAAGAAAGTTTTGGATCTTGCTTCATTTATGCCTTAAAACTGGGCAGATCTGATCTCGCTCTGAATCAAAGTGGTTATTTGCGACAAAATCGAAAAGGCGTACAGTTTACATTTCGAAATTTGCATACATGGTACTTTTTTAAAGATAGCTTTATGATTTACGCTATTTCTCAAAAAACAACAATTTCGAGCGGCACCCGGGGTCGAACTCGAGCTGATTCGAGCCGTCCGCCCCAGTACCGAGACCACTACCACTGCGCCATCCGTGCGACACTGTAAAATTGGATAAAAATATTGAAATCTAGTTGTGTGACATCCAGATCGACAAAAGCATGAAGAAATTTTTGGAGATTACTTGATTAAAGGCTTAAAACTGGGCCAGCTCTGACCATTAGTTGTTGGCATAAAATCGAAAATCCTCCTTTTCCTGATAAAAACATTAAAATCTTCTAGTGTGACATCCAGATTGTCCAAAAGGTAAAGAAAGTTTTGGGGATTGCTTGAGTAAAGCCTTAAAACTGGCCCAGCTATTGTTGCGACAAAATCGAAAATCCTCCTTTTCCTCCTTTTCCGACAAAAACATTAAAATCTTCTAGTGTGACATCCAGATCAATCAATGCATGAAGAAATTTTTGGGTATTACTTGAGTAAAGCCTTAAAACTAAGCCAGCTCCGTTGTCACAAAATCGGAAATGCTTCTTTCGGATAAAAGTTGGATAAAAATATTAAAATCTTCTAGTGTGACATCCAGATCAACCAATGTATAAAGAAATTTTTGGAGATTACTTGATTAAAGCCTTAAAACTGGGCAGCTCTGATTTCGCTCTCTGATTTCTGATTTTGTCACAAAATCGAAAATCCTTCTTTCCCAAATTCTTGTGTGCGTTCCAGATAGCCGAAAAATCGACGCAGTTTTGTTATATTTCTTTTCAATACCAAGAATGGCTCATGAACCTGGATCAGCACTGAATCAAGACTTACAATTGGCTGGCTGGCTACTGGCTGCTCGTGAACCCGTAGACAACGAGGTCGTACTATGCACGAATCTTAATTGTACAGTTAAACCATAAATAGTAAAGTATTCACTCATTTTTCATAGTTTTTCAAGAATTCCCAAAGTCTCCAGCCGGTATTCGATCTCGAATCTTCGTCGACGCAAAAGTTTTTCCAGGATCATCAGATTTTCCCAGGATTTTGGCGTTTGCTTAGTTGGATGTCACACTTTATTTTGTAGATTTTTCGTTTAGTTTAGTCAATTGTATCTGTTGATCGAATTGTGCGTCGAATCTTCGTCGACGTTTTTCGTTCTTTCGGGATCGTCAGATTTTTCTAGGATTCTGTTTTTCCCTTAGCTGGATGTCACACTTTAATTTCCAGCTTTTAGTTTAGTCAATTTGTACAATTTTTAGTTTTTAGTTTAGTCCGTTTAGTTTAGCTTCTAGTTTAGCCCGTTTAGTTCAGTTTTTAGTTTAGCCTCGTTTAGTTTAGTCCCCCAGTCCTCTGCCCAGTTGCAAGGCATTCCCCGGCTGTCCCCAGAGTCCTTTCAAAAAGCCAGAAAAGCCAGAGAGGCGAGAAAAGGGAGAAAAGCGAGAAAAAGGAAAAAAGGCTATCAGCTGCCCCATTCCCTTTCTCTCTATGTACATGTGATCGTTTTTTTTTCCGTCCAGCCTATAGAATCATCGGAATCGGTCATATTGATTCTGCGCCAAACTCTTCACAAAGGTCAATAAACCAGGGACAGACCTTTGCAAGTTAAACCTGGAGACCTAGAGACCTGGAGACCTAGAGACCTGGGGACCTAGAGACCTGGAGACTTGGAGGCCTAGAGACCTGGAGACCTGGAGACCTAGAGACCTGGAGACCTGGAGACCTAGGGACTTAAAGACCTAGAGACCTGGAGGCCTAGAAACCTAAAGACCTAGAGACCTAGAGACCTGGGGACCTAGAGACCTGGAGACCTGGAGACCTGGAGACCTGGAGACCTGGAGACCTGGAGACCTAGGGAGACCTGGAGACCTGGAGACCTGGAGACCTGGAGACCTGGAGACCTGGAGACCTGGAGACCTGGAGACCTGGAGACCTGGAGACTAAAGTCAAACAAAAGTCTGAACTCTAGCTCATCTACTGTGTTACTCTATGGGATTTTGGTTTGATTAGTTCTAGTGCGCCTGTCCGTTCCAAGTAGAGTGCCTGGCATACAATAAGTTTAGTACTACGCAATTATCTGTATTCTGTCTGGAAATTGGCGGCTTTCATAGCAGTACCCAAGTTTTCGAGTCCAGTCAGATCTCAGGGAGTTGAGCAAGTCCAGTGAGCTCTTTTTCAGGGACATTTTAGATACCTAAGCTCTGACTGGTTGCGTTTAATGAAGCCCATATCACAGTGAAGAATCCGAATCCTGGTTCTTGTACTTGAGTCGAAACTAGGGCAGATCAAAAACCGCCGGGACTCGAAGCCGCCGAGACCTTTCGCTTACCGGGCAAATGTGCTAACCATTACACTAAAAGGGAATTGATCTGTTTTTCCCCAGAGGGAGTTAACTCCTGTCTACTGGTTATAACGATGCGACTCTAAATTATGAAATCCGAAGCCGAAGTCCGACAATCCAAAAGAGTTAGACTATCCGAAGCCGGAGTTGAACCCGTGGGTTGGGTTTGGTTTGGTAACAGCGACGCTAACCAATACACCACAGCGTTATGCAAACGTGGATCCGAAAAAGTCGCTTTTGTTTCTAGCTAGAAACAAAAGACATAAACTTGGGCATGGTTCAAAAAGTGTAACCTTAAAGTGCTTGTTCGTGCTGTACTAGGGGCTGTACTGGATGCTGGTTACTGTGCTGCCTACTGTAACCTGGACACTGCCGTAAGCCGGCCAATGAATTACGGTACAGCATCCAGTACAGCATCCAGTACAGCATCTAGTACAGCATCCAGTACAGCATCCAGTACAGCATCCAGTACAGCATCTAGTACAGTATCCCAGTGCATAAAGACATCTAAAGACCAGTCGTAATCCATTTACCATAAAGAACCCGTTAAAACTTTGCATAAAATAAAATAACTTAAATCGAAAACCCCTTTCACATGATCATTTCTCAATTTCTCAATTTCTTCATTCCTCGTCTCAAAATCTATCCAAGAGTCACAAGAGCAGATAAATCGGAGGGAAAAGAAAGGAAAAGAAAGGAAAAGAAAGGAAAAGAAAGGAAAAGAAAGGAAAAGAAAGGAAAAGAAAGGAAAAGAAAGGAAAAGAAAGGAAAAGAAAGGAAAAGAAAGGAAAAGAAAGGAAAAGAAAGGAAAAGAAAGGAAAAGAAAGGAAAATAAAGAAAAAGAAAAAGAAAAAGAGAAAACGAAAAGAAAACCACAAAGAACCAAGTGAAAAATGAGAAAAAAATCGACTCAAAAAAAGCAAAAAAATAAAACGACTTTCCCGATCGCACACAAAGAAGAATCAACTTAAAAAGTCTTTTTTTTTTTAAATCTCAAATTTTGACCATCAAATACAAGCTATACGAGTTGGATTTTCAGAAAGCATTTTTGCAGAAAGCATTCACGCAATTCCAGCTGCCAGCGCCACATCAGCAACCGTAGCGCATTCGAAAGCCCGCCCGAATGAATCATTTTCATGAAAGAAAGACCAACACGGTGTTCGCCGTTTCTTCAGTCTTCTAGCCAAGAGCCAAGAGTTCACGAGTCCTTTTTCCCCTTCGTCTTCATGTTCTATTTGTGCATTTGAATATTCAATTTCAATTTTACTCTTTATTGCGGGGAGCAACGCCACACACACACACACACACACATAGAAAGTCTTTTGATGATGCACGCAAAACAAAAACAAAAAAATAAAAAACACGGAAATCACCATGTTTTCCGCTAATTATCCATTAAATTCAGAGAAAAGAGAATCTTAGCTTTTTAGGGGAATCAGCAGAAAAAACGGTAAAATCAAGAGAAAGGACTCATTTCATATCGTAGCAATATTTTTCACTATATACACTTTTTCTGTGCGAGCGCATCACAAAAAGGCAAACCAAGGAAAAAAAATTGAAGAGGCAAATATCCTAAATTTCCTTTCAAAAGCTTCGAAAAAGAATTCCAGATTTTCCAAAAAAACTCACCACTCATTTCACGTAAATATTCAACGATTGAAGTTCGATTTTATAAAAACCAATTTTATTGGGGACCAGAGAGAAAACAAATACGAGGCAACGATAAAATTATGTATATATGAAAACGGGAGAAGAGTGGGAAGTGGTGCTGACAAAATTTTGCTACAAAAAACGAGGAAAATGAATGAGTTGAATTAAAAAAACAAGTCAGTCAGTAGGTGGGTGTAATGCAAGAGATGCAATGAACAAGTGACGGTGGTTGGAATTGAAGTTTTGCAAAACTGTAACCTTTTAGCCTATCATACCACACCACTAGTTCATAGATTCCGCAAAAACACCAGCGAGCAACAAGAGAAAACGAATTTCAGTTACAAAAGAAATAATCAATATCCAGAAATCCATAGCAAAAAAAGTACAGCACACACGCCAAACAGAAAACTTTTAAAAGTCAATGTCAGTTACACAACAAAACGATCCTGCCATGGCGAGATTGATTTACATACATTTGCCAAGGAAAGAATGAGAGAATGGGGTGAAGAGAGGCCTCTACGATTACAAGAAAATATCCTGAAAGATTAGTGTCAGAACACATGAAAAAGGCAACCAGGTTCTTGCTACCAAACACAAATGAATGGTTTTTGAATGCCAAAAATGAATAGGAGAAAAGTGCCCGTGGGTCGTGGGAACCGGTTGGATCTTTCATGGATCAGGAGAACAAAATTGCAAAACCTAAATTGAGGAAGTGGCCCACGAGCTCTAGGAAATGAATAGGGAAAAGGTTTGGGTTTACTTTTTCGCGACGGTGACAAGAATCGTTGTGAACCACACAAAAGAGAGGAAAACCCAAGAAACAAGTCGAGCGTTTGACCTCTATTTAGGAATTTGCAAAAGGTTGAGAGCTTCAGGACGTTTTTCGTAATCAATAGAGGCCATCCAATCAACCCAATATCTGAGCTACTACCCGTTAGCCACAAGAGAACATCGTTTACTGTTAAAGGGGAGATCCAAAAAATGTTACTTCTTTTAGCATTTTACCAATGTTTTTCCCCGCATTGACAAAAACGGTGTTCCCTTTTGGTGAAAAGAGGAAAAATGTGCCTAGAACTGCGCGCAAGTTTAACACATACGAAAATCAATAAACGAAAAGGAAAAACGATCAACTCCGCACAAACGTGCGAGTCGTCGAAACCGTTTTTAACCAGAAAATGTGTACGGGGAAATGGTGGGCGAAAAGGAGGAAGCAAATTTTGGCTGCCTTCTTTCCAACACAAGGCGACAATATTGGCATTGGAGGTGCGGTGATTGGAGACGAAAAATGATGTATGAAGAAGAAACAATGAATTGGACTTAGAGAGCCGCTGAGAGACGAAACAGGTAGTGGGAAATGGGGCAAAGGCTGTGTTCATAATTTGCTTGACTTTAACGACTCTTTACCAAATATGAACAAGTGTTACTTTTTACAATTTCAAGAGGTTGTCGTTAAAGTCGCAAATTTCAGGACATACATATCAATTTGAAACGAGGAGATGGAGAAGAGGCGAAAAGTTGTGATTGCAGGCTCTTCAGATTCGTTGAATCTTCTCGCTGACGACCACCGGGTTGTTCTTGCGCAACTCCTCGCGTTCCATTGTTTTGTAGTCAAATGTACACCCGTGCGCATTGTCGTAACGATGCTCCGAGCAGTAAAGGCCTCCACAGCGGCAAGAGAAACCTGAAAGAAGAAAAATTAAAATAGGTTTAAGTAAAAAGACAATGCAATCTAACGATAAAATTTTTAAAACGAACCAGTAAGTCCTACACGTTTGTTGCATTGATGGCAGCGATTGGCCTTCTTCACGGGAGCCGACGAAACAGTTGGCGAATCAGAAGCCTCCGAAACTCCAGTCTAAAACAGTCGATAGTCTTTAAGCAACGAAATAGTCATTTAAAAGCTATTTATTTTTATTTTATTTTAAAAGCTAAAAGTCAGATAGATGATCCTTTCAGTCATTGCAAAAGTTTTGAACTGTTAAAGACTAATTGCTTACATAACCCCTTGTTAATCAAGCAACATGTTTATTTCATCAATGCAAGATCACCCCCTCAATAACACACCTCAGCTTCAGCTTTTGCAGCTGCACTTTCCAATTTTCCCACGACTTCCTCGGTGGCAAGAGCCGCTTGGGCGCACGATTGATTTGAGGCGGCAGCGGGAGGATTCGAGGCAATCGAGTCGCGCATCGAAGCCTCTGAGACGACAGGCGGCGGAGCCACCGACGAGGAAGGTGATGACATGGCAACTAAAAAGAAAAAGATTACAATTGCAGTTTATTTGTTTCCTATTTTTCATTTCCTCAGGCTTCAAATCATTTTTTTCCCAGTCACGCGATAAAATCAATCAATATGTTTTGCAGTGTTTTTCTTCGCCTCATGATCTGTTTTCACCCAACACTCAACTAACATCACCTTCACCGATTAAAATCCCGTTGCTGCGAAAGCATTAAAGCGTTATTCGTGGACACCCCCTCCAATCGCGTGATCAATTAGATTTGTGTGCGGGGGTAAGGGAAGAGGAAGGCTGTGGGTGGGGGATGACTAGACGGGGGGAGGGGAGCAGGCCGGTCGCCCAATCGATCGCCTCTCTTTGTGAGGAAACACGGAAAGCGTTGAAAAGACGGGGGAAATGGAGGAGAAAGAGTGTAGGCAAAGAGAGAGCAGCCTTCACCCACATCCCTTCACCACCCATATGTATCGATCTAAAATCGATAAGACCTTATCTAAGTTGGCGAGTGAAGGGTCTAGATCAAGTGATTCCTATAGGGGGTTCCAATGCGTTTCAATGAAAGTATCTACTCTTGTAGTTTAACCGCAAAGTTTCCCGCCTGCGACTTGCAGTCCTCAAAGTACCAGATCGCTAATCAGCAACACGTGAAAGATAATTTTAGATTAACAACCTCAAGCTGCCTCTTTAACTAAAACAAAATAGCTGCTTAAGTAGTTCAAACGCGTTTAAAGCTTTGTAGTTATCTAGCTAGCACCGCTCGTGTAGCCAGCCAACATTGTCACAAGTAAACTGAGCCAAACTGCACCTGTAGGGCTTAGACGAGCGGTGTCTTGCTTGCGCTTGATCGAATCCTTGTAGCACTTCGAGCAGAGTCCTTCCGTGGCCGCTGAGCCGAAGAACCCGCAGCCAGCTCTAAAATAAGAAAAAGATTATCAAAGTCAAGGATGAACTAAAAAAGCTTTTGCTTTTAAAAGTACTCTATAGTAACCATGATTATCTTAACAGCTGCAATAAATTTTAATTTGGATCAAAGGTTGCTCACTGTCAAACTTAACGTATGCAGGTTTAACAATTTTAAGCTTCCAACATTATAAGCTTCGTTTCAACATCATCTAGTACTACATTTTAAACTTTTAGCATAACCAAAGTTCAAAAGCACTCTAATTCTGCCTAATCTAGTCAAAAAAAGCCAAAACCCGAATAACTCACCGGCAGAGGGATGTGGCGGATGGTTGTTGTTGCTGATTTTCCATTTGAGACGTTTTCTTGCGAGCAGAGTCACCCAAACAGGAACTGAAATGAAGTAAAATGATTTTGAACTAAGATTTGAAAAAATGAGAAAGAAAAAGGAATGCAAATGAGGAAATATTCAAAATATTGCTCGATGATGACAAAAGTATCGATTGATGTGACGAAATTTTGATGACAAATGAAGAAAAGGCGAGAATTTAGGGGAATTGAGATTTTTGCGAGAATGAGCAGATTTTCGTGTTCTTTCGCTAAAATAGGGGCACCGGGGGCAATTTTCGGAAAAATCTGCCGAGCATAAAAAGCCGCCGGCCGTTTTCTGGGTGAAAATTGCCAAGAATCGGCAAAATGGCCAATATTTTTGGATACTGGGCGAGGAAATGCGGGCTTTCGTCTTAAAGAGTTGCTTTAATGTAAAATAGAGCAAAGTTGAGGTCGAATTATCGAAAATCGATAAGCTGTAGGGGTTTTCGGGAAAATTCGAAAAGTTACACTACGTTTTTGGAACTAATGGGGTTAGTGAGCTGGCGGGGGTGATAAGAAAAGGGGAAAGTGCTGCTTTTGAAAGGAAAGACTCGTTTTCCTTCGATTGATGATATCGATCGAATCGATTTAGAGCTAGGGCGAGATGGGGTAGTGAAAAATCGATTGAATCAGCCTCTTCAAACGTTTCTAAACGAAAATTTAAGTATCGAAGAGACTTTAGTGCTTTTAATAAAGAAAACTGCTCTAAATCTATCTAAAAACTCGAGAAATTTTTCGAACTAGGCGGAAAGCGATTGATTCACAAGCTCTTCATGCGTTTCAAAACCAGAATGTATGTATTAAAGAGGCTTGAGCCATCCTTTAATAAAAATGGCTCTAAATCTATTAACAAATCTCTAAAATCCATTAGAAAGTCAAAGCCAAGCTAAAAACCAAGAAATCGTTAGAATCTAGCTAGAAAATGATGAAAACAAGCCAAGGCTAAATAGCACTAGAACATAAAACCGGGGGAAGGAAGGGCGGCTACTGAAGATGCCAACGTGGCATTGGACTGGGCTGGCTGAGTGAGAAAGGCGTATGGGAGAAGGAGAGAAACTCGTGACCTGTGCCTGTGTGTGTGCTGGTGGTGGTGGAGAAGGGGGCTTGCCGGTCGCCCTTCTCTCTCCGCCATAGCGACAGCCGAGACGGCGGACGCAGGCAGGCAGGGAAATGAGAAGGGGGTAGTCAATAGAAGAGAGGCAAGCCCCGCCCGTGAGAGACGATCGATACGTGACCACCCCGGCCACATCTCATCACACGTCAATACAGCCATCTCTCCTCTCATTTCCTCGTCTTCTTCGCGAAAATACGGGTGACGAAGAGAGAGAAGCGATCTCAGCCCGGCCAGGGTTCTGGGAAATGCGCAAATCGGCAGTGTTTTTTCATTTTCCCTGCCTCCGTCGTTTTTTACGCGATGGGATCAGAAATTTTGTGTGCGCAAATGGAGAAAATGTGAACACATTTACTTTGAATTGTTGCCGAACCAGAAAACAGCGGTGAAAAAGATTTATGATGTAAATGGGTGACTAATCTTTAAAAATCTAAGCAAAATCCCGAGAGATAACATTGCGAAATGTTAAATTTGAGGAGTTTAAGTTAAAAAGGGCGAAAATTCGCGCAAAAACAAAGAGATAAATGCGAGCTAGCTCAAATAACGAATTTTCGCGGCTTTGCGCCTTATATACTATCAACATTTAACCTTCAACATTCAACATTCAGCAATAGGCGGAATATCTTTTCATTCGTAAAAAATGGGTATAAAAGATTGAACAAGCCATTTCCCACTGAAAGTCATCAAAATTCGTAACTTCGTTGAATTTTAAGCGCTTAAATTCCCTAAAGCTGATAAAATCTACTCATTTAAGCTAACCTAGTCATCAAAGCAAGAGTAAATTTACCAAAAGACCCTAAAAACAAGCTAAATAACCTTTAAGAACTCAAAAATCCATGCTTTTTCAACCAAAAACGTGATATTTGAAGCAAAATTGCGTCAAATGACCCTAACAAATAGGAAAAGTGATCAGGGAAATGAAAAAAAAGTGCTTTTCCAAGACCGCGAGACCGACGAAGAGGTCATGTGGGGTAGGGAAAGTGGAAATGAATGGGTGAAAAGGGAATGGGGGAGGACTGCCAGGGTCGAACCGACTGGACCCGGCAAAAAAAACTTTTTGAGAGAAAAAGAGAGACTGGTGGAGAGGTTTTTAGGCGAGACTTAGAGAAAAACGATGAAAAATTTTGAAGATAGACGACAAATTGTTAGAGGACAGAGAAAATTGACAAAGTTAGAGAAAAAGCAAGAAATGGAGAGGTTTTTAAAGCCAAAAGAGAAGCTAGACAAGGAAATATTTGAGAAGAAGAGATTTTAAAGAGAAAATGTATAAGAAATTAAAGAAAACGCAGAGAAAAAACGTTGACAGAGAAGCTCAAAGCTACGGAATGGCTTTGAACAGCTAAAATATTATTTCGGATTCATCGTAGCTAAAATATTCAAAATCTACCAGACAAGCCAACTTTTAGAGATTTCTTGAAGCACAATGGCACAAATTTAATGGTTAGATTTGTGGTTAGACAAATTTTAAGTTGGAAAGCTACGATGGATCCGAAATTTAAAAGATAGACGACAAAGAAAGAGGGGTAGGGCTAGTTTCCGCAACTTTTTTTGCGCAACCGTGTCATTTGCGCAACTCGTCATAACTTTCTTCTAAGTGGACCAATCTTTATGCTTTTGGTGTCATTTTGTTGCACTTATTGAGATCTACAAAATGAAACCAAAATCATAGAGATTGGCCAACTTAGAAAAAAGTTATGGCGAGTTGCGCAAATGGCCCTGTTGCGCAAAAAAAGTTGCGAAAACTAGCCTACCCCAAGAAAGCCATAAAATCTAAATTTGAAGAAAAGAAAGCTAAATTTGAACTAAAATATCTAAATACAATAAAAGACCAATAAAAACAAACAAACAACTAAAGCAAAAAATAAAAATCTCGTCGTTTGTTTAAGACTAAACTTAGACTACGCGACGTTCCTCTAGATGTGCTGGCAAAAACGTCGCGTTTTTTGGGGGGTGGGACAAATGCGACCATTTTTTTTGCGCATACGGCCAAAAGCCCACCTTTTTTTCGCTGGAAAAGGCCGTAGAGCATCAAAAATGTTTCCATGTTAGGGAATCGTATGCGTAGATTCCAAATTTCGACAAATCACACCTCGCTGGCATGTCAAATTTGGGCTAAAAGGCAAAAACTACACAACTTAACGCTTTTCCGCAATTTTTGCCTTTTCCCCGGAATCTACGCATACGATTCCCTAACATGGAAACATTTTTTGATGCTCTACGGCCTTTCCTAAGGCCTTTTCCAGCGAAAAAAAAGGTGCGCTTTTGGCCGTATGCGCAAAGAAAAGGTTGCATTTGTCCCACCCCCCTTTTGCTAGCACCTCAAAAAGCTTAGACTACGCGACGCTCCGCTAGAGGTGCTGGCAAAAACGCCGCGTTTTTTGCGCCATTTTTATTTTCGCCTTTTTATTTGCGCCATTTTCGTGTTCGCTTTTTCATTTTCGCCTTTTTATTTTCGCCTTTTTATCTGCGCCTTTTATTTGCGCCATTTTCATTTCATTCATAAAAATCACTATGACAGATCACTTTTCCACAACTTTTAAAACCAACTTGTTATAAATTAATTTTAAAAAGATTAAAAACAAATCTAAATCACACATCATTAACTCACTTTTCGAAAAAACTCACTAAGAACATGTTCATTCTACAAAAATCGATTAATAAGCTTGAAAACTGGCTTGAAAACTGAAAAAAATCTAAATGATCAATCAGACTTGGTAGGAAAGTGTGTTGAAAAGCGCAAATTTGGTGCAAATGCTACGTAGGGTAAAAAAAAATGTGACGCAGATGAAGCCTGGTGCAAATATTTTGGCACTTTTGCTAGCACCAAATTTGTGGGCTTCTATTAAAGTATTTACGATAAGCCGCCAGCAGAGAAAAACGAAGAAATCAGCTGAAGACAAGAGATTGTCGACAGAGAGCGACAAAAAGCGGCTAGGGAAGCTAGAGAGCGATTGCGGCACGGGGCGTGGTTGATTTCTCTTCTGTGGGTGGCTGTACTTTCTCCTCGTCGTCTCACGTGAAATGCGGGAGAATCGGCTGAAAAGGGAGTGAAAGGGAAAACCCGGACAAGAAGAAAGACAAGAGAAGAGAAAGGAGAGCACTGGGATCAATCGAGGGAAAAGACGAGAAGGGGAAGCGGCTGAAATGGGCTGAAATGGCTGAGGGACCAGGAACCGAACCTCGTCGTTTCTCTCCGCTTTCTTCCTTTCTCCAGCCTTCCGGTGATCCGAAGATGGGAAAATGGCTGTGCCGTCACAAGGAACCACTGAACTCAAAATGAAGAAAGGAAGCAACTTTGAAGGGGATTTCCGTGAACAGGATTAATCACTCCACAGATTCTCAATATAACGGATTTTAAAGATATTCAACGATGCAACGAGACGGAAGACTAGATTCAACATTCAAATAGAATGCCCAACTCGACAGGATTATTATTACCACTAAGGAGGTCCACGTTTTCCACGCAATCTAAGCCTCGCCTCTCGCCCGTCTGTCCGTCTGTGCTGCACACAGACGGACAGACGTCTCTTCTGCTTTATATATAGTAGATTATTATTATTATCGAGGAATAGAATTCAATGATCTGGATACCAATGAAAACATTCTTGGTGATTGATAATGTTTTAAATTTGATTTATTGTTGTTACTTTTTTTGTTACATTTGTTACATTTGTTGCTTTACTGTTGCTGTGTTGCTGTGTTGCTTTACTTTACTTTACTGTTTTGTTTATGAACTGTTAAAATTGTTATTGTTTTGCTTATCCAATTGTTAAAAATATTTTTTTATATTTACAATCTTTGGCTATTACTATTTTTATTTTTATTTTGATATACAGTCGACTCTCCTTTATAACGAAACTATATAACGAA